TAGATTTAAGAACAAATGATGGAACAGCTTCACCTAAATTCTATTTATTCCAAACCAAGACAATCAGCAATTTTAAACTATTTTTAAATGGACAAAAGCAAATAACCAATCTATTACGAGGGGAAAGTCATGTCTTTGTGTGTTCTATTCAGAGCCTCTCTGTTCAGTGTTGAAGTGGCTGGCGTGACTGTTTGGGCATATGAGTCCTGTGCAGTTTGAGTGGGCAACTAGCGAGGTCCTTCTACCTTTTTGTCCACTGAATGAACTGACCTTTTCAGCTAAGAAAATACTGATAAAGGCAGGGACGAGACCAGAGCTAGTGATAGCCTTTCTTAAGACAGACTGAAAAGGTGCTCTCCAGCAAGTTCCTAGGCCAAACTCTCAGTTTTGGTTCCACTGGATTAGGTCACAGATACTGTGCCGTATGACATATACCAACATTTAGCATTAAATGTTGCATTGAAAGAGTTAGTAAATCAAAACGCAACAAAGCCTTTTGACCAACCTCGAAATAGAAAGAAAATAAGAATCTGAAAAAAAGACAATCAGCTTCTTTATCTGTACAAATCATAGTTGGTGTTACAATTGTAAAATTCACAATTATTCCATAGAAATGTCCCTTTACAAGCCATAGAAGTCTACATGTCTACAAGAGCTCATACAAACAAGACCATTTCAAAGCTAAAATATTGAATTGGCCCAGTTACTCATAACACTCAGTGTTTTGCGTGCGATTCTGCAGCCACACCCTCCACTCATTTGCTGTAACTGTAGACCTTTTAAGGATTAATACTTCAACTGTCCCAGTGATCTCATGTATGAAAAGGAAGATTACAATGGACAGGTGTTATGGGAGTGGGACACAGGGGTTCTTTTAGGCCCCAATCCACTAAGGAATTCATAGTCATCACACAGATTTGCAGATTAAAATTTCTGAGAGGGCCACTTAACGTTCCGCTGCAGTTCCACGGCGGTGAGCAAGTATGCCACTTGTATTTGTCAAACAAGCTGGTGGCCATTTGCTCCCTAAGGTCAGAGGATTGTCGGGTAAAAAAGAGTTCAGAGAACGGCAGCGCGGACCTGAGCCGGGCACAATCTGGAGCCAGAGGATATGAGCCATGGCTGGAAAGAAGGGTCTGGGGCTGAGTCATAGTTCCTCATGATGCCAATCGAACCCAGAAACCTCATGCTGTCATTACAGCCCTTTTAAAAAGTGTTGATATAGTTGGAGGTAGTAACTGCTGTATGCGTTTTATGACGTTTCAAGACTATCTATTTCCAATCTGTTTTTGCTACTTTACCCATGGTTGATATTGTTTCTTAAGACATTCAGCTTGGTTAAACTCCAGGAGGGCATATTGTTGTTCTGAAATGCCTTTTTTCTCTTTCTTTCAGGGTTTTCTGCAGCATTTCATCAGAGTGGAGGTTCTGTAACACAACGGCTCCTCAATTTCATGAGACTATTTGTACTTCATGGGTTTCCTTCATCACTTGCTACATCAATAAACACATGTGTTTTCTCTATGTATAGCAGAGTGTGCATGGGGAGAGGAAGTTTGAATGAGACAAAGCATTCTTGTTTTCAAGAACAGCATATGTAAAGCTTATGCTGCACACCGGGGTTCAGAGTGTTAGGGGTATTGATGGGGGAACCTCCATTGTCACTGTTGGTGTTTGGTTTGGACCTGGTCAGAAGCATTGATTGTTTTTATATCATGACCTGTTGACTGTGGCTGATAAAAGGGAGGGTTTCTTTTCTTCTCAGGGGAGAAGGAAATGCGTGTTTCCTGGTTTTTACAATAATCCATCCATACAAGTCAGTGTAATAATGTAATGAGGTGCTACAAAAAACCTGTTGAATATCACAGAATATTTAAGATTTAAGACTAATTATTTTCAAAGCATGAAGGTCTGCATGGATTCCATCCCATCTGGTGAAACTGTAAGACAACATTTGAACTTGCTGATAGGCTACGATTATTGGTGTTAGATTAAGATTAATTTTTTGTGAGTACTGTTGAAAAATCTAATCCCATTGCTTCTAATTTGTGTTAAATCTGTACCAAATTTGTATTAAATCTGTCATCACTCAGCAAATCAGTAATATGAGATCTGTAAGCCAACCCTTCTATAGTTAGTAAACATGCTGAGATTGAACTTTTTCAGTCGATTCTCCAGAAAATGGTCCAGAGCTCATGTACAAAACAGTATTTTGCATGTCAAGAACCATGATGTATTACTCACTGAATTTATGCACGCTTCACTGAAAATGTCCATTTCACAAACTGCAGAGCCTGAGGTGTATATTGAACCCTTCTGACTGTTTGACCTCACTGAACCCTTAAAAACACAAACAGAACCACTCAGAGTCAAGATTGTGTATCACTGTAGTGCCACTGTGCCGGGGTTATTGCAGGACAGAGAGAAGAGGACCACAGGAGGCCCGACGGTGTCACAACACGTTATTATGGTCACCACAAGAAAAACAGCAACTGGACCAGACCTCCCAGAGAGAAAGAGAACAAAAAGTGATGACAAAACAAAAGAAAGAGGCAACAGAAAAGGAAGAAGACGTCATGGAAAGAGAAGTGATCTGCTTTCAAAAGAAACTGATGATCAGAGTTTGTGTGATCTCTTGTGAGAATGACTTTAGAGCTTTGTCACAGTCAAAATCCCTTTGAATGGAAAAGAAAAGTTATCATCTCTGCATATCATTTCTTTTCTCCGCATTTTGTAATAACGCTCATTTGCTTTGACAAATGTTTAAACATTTGTGCTCTTTGACAAATTTCAAGCAATTTTCTTCCCCACAATTTTTGCTTCTTTCTGTTCAAAACAGAGGATCTAATTTAGATTTGAAACAGACCATTTGTGTGTGTGTGTGTTTGTGTGTGTGTGTGTGTGTGTGTGTGTGTGTGTGTGTGTTGCTTAGCCTCCACTGTAAATGCTGTATGAAACGCTTTAAAACTTTTTCAGCCTCCACTGTAAATGCTGTATGAAACCCTTTAAAACTCTTTCATCCTCCACTGTAAATGCCGTATGAAACGCTTTAAAACGCTTTCAGTCATCGGCATGCACTGCCAGTAAACCCCAACCTCCACCCACTGGCTTGGATCAGAAGAATACGGTTCAGTCCTGCACCATGTGCTTATGTAAAGATAAGCTAAACACCATTGATAGCCTGCACGGTAGACTGATACACGGGAGGAAAAAGCCCGGCACGCATCCTCGGCCCTTGTAATCAGAAGCGTAGAGCGCTGTCCACTTGACATGCGTTCAACACTCCATCTCACACGCTACCTTCAGCCCTGCACCTCCATCAGCTTACTTCCTTATTTTACTCCCTTACTCCCTTATTTACCTCCATAACCATCATTCACACTCATCTACATCCCAGGAAACACATCCTCCCCGGCAGCCTGACACTTCCACTGCGTCGCCATGGTGAGTGGTGAGATGAGTGTCGGGCAGACGGAGAGGTCACCTTATCTGTGGGACGGCTCCCCCGGCCTGAGCTCTCATCGGGATGTGGGCAGATGTGATTACAGCGAGTCACCTAAAGCGGTTTCAACAACCGGGTCTTAGTCACCACGCCGGGGGCTCCGGTGCGGGAGAAGGGGCGGCTGTATTTTCTCAGAAATCCGTGACTCAGAGCATCATTAGCCCTCGCACACTGGGATTTTTCAAGCTGGGTAAAACGCCTTTCGGTGCCCCACCTTATTCTCTGTTTGCCCCATTGAGAGAACCAAGGAACACCCTGGACAATCTGACTGTTTTGACCCCAACAGTGGACATTCATCCAAAAGTCACATTCATGCAACATTTACCACAAGACCCCAGCCGAACTGAAGTCTCTATTCTATTGATTTACCGCTCTGGAAAAAAACCTTCCCCTAATGATCCTGTTTGTGTTGCTAAACTGATACAGAGAGAGAAAAAAAAATCCCGGGGTGCAGTTGTGACCTTCTCGTCTGGCCCAAAACAACCCTCTGGCCCGTGATAGCTTACTGAGGGTCCAGAGAGAGCTGCCATCTGGCCCCACTCTCAGCAAGTGCACGGAAACTCTGCCTCACCAAGGTGCTGCTATGATCTGTCATCGACCAGCATGGGTGTCCGGCCAGCGGTCAGTGGGTCGACCCATTTGACGAATGCTTCAAGCAGGGGATAGAGAGCGGGGGGGGGGGGGGGGGGGGGGTGGGGGGAGAGGGCAAGCACAAGGGGCGGCTTGTGTTTGGAGGGCCTGATTATGCGTGCTACGGCGCCGGCTTCCTGGATGCTGTGCTTGTGTTGGAGAGAGTGGCTCCAGGCAGATGTTGCAAATGAAGGAGGTTGTGTTGTGCGCCGGGCTTCAGATCCTCGCACTCGAAATATTTGCGTTGACGGCAAAAGAAACGTCTACAGGAGTTTATATCTGGGAAACAAGAAAAGGAGGGGGGGCAAACAACTGCTGGGGTGGTAGGAGTGTGTGACACCGTGACAATCAGCTGCCAGCTGTGCCCACACACACGCAGAGCAATCAATCATCAGATCACTCTGTCGAAAGGGAGCCCATAAACACAACTTAAACCAACACCACACAACCTTTTACCTTTCTGCAGCCATCTGTATACACAATCAGTTACCCACAAACATGACTAAACACACATGCACCCCCCACACACACACATGCTAACACACACACACACAGAGGAATGATGTATGGTCTTTATTACACTGTGTTTGATTACAAGGCTCTGACATGCAAACAGTGGTAGAAAAAGAAACAGAAAGAAGACAGAGAGAAAAGAGTCTTAAATGCAATTGAGCCTGTGGGAGAAAAATACATGATCTACAACTTCAAAATAATGCTGCCACAGGTGTTTTTCTTTTTTTTTTCTTGTTTCAGAACATTGACTGGGGTTTATCCACTCCTCAAGGCGAAGACTAAGGAGCACAAAGCAGGACTTACATGGCATTCGAAGTTGCATCATTGAGCAACACGGGAGCAAGTTGTCGGGCAGGCATAAATCAATAGAAATCCTCCCTCCTTTCTCCCCCTCTGACTGGTCGGTGGCTGTGTCACTCAGGGGGAGGGGTGCAGCGGTAATTTCTACGTGCCTGTATGTCAATTTAAGACTCAGATTGCGCGTCTATGTGTGGCTGACAGTAGCGCAGGACCCAGACGGACTTCCGTAGCCTCGGTGTTGGATTTCTTAGGTAATTTTTCCTTTTTTATATAGCCTACACCAGATGAGACGCTTGGGACGCGCGTCTACCTGCGCACGCTGAGGCTTTGTCTTTGGATATTGCTTTAACTTAAAAAAAAACAAACGCAAAACGCATCTTCATACTCCTGTCCCGTCTCAAGGTGCGTTTGGTTTTTTAGGCGACCTGCTGGAAGGAGAGGAGACTGGCCACGGCACTTTCTAGTGGACTTGACAACTTTGAAGGTAGCTCGCGTCTGGTGGCGTAAACCGCTGCGGGAAGTCTTCCCCCCCGAAAAGGGTTTTTTTTTCGGAAACATGCTCGCCAAATGCTCCGTCGCGTTCCTCAACGTCCTCTTTTTGGTGCGAGCGCTCGCGGCACACGAGTGCACGCCGTGCGACGCGCGGACTTGTCCGGTCCCGTCCCCGGTCAGCTGCGAGGGCGGCCGGACGCTGGCCAGGAGCCCGTGCGGATGCTGCGACCAGTGCGCCCGCCTGGAGTGGGAGCCCTGCGGCGGCCAGGACTGGACGCACGGCTACTGCGCCCTGGGGCTGACATGCGCCTCCCTCAACAGGACCGGGGCTGCCGTGGTCCCTGAAATTGGAGTCTGTAAATGTGAGTAAAGCTCTTTGTTTATGCATATGAAGCGACAGCCCCCCATAAAGAGCCAAAAACGTGTTGGTGCAGACTGTTTAATGCCAGTTTAAGTCACCATGGAGGTGTCATGCAGCCCTTGTCTTTGGGTGCGTGGACCTGTCCCTTACGTCTGCAGGGAGAAAAGTCATGTTTGACAGTTTTTCTCCCTCTCTTTTTAACCCAAAGCCTCATTTAGTCTTGGCTCAGACGCACGAAATCTGGCAGAAGATATTTGGTCCAAAGCCTTTGCTCGTCTAGTAGCATGCAGGTTCCGTCCCCCTTTTCTTGAAAAAAATATTAAATAAGAGCTGAGATAGATAGATAGACTATGGAGACATAACTGCAAAAGTCTGCAAAAAAATCAAAGTTGTAGATTACTTTTGCTGTGACCAAATCTTTATCGTAATCATGGAGACACTTTGCAATTTGATAAAACAAACAAGCTGGCACCTTTTTATCTGTACTGTTTACGCCGTTTGTTTCTCTGAGTGCCTTTAACAATCTGACAGTGTGATTCCCAGCCTTCCGATCGCAGAGCTGCAAATTCACAATGTCACACTGTTCTGTTCCCACCGAGCTCCTCTGGGCTTTTGGACGTGCAGTGGATGTTCCCATTTTACGCTCAATTTGAGCAACTTTCTCCGCTTCGCAGGAGGTTTTTGGGCTCCTCGCTGCGGTGGAAATGGTCGCACTGACCTTCCTCTGATGAACAAACAACTAAGTAGAAGGACACCCTCAGGGACTGCCACCTGCACACTGTCCAGCTTGTTTCTGAATGATTGAGGAGGACTGAAAGAAATTCAGCAGCTTTCAGTTGGAGTCTGAATCTCCTAACCTTTCCCTTCCATCAGCCCTGTCTAGGGTGGTCCGAGTCATATCTTTAACTGATTTTTTCCATGGTTTTCTAGCCCCCAGGTGTTCCAAAGAGACAGGGGAGCTGATTATGCCTCTTGCACCGGTGTCTGGAGAACATCTCCTCTGCAATTTAACAGCTTTGGAATAAGCGGGAGACCTACTGGCTCCTCTGTCTGAGTCATGCCTCTGGTCCTGCTGCTGACCCCTTAAATCATACACACAGACACACTCAGCTTCCATATCCCAAAGGGTCTAGGTGGGGGTAAATCAACACCTCCCGGTGTGTTTTCTGGGCCCACAGTAGGCCGGCTGCTGGAAGCTGATCCCTGTTTTCCCTCCTCGAGCTGCAAGGGTCTTAAAGTGATTAGTCCTGCAATCAAGAGTAGGGGTAAATGTTTCCGCTTTTCTGATCTCCCTGCTTATTCTCCCCGCAGTTTGATTTACTGGGTGGTCAAAATCTGTCACTGTGGAGGCAGCTTTTTAGCTGAAGTGACACGTTACATATCGCATGAGGGATGATTTGGTGTTTGAAGTTCATCTGTGAAAGAGAGCTTGTTAGTATATTGCTGTGTCCCTGGCCTGGCATTTTTATTGTTAAAAGGAGTATCTCTGAAGAACTTTAAATACTGGGAATGATTTTATTTTTGTCCGTATCTTACTGGGTAAATGTGTCAATCCCAGCTTTGTTGCCAGTAAATCTCTCTCTATTCCCGAAGGTGGAACAACCAAATAGGTTTGCGCAAACCCCAAGTTGTAGCTCGCCAAAAACTATGTTAGATATTTGGGTAAGTTGTCATTGTGAAATTGAAGCTCTTCAACTGTCAAAAACCTTTTAGAAACTAAGTGTTATAGAGCAGCTCTGTCAGCCAGCACCTGTACTGTGGTGACATCACATACCCTGTTTACCTGATCTCAGCTGTCAGTGGCATTGAATCAGATATTTTTTTAGGTCTGTTTCCTTTTGCCTGTTGTCCCGACCCAAGTTCTACAAGCCCCAGAGACTCTTAACATAGCATGTGACAGAATGCCTGTCTTACAGGGACGCTATGTGCACTACCCTCCTTCACATGCCTTCTACTCCCTTCCTCTAGTATTATCTAACGTTTCAAAGACTTCCTTTTAAGCTTCATATCAGCCTCAGGGCCTCTAGAGGTCAGCTTTCCCATCCTCATTCTGGGCCCTAAGACAAGCAGCCTCAGTGGCTAAGAGAGGAATCCCCCCCTGTGATGAAGCCTAGTACCCTTTAGTTAGAGCCATGCCAGACCAGATAAATAGATAACCAGGACGACCCAAAACAGACTCTGCTCAGGCTAAAGGGTCCCGACCTAAAGCGGCGTGGAAGAAATGTCAAAAGGGGGTCACGCTAAAATTAGGTAAGACAGCGTCTTCACTGTCCGGCCTTTCATTGATTGTTTTGACTCCTACTTACTTTTTCTACGAACCAGATTTAGCACCTCGCACAGACGCACTCTTACCACCATCTCAAATGAAAACACACTCGCAGGCACAGGAAAGCCTCTGGATGGAAAAAATGTGGGGGTGAGGATCATTTTAGGGTGAAAGGAAATCACAGAAGAAAAGTTTTGGTTGGGTGCGCTGAAAAGGCCGCTTGTGCTTTGCCAGTTCACAGGCCATCTGGGAGAGCTATTAAAAGGGCCGGCTGGCTCAGGTTAAAGGTAACATTACCTTCACTGCTTCCAGTGGCCGGCCTTTACTGTGCTGCAGGAGTCGTCAACAAAATCTACTGTCAGAGTTTACAAGCATGTTTCCTGCTGCTAAAGTACCGATGGATGGTCCTATTCTCGTGCGTTTCGGATTGATATTGATCCGTGTCATCATTCTCTGCGCTTGGAGGCAATTGAACCCGTCTCATTCTACCTTTTTGTACCCCAGTGCTTTTAGTAAGGCAGGACCTCTACAGTAGCCAGGTCGACACGCCACAAAGAGGTCATGTTTCCACTGGATGGCTGAACCTTTGACACGTATTCCTCTGGCGCATTGTTCCGGTGTGTTGCTGTTTGGACGAAAAAGCCAGCGTGTTTTGACGAGCTGCACTCATGCTTCCACTCTGTTGATTTGAGGCCTGGGAGCTAAATGCCTGGGAAGGGGATACTCTGTGTAACAGTTTGTCTCATCCTGTTTACTCTGCTGCCACTCTTATTGCTCTTGGATGGCAGTGAAGGAGGGTAATTTAGCCGTATACATGTGTGTGTATGCATGCATGAATGTGAAGGGAACACTGAGGGTAATGTGTACGTTGGGGCCCTTTTAATCCCGGGATCGTGATGGATATTCAGCTCACACTGCTCTAACGTGACATTCCTTGCTATCGTAAAGTTCCGTCCAACTGGGGCTTGGCCTCGCTGTGCCATCTCGGGGAGAAACAACAATATGCGGGTTCGGTGCAAATGGGCCCCAGTTCAGAGGAGGCGTTGCTGCAGCCGGCAAAGATGGAGACCCTGGGAGGGCCCCATACTGTGGAACAAAAGTAAACAGATGGGGTCCATAGCTGTAGTAGTGTGGCACAGGGATGAGGGAGGAGGGATTGCAGTCCAGAAATAAACCAGAGACTTGAGGGTTGGTTGTGCCAATTTAGCCTGTTGCAACAGGGGCTGCAAGTTAACCAACACCTCAGTAGTTTCTAACAAATGTCTTGTTTTTTTTGTGCTTTTCTTTTGTTTATTTCCAGTGGTTGCTTTTTGAACCGTAACATCATTGATGTAATTGTTGGAAGTAATAGACACACAAGGCTGTTCTTGTGCCCCACAGCTCTTCCTGACCATCCAGATGCAGGGCTTGAGGATGAGCGTTGTCCTCTGATGACGGGCTGCGACAGAGCAGGAGATCAATGTGTGTGCGACGCTCGCCACACCTGCCTAGGCTATTTCACCTATCCCGACCAAGACACCTGCATGAAAGCCAGTAAGTCAGGTGAGCTCTCCCTTCCCCTTCTCCTCTCGCAGATGCACATATCGGAGCGCGATCTGAGTTTGAGGGTATAATACCATCTGCAGAGAAGAGCTAATCCATAACAGATGTGCCTCTGAGGTGGTTCTTGCATATCATGGTGATGACACATAAGCTAAAGCTTTGTGTAGTGGTTCTGCTCTCGCCCCTTTGAGTGCTGCCATTGTCTGTGACTCACTGGTGACTGTGGTTTGTGTGTCCGTGGCTGGATTTCAGATGCTCGGAGGCACGAGCACCGGGAAAGGCACAGGGAGAAGTATGTGGGCCCGTCTAACCCGGAGTGCATGTTCTCCGGGTGTAACCTGACTGCCGATGGCTGCGTGTGCGAGTCCCAGAGCTGCCACCACCACTTCGCCTACATCAACCGCAGCCAGTGCCAGGAAGCAGCAGGTAACCCGTCTCAGATTGACAAACGTACGCCTGTCTGCCAGAAGCTCAACTTAGCAGTTATTTGGTGTCTGAAATAAGTCCTACTACAGCAATTTTACATTTACAGCACTGAGATGAATGTTTCTCCTTTATTAGTACAAACATTCATATACAGGAAACGAGTTATAGCTTCTAAATGTTTTTTCTTGGTCATATCCCCTTAAAATTAAACGAAGCCACTGCATTCCTTATGTCAAAACTCGTTGAGAGTGACATGAAATAAATTATTACAGAGCAAAGAAAACCTTGTTCGCTCTTAGATTCACCATGTGGGGCTTCGGAATTGGTCGGTACGTTTCAATTTTGCCACCTAATCATTTCACAGTAACCTAGAGGTTGACGAGGGGGGGTGGAAAATCCTGGGAAGGGAAGAGAGGAGAGGTGTGAGTCAGACTGAGTGAAGCAAACGGGGGAGAATATCTGCATTTAGAGCGGGAACACTGTCGGGTTTGTCATTAAGGTGAGACTGAATGGAGAGCAGCATGAAAGCCCTCCTGTGCCAAAGCTGAAAAGGAGAACCTTCTGAATGAAGCAGGAGGACATAAGACTGTATGTTTACCTCCAGTCTTAGCTGATTCTTCGGTCTAGTCGACACTTGGGTTTGAAAAACGTAATTGGCAGAGGGAGCTTGGTTTCCTCATTTGGAGCGCGAGCTGTCTGGTAGATAGACAGGCGCTAAGTGCTGGCTGCCTCCTGAGTGGCATTTGCAGAGTAGAACAAGACCTTTTCAGTGAAAGCAGCATGTAGAACAGCACTTAGTAAATGTGCTTTTCTGAAAATCTCCCTTCAGATCAAACGCAAAATGGTTTGGTGTGATCCTTAACCATTTTAAAGCCTTTTGAATTACGACTGCCTGTGTACAGCTCCCCTCCTTTGAAAAATCCGAGATGAAAAAAAAACATCTCTCCAGATAACCAGTAATGTGGCTGGCAACAAGCCATGAAGACACATTCGAGTTTGTTTAGTCTACAGCTAACGGCAAGGTTATTCCAGAACGTCCACTGTACAGCTGTATGGATGTTTATCTTGAACCATTTATGCGGTAAATCCCACAGGAAGAGTGTTCATCAAACATTATATTGTGCAGACGTATCATCAAGCCCAGTGTTACAATAAAAGATGGACTGTCTGTGTTTTGTAAGTCCTTTGGAGGCCCGGGCCCGCTGGATGACGGTTTAAACTCACACCAGTGAAAACTGTAAACAACATTTTTCAGCAGCTTATGAGTTTTGGCCACAGCACACACACCCACTCCGGTTATGGCCGCTCATTAGGCGGAAGAGCAGGATGCGCGCATCTGTTTTGTCTTACAGGATACATGTGCACGTGGGGCGATGCACACATGCGTGTGCTCGCATGTGCCCGGGCTCTGTGTCAACACATGCGTAATGAGCCTCCGAGAGACGGCGTGTTTCCGTGTGTTTGTGCATGTGTCTGCGGGAGATAATTATCTTGTTTGTCTTGATGTTGGGGCAGAGATTTCCCTTTGTCTGTCATCAGAAGGAGCTTCCTCTGTGGGCAAAAACTGGGACTTGCAGGCCTGTTGGCCGCCGTAGCCGCTGCATCCATCAACCCTTCGGAGTCTTTAGACGCGAGTAATTACAAAGATCGGTGTTACCATATCCTGCTCGAGCCAGTGCTTCCTGAAAACCTGCCCTCATGACAGGAGCGCTCCGATGACAGGACTTGTCTTTATCATTAGCATCATATAAAAGTTAAATGTGGTCACCCGTTTGAACTTGGGGTTTCTTTGCTGACATACAGTGAAACACGCCTGTCAGCAAAAGCATCCCTGTGGATAATAATATCGCGTTTGACACCTTGATGGAATTTGCCTGGGTTTTGCCTTGATTTGACTCCAATCCCACCAAAGTTGTATTTAGACTACCGGAGAGATGGTTTAGTTCTCCTTCGGTCATCAGCTCTGCTCTAGCCTGCAGTTCCGGTCTTATTGGTTTGCTCTTTTACTGTTATTCCCAAATCCCTTTTCAAACTCAACTTTACTGCTGTTGCCGATCGTCAATTTGACGATGCTTCGTGTTTTTAGTGGTTTACTGAAACTGATGTAATTTGTTATCATTCCATTAGAAGCAACATGCTACACCAGACGTTTTGTCCACATGTCAGGGTGGAAAGAGGATGCGATAAGTGTAGCAGAGGAAGGGCAAATGCAGAGAGATAAGAAATCACAACAGAAGCCAACTATTTTGCTGAGGTATTTGTGTACAGGCCCCAGGGTCATGGTAGGGTGGTGTTTGGTAGTTTAACACTCCAGGATGGTTTACATATTTCATTCATGATAAGGCCCCTCGGTGCTATTTTAGAGGAATTCCCCTGCTGTTGCTTACTAAATAAGCACGCAACGGCAAATTATCCATTTTTTAGGGTTTTGAGAAAAGTGGCATCAACTGATGCCACACAGTATGACCAAAAGAAGCAGTGGTTGGAAACCGTAATTGTGGAAACCGACGATATGCGGAAGCAGTATTGCCATCGCTCACTCGCTCTCGGGGTCCTGTTTTGGGGACAGACTGAAGAAATGGGCCTCGCTGGCATGCTGCAGTTCACAAGTGGTTCATCAGACGTGGAAGCGGTGCCCACTGTGAGGCCATGGAACCAACTGACCTCACTTTCACAAATCTGCATGCCTACAAATGCCCACCTCCGCCTCGCCTTTCTCTGCCCTTGTGAAAGGACTGTTAGTTCTGCTTGGCTGCCGCCTCTTTGTAGCAGGGCTATTACTGGCCAAGCCAGACCGCCATCGGCTGGCGGGGGCACGAGACGTCTCGGTGCTGACTGCTTCTCTGTCGTTTGAAGAAACTGCGGCCCCGCCGGTTCCCAGGGTGTGCGTATTTATATGTGTGTGGAAAGTTATTTAAAAGGGGAAACAAAGGTCCTGTGTGGCTATTGAGACAAAAAAAAGTTCCCTTAAAGGCATGATGGGATTTCTGTCAATCCACTTCCTACTTTTGGTCAACCACTAACCAAGCATTAGTCCAGCAGGAGCAGCCAAAATACACTCGCATATCTTTTTAGGAGCCCTTCCACACCTACAGGTCTAACCCATTTCTTTTTCTTAAGCCTCAAACTTCTACTTATCGGCAGCTAAATAATGAACAAGTCAAAGACCCTCCAACTGAAGCCTGAGCCAGCTCCTGATCTTGCCTGACCCATTTGCTCTTTCATCATTCTGTTCCTTTTTTTTTTCTCTGCAAGGGAAAAGGTCCCCATGGCCAAAATTCAGATGTCACAGAACTGTCTCTGTCACGATTTATGTCTACACCCCAGTTTTCCTGTAGACTTGTTTTCTACAATTGCAACACATAAGGTCTGAATCTTTGGGACAATAAATATGCCAACAGTTCAGTTTGGTTTTTAAGTGCTCTATGTGCAGCCCACTGGAGCAAAGTGTGCTTAGTTTTATCCCACGTTTTTTTTGTTTGTTTTTTTTCAAAATGTGGTCCATCTCTGTCAGAGGAATGGGCTCTTAAGTCCAACTCTTCATCATTGGTCTACTTGTACTATTTGACCACAAAGGGCTCGTCATTTAGCTGGAATGTACACATACTTTGTTCACTTGCTGTGCACATACAAACCTACATGTATACAACGATGTGCAAATATTCACTTACAAGCTGTGGACATTCTTCCCACCTCGCTCAGTCACACATCTGCTGTGGTGTAAGTCAAGAGGCTGGGATCAGGTCTTTAAACCTGCACATATTGGCTATCGAAGCGAGATAAATTATGCAGCCGATGCAGGTCTCTGCTGCGGCATGTCTAGGCCCAGCAACTTCAAGCTATTGTCTGTGGTGTGCGACTACCTGGGGAGCTTGCCTGTACCTTTTTTGGCCTGGACTTCCTCCCAGATATGCTTATCGGTCTTCACAAATAGAGCCGTACCGACGGTGAACAATGCGGACTTTCTGAGTTGTTGCTCCCCGTGGGCGTGGGGCCAGGCCCCCACAGCTTAATGTGAGAGACGGCCCTGATGTGTCCCCTTGTGGAGCAACTTTATAAAACCTGTGGACAGAACACAAACCCACGGAGTGCAGCTGGACTGAGACGGCTTTGTTCTCCCCTGACTTGTTTCCAAAGTCAGTCGGTGAACAGAACTCACATTGTGCACTTTTTCCATGAGTAAATTCAGGCTGTCAACGGAGCCTCCTCTGCCTGGTGGAGTTGCTCTGGTTTGGGGAAAGACTGCTCTCCTTGTAAGAAGTCTTGAAGGGAAGAATAACTAATACTTAGATTTTAGGATCTTTCTCCCTACACAGAGCTGCAGAGATTCTAGAAAAAAAATGCTTTCTTTACAAAAGAGATCCTCTGTAGTTATAGGGCAATTTCCACATCTCACCTTTTCCAGAGCAGCGATGGAAATCTCATATTGTTGCCAATTGGGGTTCGTGGTGGCAGGTTTTCCATTTTCTCTGCTATTGTCAAGTCATAATGAAGCACATGTTTTCTAATCTGCTAAGTGAATTCATCAAGCATAGCAAATCAGGGTCTTTGTGTTTGTGCTAGCTGGAGTTTTGCCACTATTGTGATACAGAGATTGGTGCTGTGGTCGGTGACTCTCTAATGGCAGGCATTTCTGCAAAGAGATGGAACACAAACTTTGTTGTATGAAATCCATTTGCTGCTGACTTCTCCCATCCTCTGTATTTCTATTGTCCTCATAAATGTTCCAGCTACGACATATATTAATTGGACTTGTAAGGTTGGACCCTTTCCACAGATGGATACAATTCTATTCATTAGAATGACAATGGTGTGTCTGCCAGCTGCTTTTCCCAGCGCTCTCTAACCCCAGCCATTATCACAACTGAAAGACTAATCAGCCTTCTCAGAGGCACATACAATACACAGAAAGTGTTTTTCAGCGCAGAAGCTCATGCGAGATTGTCCCCGTGCATTTTCTGTGGCTTTTAAAAGCCTGAGGTTTTCATATGCAAAACTGGTCTTAAACTGAGCAGCAGCAGACACTGTTAGACTTTAGAGGAAGTAAAACATTGGCCAATCAGCACCTCAACTGAAGTTTATTTTAGTCCAGCATAGTAATTAAGCTTAAAACCGTTAAAAGGGCTGTATGCTACCTTTAATTCGAGGGTTTTTCCTCATGTTCTATGACACTATTCAACTACAAAGTTTATCAATGAGAGCTTTGTGGCAGTCCACAGTGTTCCACGGCAGCTTGAGTAAACATTACAGTAACGGATACCTCACACTCCCGCTGTATTTATTCGGAGCCAGAAAAATTCAACGTTTCCCCTCAGTTTGTCAGTTATGTTACCTCCACCCACCAGATCACAGCCGAAGAACCTCTCCTCTGTTTATCCCAAAGTCTAATGCCTGCCTAACCACAATCCAGAGGAGCATCAGGTCAGATGACAGAATCTGTCTCTTTAAAATTGGAATAAATGGAAATGTACAGTTTGTTTCATTGGTTTGTTTGTGGAGGTCCAGAGGGATGGAGCAGAATCCTTATCAGGGTTCTGAGTATGAGCAGTCTGGATCATCGACCCTCTTATCGGCTCAGTTTCTCCAAGTAGTATCAAAACTCAGAGGGATCGGTTTCCCGTTCTTTAAATGTCAGGTTTCAGACACGTCCTCTGAGAGACTGGAGTTGTGCTGTGGAGCCAGCATCAGTCTGGGCAGATCATCAGCAAAACTCTGGAAACTTCACAGTACTAAAACCCCAAACAATGTTATGCAATCTCTGCCTGTTACATTCCCTCTCCTCAAAAACCAGATGTATGCAAAGATTGCTAAGCATTTCTCAAAACAGAATCCTAACACTCTTGATTTAACTTCCAAATGCTGCAGTCATTTGTCAACACATTTTCTCCTGTAAATGTGACACTTTCTTTTGCCCATTTTCTAAATGATCCCAGCTCATGTTAACTTCCCTTTCCTCTCTTTCTGCACACTTCCTGTTGATAATGTGGCTGATTGATAACAGGATAGGACATCAATCTTCTTTCCTCAATACCTTTGCTCTGCTGTTTTGTGTACACTGCCGCAGCACTAAGAACACAAAACAAACTCAACCCTTTGGTTTGGAAAATCCATAGTTCCTAGGCAAGCAAGTTTTTTAAAGTAATATCTGTTAAAGAAACATTTATAAAACCGGTTAACCAACTTGTTTTCTTTTCTTAAAGACTCCAGAATTCACTCCTGTGACTTTTGCTTAGATTAGCTGTACCCCTGAATGTTTTTTTTTCTCTCCCTAACAACGGGTATCAGAGCTATTATGTTGGCTTTGCAGAGGAACAGACAAACACATCTTGGTATGCAAAGTGGAAGGCGGTCTGCAAACTGGTATGAAGAAAAAGTTCTGGAGAAGGTTGGCTGCCGTTAATAACGCGTTTTAGAGCGTGAGGGGTCTGTTTGTATTATGGGCCAGTTTGAGCCGGGCAGGGTGGGATCAGAGTCTGGTCGGCAGGATGTGCGGAAAGCCTTGTTGTGTTGAGAGAGAGAGAGAGAGAGAGAGAGAGAGAGAGAGAGCTGCACTCTCACTTGCTTGACTCGATGCCGTAAAGCTGTCGCGGACTGAAGTGGGGATATGAGGCGGGCGTGCAGCCTGTGTGGGGTAAGTGGGTGAACTCAGCCTTTGGTCTGTAATATGAGCAGCCTCGTTCTGCAACTCAGCTGACACGGCGAGCAAACGGCCATCTCTCACACATGCACCGAAGCACGGCAACTCATCCTCTTCCTCTGAGAAGATGGTGTTTGCCCTGTCACAGCCCAAAGCAGTGGAAGCTTTAGTCCCCAAAAGGAAAAGGGGGTAACGTGGGGAAAACTGTTTGAATAAACCTGTATATCCCGCACCTGTTTGTATATGTGAGGTCAAATGTGTATCCGTTTGTGTGTTTTTTTCTCTGCAGAGACGCTGAGATGTGCTGGGGTCACGTGCCCCGCTCTGCATGTGCCCTCCTGCCCAACGGGCTCGGTTCTCACCAAGAGTTTTACACCTCCTACTGGCTGCTGCCCCTCCATACCGCCCCAGTGCACTTGCGACCTGCAAGCCTGCCACAAGCCACAGTGCCCAAGCGGTCAGCACCCCGTACCCATTAGCGAGGCCAGCGGTCAGCCAGGGGACTGCTGTGACGTCTACGAGTGTCAAAAAGGTGATCACACTAAGAAGCTCACTGCACACTGGGTTTTCTCTCCCTCTATCAGAGGCTTTTTGGGTTTTTTGTGCATATTTCTTTTATTTTTTCCTCAAGAGGGAGGAATGCTGCTGATTGGATAAATACTCTTTGGCTGTTTGTCATGTTGGATAAATGCAGACAGTTAAGAGCCCATGATTCAGATATTTTTTTGTGTTGTTCATAATTTTCTTTTCTATCGCCTTAAGACAAAAAATATTGGCTTGTCTCAAATAAGTTGGTGTACAGTTTTCTCTTGTGGCGCAACAGAGGAAATACAGAGGGGGGAAAAATACATAAGAGAGAGCAGATGTTGAAACTCTGGCACGCCTCTGTCATGAAGCAGTCCGGAGAGTCGGGAGGAAAGTGAGGGGACCTATGGTGTCGGCCTGTTTACTCTGTGCACCCAACAAATATTCTCTGTTTTACCAACAGAATAAATTCCCATTCTGGCCCCTCCAGATGTATAAATGAGTGCTGTGTCCTGGAATTAATAGACTTAACAAGCCCGGTGACCAGAAAAGTGCTTAGGCTATGCATTTACTCAACAGAAGTGCAGTGTCAATGGGTTCCTGTCTGGTCACACATCCAGAAAGGGAAAAGGTTCAACAGTTCATTGATGGGAATGCTTTTTATGTGTTCCAGTCTGCCAGTGGGGAGGGTAATCGGGTCCGGCAGGCCGGCGGGGGCTGAATGGCAGCCGTGGGGGCCATGGGATCAGTGTTTTGATAACAAGTGTCTGCTGCTCTGCGGACCTGGGGCTTGATGCCTTTTGTCCTGGTTCTACTGTCCGTTAGGACTGCATGACTGCATGGCATGTCAGAAAGCTCCACAGACGGGGGACACAGTACACGGACACACGCTGGGCCACCCTCCTCAGCCCTCCTCTCTTGCAGCCATCTCCAAAGCACCGTCCACAAACGCTGCGTGGTACGAAGCCTGGATTGCTTTGAAATGCCATCCTTCTGTGGAACACATTTACCGCACATTGGTCCCCCTGGAATGCTTGGACTGATTAACATGTTTCCATTGCCCACTTGGCTGCAGGCTGATATTTAGCCGGGGTCAGTATGTGCAGTTTCAATAAGCTCCACCTGTGTGTTTTGGCCTCCATGAACAATGAGCTGGAGCTCAGAGTTGGCTGAAGACCGGCTGTATCTGTGTGGCAGCAGCGCAGACCTGGCAGCAGTACCTCCGACCAAATGTCATCTGACACTACAGATAATCCTCTTTGATCCTGTTTAGCTGCTGTTCATCAACACTTTTCGCTGGCGCATCCTCAGTTTTGTGGCGCATGTTGTCAGGAGGGGATGCACGGTTGGTTCGGTACCGCACATGCTCTGTGCAGACTGAGGCCGGTGTTAAGCAACGAGGCTGAGATCACCACACTAATGACTCTCAGGAAGCTCAGCTTGACTTGGTTATAAACAAGAAGCCAACAGCAGCCCTGTTCTCAGAGGCTGATAAGTGGTTATGTTGAAGACATGAGTTTAACTCGATTTTCTAATCTCAGCGTTGCCAAATCCCATCATTATTCATTTGTGGGAAAAGTTTCTAGCAGTGTTTTTTTTTTATTGTCTTTATTTTTTCATGCTTTTGCACCACAAGATACCAGGATGTCTCTCCATTGAGAGTAATTGATTTAGAAAAGCTTTTGGGCAATACTTTACAGCTTGTGCTTCTCCACGTTCAGTCCGCTCCTCGATTTAAAGAAGGCTGAACATCAAACGGCATGAGCGGAATTTGGTTTCAGGTTGTTTTAGGGATTAGCATTAACAAACACTGCGGAAATCACATGTGAGCATCCCCTCATGTGACTTCCTTTTTGCCTCTGTGAAAGTTAAAGAGCCATTGCCTGGCCTTTTGATTTTGGCCAGCTAAAGCGCTTATTGCATTTTCTCTGCTTGGTTGTGCTGCACGCAAAGCAGTGGAGTAGGAACAATGTGTTTAGCGAGGAGTGGGGGGGGTTAAAAATGGCAAGGAGGGAAATAAAAGATCAACAAATCCCCACTCGGCTTTCAAGTCAGATGCCGCACCTGCTTTGTGTTAAGAGCACAGCTCTGTTTGTCGGAGGCATGGGGTCACAGGCTCAGATGCTTTGAGCCTCCACTCAGAGGTATGGCGTACAGATGCTGCTGTAACCTCTGCTCTCATTTACAGAAACCTCTAGCCCCGCATCTGCCCCCATCCGTGCATTTATTCACCTAGTTAATTCTCTTCCGAGTTTGGAGACTTTCTAAGGTGATTAAATTGTTTTGCTTTCCTCACATCGCTGTGTGTTAATAAAAGGTAGTAAGTGGTTACATATTGACTCATGATGCTGAGCCCCCCACACTGCTCGTGAATTTCATTTAGTGGTTTTTCTGTGACCGCTGAGAAGTCATGGTTAACTTTTGGTATGGTCTGTGAACAATTGATCACACTTCTTCTTTTTTATTCTAATAAAAACTCCAGTTGTGGTAATGTTTCATCCTCTTTTCCAACTGTAACCTCTTCTGTGCCTGGATTTGTTGGTCATCAAATGATCAGATCTCTCTCTTTTAGGGGTAATTTAAAAGAAAAGTTTGGGAGAATGCAACCGTAAAGCTGTTGTGGAAAGCAAAATAATGAAGCGTATTTGATTCAGTCCTCCTGACATCAGCACACCGAATCCAGATTCTGCCGAAGGCTCAGACCCATACTGTGATCTTTTTCTATGCACTGCAAGCATCCAGAGATCCTTCAAGACTTGATAGATCACTGTGAAATTCCTCTTCGGGTCTGATGAAAGCTACTCTGAAGCACTACCTTGAGCTATCAAACTGTTCCATGGCACCATGTGGATTTAAATACACATCTGCTTACCAATAAGATAAGATCAATTGTGTAGTACACTGTCACTGCACACAGTTGTGATAGCCTCTGAATGGAAGAGCTCAAAAGCTCTTTTTTCTGTCATGTACAGTTGTCATGATGATAAAATTTGGGTTTCAAGCACCCGTATTAAAATTCAAAGTATGTGTTTTATGACCCATATGCAGTTCAGTTTAAGATTGACTGTGTTCCTCTTTTTCTTGTTCCTTTCCTTAGTTTCTCCAAAGTGTGTCCACAATGGAAAAGAGTTCTCAGAGGGGGAGGTGTACCGCATGGACCCTTGCTGGCTGTGTCAGTGTCGAGGAGGAATCTCCTTCTGTTCCAAGGCAGAGTGTGCTGAGCTGGGCTGTGAAAACTTCTACATTCCTGAGGGCGAGTGCTGCCCCGTCTGCATCGGTAGGCTCCCTTCTGTCATTTTCCTGTTAAAATGTGACATACGTTTACTAAACACAAGCCTGTCCAAACAACAGAGTTTTAAGCTGATTCCAAATCTTTTTTCCACCTGACACATCCATTGGCCTCACCTTGAGGGCTCCCTTATATAAGCGGCTTTCATAGCTGTTAACATACGTGGCGTGTCAGAGGAGCCCGCCGGGGATTCATTTACACTGGGGAAAACTTCAGTGTGTGCGACTCGGTTTTGTAAGATCTGGATGCCGCCTAATGGGGAGGTACTCTAAAAAAAACACATGTGCTCTCAAAGCCAGGTAGGGCGCTCTGATATGCGTGTTTGGCATTGTTAAACAAAAAGGGCATGCTGCGCATGTGGCGACCACATTACAGTTTTCCAGAAGCTCTTGGCTGGAGATGGTAGCCGGCTTTGGCCTCTGCCTGCGTGGCTACACCTAAAGGGCAGTAGATGGCCTGGATTTTTTTGTTGTTTATTTTATTATTAATTTGTTGTTCTTTTGCTGCAGGAATCTCAAAAGTGAGTTGTGGATTTAAGACATCACTCTTAATTAAATTATTACTTGTTTCCTATCTTTTTTTTTAACTTAATCTAGAATAATTATTTCTGCTTTGCAACATTTTTCAGCTCATGCTTTAAGCATCCAATAGTTTGCTTTCTTATCCTTTAAGCAGAGTTTTGCATGCTGTGCAGGTACAAACATTAGATAAGGTAGGATACTTCTGAGTCTTCAGTTTTTCAAGTGACTAGTATGAAAAATCCAAATGTATTTAAATGCACAGGTGTTAACAAATCCCAAATTTAACTTCTTCTAATATTAGAAGAGACTTAAACTTTAATTGAGAATGTTAAGAAATGTTACCCTTTTTTGCCATCCTTTGTACAAGCCAGATCAAAATGGCATGGGGAATCAATATCTGCCAGCAATCCAAGTAGAAAAGGCTACCTACTTGCATTGTGGGGCCCTTTGAGTTTTTGCAGCTGGAACAGTGCTGGAGATTAATTGGATTGCTGAAATTACACTGCATCATGTCTGTCTCACAACTTCCTCCGCCTTATGGGATTGTTAATCTAATATTAAACATGTTAAACTTTATGTCTGTGCTATACCATTACAAGAAGAATCAAGCTTGTGTTTAAAAAGGATCCTTTTCAGATTGTGGGGAGATTCAGATGCATGACACTTTAAAAGCCAACAGTTTTAGCATGTATGGGAACAAAATGCATAGCAGCTTTTTTGCCTTTCACAAATTTAACATTTGAACTTCATATGAAAACTATGTTCTTGTAGCTGGCCTCAGGCATCATCTGTTACCTCCAGCTGAGAAAAACAGCTTCTCAGTTTGGTCTTTAAACAATTATGACTTCATTCTCAGGGTGGCAACAGGATCTAAGAAAATATATAGTTTTCTTTGCTTTAGAGAGTAGTTTTGGATACAAAATTCTTTCCTAGCCTTCAACCTGAGGGAGCTAAAAATCACAGGGATCTGTTGAAACTTTTACTAAAAGTGTGAGTAGCCACTGTGGGAACCAGACATCTTGGAAGTCATCAGCCTCTCTGTTTTAAATCACTAAACCTCTCACAGGAAGACACAACAATACCCCAAATCTCATCTCTGTCATTTGAACTTAAATCCATACATATGTTGTCACAAAGCCGAGAGCCCCTCCACACTTATAAATGTAAATATGGAACCTAAAGTCATCCGTGTTCCTTGGCACTTTGTCAAATTCCGATTTCCAGATCTTGTTGGCTCCCTTGTGGAGTGTCCTTCCTCTCACAGCTCTGTTCTCACTCTGTATCCAGTTCATCATTCACAGAGCAGGATGTAATATGGACACAGTGAACCACAGTTTTGGACTGAAATGAAAGGGATTCATCCATAGCTCATTCATTCATCCTGAATCAAACTTAACATATCACTTAGCTAACAATCTTTTCTTCAATGCTTTACTCCAAAGTTCACATGCATGTGGCTATCTCTGTCCCTCTGTTAGATGTGGAGTTGTTGTCCATGGATAGCACTAAAGCCAGCTGTTGGGTGAGCAATAAGCTGCGAGCCCACGAGGAGCAGTGGAAAGAGGACGACTGCACCTTCTGCCAGTGTGTGGACGGAGAACCGCACTGCACGGCCATGGCCTGCAAGCAGAGCTGCCAAAACCCAGTGAAGATCCCCGGAGAGTGCTGTCCCTTCTGCGAAGGTACGCGAAGGTTTGCCCACCGAGAACAGCTTATCTTTTGACGATCTTTTGTCCAACGTTCCAAAAACAAACAAAAAAATCGACATGGGCCACACATTAAACCCGCATCCCACATGTTGAAGGCTCATGTGGCCCCGCAGCTTTGCTGCAGTGATCCTGTCGGCATGGGCTCATTAAGGTGGAGGCCACAGAGCATTCTTCAAGCTGCAGGGTTCTTTGTGTTCCTTTATTACCCTTGCCCACCAAAATGAGACCCACCTGTGTGAGTGATGTTGCAGCGTGCTTTTTAAAGCAGGAGACTAGGTAATTGAAGTGGATTTTTTTCAGGGGTGTGTGTGTGTGTGTGTTGGGGGGTAATTAGTTACAGCTCGTTAGACTGCTCCTCCCACTGAACGTGGCCAGAGGTGTTTGATGGATGAAATGAGGGGCATGTGTGCGTGCTCTCCGTTTGGTCTGTCCTCATTTGCTGCACATTCACTCCAAAACTCGTCCAAGATCAAAGCGACGTGGAGCTGTGTCTTGAGTCGGAATTGTCCCGGGGGACGCTTGCTCATCCTCCTTGGTTGTCCAGGAGCGTTCGCTGTACATCTGAAAGGCACTCTTGAATTATTAATGGGAGACAGCTCCGTACAATTAAACCGAACAATAATACCTCTCGCAGAGCTGCCCTCCCTCGTGTAATTGCTCCACATTTATCTGTAATTACTGTTTAGGGCAGTGTAAATAGGTAGCTATTACAGTTGGCACAAGAAACATGGATGAAACATTCCTCCTGAGAGGCTTCAGATGCACTCTCTCTCACACACAGCCTGTGTAAACACAACCATGTCACAAATCGTTTTGAGTAACGTTATATGCATTGAAGGTACAGTTTAGTACACACCAGTGTGGTTACAATAAAACAGAGGACAATTGATTTATTAGCATGAAAAACACAGGGTTCCAAATCAACGTATTTACCATGTCTGTTCCAATTTGTGACCTAAATGTTGTTTTGAGTTTTTTTTTTCTCTCATGCTAAGTTCCCTCCCTCCATCAACTCTTTGTTCTCCAGAGCCTTCTTATGAAACGGTTAGCCCCATGCTGTGCCCTCCCCTGGAAAACTGCTCTCTGTCTGGGACTGACTGCCCCTATGGCTTCCATCAAGACAAAAACGGGTGTCTGCTCTGCCAATGTCTCAACAGTAAGTTCTCTTCTTTTTTTTACCACTCTTCATTGAAGATGAAGGGTTAAATTTCCAGGAACGGCCCTCACATGTGTCGATGATTCATGAATGAACAATTCCTGAATTTATATGTATTTTCTCCTACTGGTGTCAAAAGAATTTGGCAACCACTTGATTCTGACTGCCGCATCGGTATGCTCATATTCATCAACGTGGATCTGTGTCTCCCTGTCACGGGAATGTTCCCGCAAGCGTAGCGAATCAGGTTTTGGCTTTTTTGATGGATTGTTGCGCCAACGATCAGATGACCTCTGTCTGGACTCTTTCAGATGACTCCTGTCCAGACCTGGTAAAATACTGTTCCTTGCAATGCCCGATGGGATACGAGAAGGATGATTTTGGCTGCGAGGTGTGCGAGTGCAGTATCCCCACGCCCAAGTGCCGACCTCTGACCTGCGCAAAGACCTGCCCTTATGGATATGTGTACGTACACCCTCTGACCCTATGGGTTTCTCATAGTCAGAGTCCAGCTACACCCATTTCTCATCCATGCTTTTGCCCTTTCTTTCAGCCCATTTAAAAGCCATCTGTTTCTGTCAGTAAAGCAGCACGTGGGTCTTTTTTTACATACAACAGAGAAGTTTATGCGGGTTGTAACAAATTTGTATTAATCTAATTGGATTTTTTTTTATTTCATCATGTGATGCCTTGCAGCCAGTGCCAGTTTATTAAGTCAGAAATGATTTCAACACACTATTGATAAGATTACGTACCTTGGTGGGCATCTATCTGCGAGTGTGTGCATGTCTGTTTGTGTGCGAGTACATTTCTGTGAGGTCCACTCTAGTCTCCCAGCCTCCCGCAACTCCTCTCCTCCTAATCCCATTTAACCCAATCAAGCATCTGGAAGTGCTTTGTACAGGGACACTTGGTCCCCAGGCACCACTCTAGTTTCATAAATCATCGTCCCGTCTCGAAACGACCATCAAAAACGCATCGGGACAAAAGCGGCCTTTTATGAAATGTATACCGACGGGTTCCTTGTGATATGTCAACCGTGCCCTTCGGAGCCAAAGCTAAAGATGGGCCTGAAATGTGTGCAGGACAGAGGAGTTAGGATGAGGAGGGGCAGGAAGCCCCGGCTTTATCCTTAAGAAGCAGCTGTTCAAGTTTTGCCTCAGAAGTCTGAAATCCCCTGAGACTATGCCTGTCTCACAGGTCAGATTTACAGAGGACTCCTCCATGTGGCCACTGCTAAAATACAGAAAGATCAAATGATCTGAGTGTTTTTTGCATTGATGGTATCCCGTAGGATTAATTTAAACCTTGTAAAAATGAACATATGTGAGTGAAAGGCTTCAATTTTGTGTTAAGAGCATAGATGAAAGACATTTTTTTAAGGGTAGTACTTGAAGCTGAAGAATCAAGATTGAAGAACTTTCAATGTTTTGGAGTTCGAAATCTAGACTTTGACCACTTTGGTCTTCGATGGTATTCAGCTGACCATCACTGTTGTGCCATACTGGAAATTGTGCCGAGCCAGCAATCTAAGTCCAGGGCCCCCAATGTCTCCTCAAGCCCTTCTATCCCACTGGAGCCCGAAGCACTGCTTGGCATTCCTCATACCACCTTTAAACAAAGCCTTGCTCCAAGGTCAACTGAGCCTGTCTGTGTGTTTGTACAGTGAGGCACTGGCCAGCCTCTCGCCGTGTTGTTTCTGTGGCTGTTATTGCTGTTTCAGCACAGATAGGTTCCTCTGTTTGCTCAAGCCTGAAATTTTGCGTCCTCTATAAGGCATGCATCATAGATTTCAAGGTCTAATTTTGGCAGATGAAGATTAATAGGGCAATTATGAGACTTTTATGAGGCCTCAGCACGAAATGGGCATCATCACTTACCTGGAGATAAAGGCAGAGAAGAAGGCTCAGCAAGAGCGAATGAGGCCGGGAGGGATGACGAGGAGGGCCAGAATGAGAGAATGGTAGCCACGGTTCATTCTTTTATCTAGGTTTTGACAATTTATCAACCTGCAGCTCATCCATGTTTTATTAGGTAGATAATAGATTCCATTATCTACTGTCTGTTTTCAGCTTCTGCACTTCATTCTGCTTCTCTCTAAAGATTCAAGCTCATTCCTTTTATATGAGCTCTTTCAAGTTTGTTTCCTGTTTAGATATGTTAAATGATCAGAAATCAGCTAAAACAGTCCTATATCTCTTCTATCTCCCACTTTATCAGCAAGCTCTCATTATCTAGCTTGGATCTTATCAGGCCATTGCTCTCTCTTGGCTTTATATTTTCGCCAGAGGCTCTTGGAGCAATAAAGATGGTAACAGGATGAATTGAAAGCATCTGAATTGGCTTTAGATTGCCCCTTTCAAAGTCTTTAAGGTTGGTATGATGTGCAAACCACAGGCATCTCACATGTTGTCTTTTTATTTGCTGTTCTTCAAAGGGAGCTAATACAGAGAGGGCAAAACAGGTCCAGATGCTGATTATTCTTGACTTGACCATCTGGGTTTCAGTGTGTCACAACCCCTTTGACGATTGACCACCAGACTCAACTACTGTAGAAACTGGTTTTAATTCCCCGCTAATTGATGTGCAGGAGAAACAAGCATGGCTGTGAGATGTGTCGCTGCGTCAGGTGTCCTCCCTTCACCTGCGACAAGCACTGCATCAGCGGCTACCGTCAGAACAGGAAGGGCTGCTCCATCTGCATGTGCAAAGGTAAGAGAATCCTCTCAGCAAAGCCATAATTAAAGACAGAGCTGCAAATGAGTCATAAAAATGATCAGAGTTGAAGCAGATTGTAGACCGGTGGCAGCCCATTCTCCTGAAAGACCGATCCAAAACAGCCCATAAATCACCCTGTTTACATTAGCCCCCTACAGGCACAGAACTGTCCTTCCTTAATTGTGTCCTAGTTTGTTTTTCTTTATTGGAAACAGATGTGGCTGTTTGTGACTGGCTGTTTTGGGGTAATAATAATAATCAACATACAGGCAGCACCAAACTGAAATGTGAACATTTTCTGTATACATGGAGAATTTGCCAAATATGAACGGTGACATTATTAGTAAGATCTGAACATCACATAATACAGCATATATTGTGCCCTTTGAGGCTCCTAATTTCTGATCTTCTTTTATTTGGAAGATGTGTTACACAAGCTTAAATGCAGCCTTTCAGGTGGAATGAACCTTTTGCTGGCCAGCTTTAAATATAGAGTTTAGTTTTTGCTTGTTTTGGTTCCTGTTGGTGTTTAGCCTTATCCCCGGGATGTGTGCACAGCGTAGCTTCCCCCAGAGTTCTAAGTTGGTATGAAGGGGCAATATTTATGCTCAGGCACTTCTTATGTGATGTGTTTGGTTTTCAAATTTAAGTGAATTAAAAATACTTCAGCTTTATATAATTTTCTTGTGTGGGAAGGATAGCAGTGCACATGGCTCCTCCTCACAAAAACACACTGGCCCATACATGCTTCCATAAATGACTGTTTACTGGATCTTAAAAAAGTCTACCAAAATATTTAGCCACAAGAACTGTTTTTTTTGGAGGTATGATTGAACTGAATATAATTTAATGATTCACAGGCCTCTTTCAGCTATAAAAGGGAAGTTCTATACAAATGTCTGCCTAAACTGTGCCATTCATTCCCAAAGTATGTGTCTATGAGCTTGAACCTGTTTTTGATTTTTGCGAAGAAGTTACTGAGATTCACAGAGATTTGAATAACAATGTTGGAACATTACGGACATTAGTGACACTGATGTGTGTGCCTTTCATTTTTGTGTTTGTAGAAAGTCTCCCAAGCACCACCGACCCAGCCCAAGCCCCCAGCTACTGCCTAACCTCCAATGGGCAGCGTTATGAGGAGGGTGAAAGCTGGCACGACGGCTGTCGGGACTGCTACTGCCACTCTGGTCGGGAGATGTGTGTGCTCATATCCTGCCCCATACCCAGTTGCTCTCATCCTGTTGTCAAGCCTGAGCAGTGCTGTCCTACCTGCGAGGGTATGTCTCTGACTTTCAGTCACCACCCGATTTACACAGGACCAAAGATAGTTTCAGGTTGTTACATCTTATTTCCACACATTTGGCCCATTGGTAATAACAAATCTGCTCTCAACATGTCAAATAGCTGGGGCTCATTCATAGGCTTTCACAAACCCCCATGTTCATTATTACCGTCGTAGCATTTATGTTTGAGTATTATAACCAATACAAAATGGTGCAAAAAAAAAAATAGAACGAGAATATCCACTTTAAACGTGTTTTTGAGTTAAGGTATGGTTCTTATCTTACATGCAAAGTTAGCTGGGAAAGATTTCAGCATTTTGCACCCTTTGACAAGATAAAATGTATAGTTTAGATAGGTGCATGCGTTTAGTTAATAAATGCTAATTTATTTATTGATACTACCAGCAAATTTAAAAGTTGTTGGTGGAGGAAATCGGGAAAGTTATTTATTGCTTGGTAAAAACAGCTCACTTCTTATGGAATCATTAACAGATCAGTAATAGGATCAGATAAAAAAAATCTAAATAAATAAATAAATGGGCAGATGAATACAACAGATATGAAAAAAATCCTAATAAGTCTGTAAGGTGGGGAAGATCCAGAAAAACAGATGTTGGATAACGAAGACAGGAATGGTTTGGCTCCATAGGTCAACGCCCAAAAAGCCGACATCTGTGAAGTTATGGGAAAATATTTGAGCAAGGTACATTTGCACCTTAGACATTTGTGCAGGCTACAATAATGTTGACCCATATATTTATTTAAGCAAGAAATTGCCAGACCACATGCTGCACTTATTGCAACATGATGCCTCAGTAGTAAAAGGGTTCAGGCACTAAACTGGCCCATCTGCAGTCCAGAACTGTCACCTTCTATAAACATTTGGTGAATGAGGAAATGGAAAATAGAAAGGTCCCAAACAGTTGAGCAACCGAGGAACCAAAAAGTACCAGTTTACAAATTGCATAACTTTGTTATTACAAGTTTCTACTGTACAACACAGAGTGCGCAGGCTCCTGTCCGAGCTTTTCCTCAAAGCTTGTTGAGCTCATGAACATTTAGCTTTCAAGAATCAAAACAGATCTAATGGGATGGGAGCTCTGGAACAACTTACTGGCCCATTAAACATGCAAAGTCACTGTCTCTTATCGGTTCCTCTGGAATTGGAAGGCGAACTGACCCACGCCCACATGTTTTATCCACAGCTCTCCAACCAGTGAGAGATATTTATGGAGGAGCGACTCAGTTGGCTGTTCAAATATTTAGAAGTGATAGAATCTCTACAGCTTTCAGAAGCTGTGCAGTCAGGGGAATACAGGATAACTCTTTGCAGATGTCTGTAACTCTGCTGGACAGTAAAGATGTTTACAACTAATTCAGGGTAAAAAAAAAAAAGTTAAACAAAATACTCTCACTCCTCTCCTGAACACTACACACCTGAGACTTACTCAGTTTTATTTCCATTCATCTTTTAGCTGCTGTTGATGAGCGTTGAACGAATGAATGTTTGACAAATCTGATGTTTGACAGCAAATTTTACAGCTCTTCCCCTCCTTTTGGACTGTAGATGAGTCGGGCAGCGGCCAGCCGGAGGGGATGGACATGGTGGTCTGCCGGGCGCCTGGCGGGGAGTTCTACGTGGAGGGGGAGACCTGGAACCTGGACGAGTGCACGCGCTGCACCTGCAGGAAGGGACGCGTCCTGTGCGAGGCCGAAGTGTGTCCCCCGGCTCTCTGCCAGACGCCAAACAAGAGCAAGGGCACCTGCTGCTACGTGTGCCCAGGTGAGAGAAAGCAAAATGAAGCCGGGGTCTTTTCAGAGAGAAACAAAAAAAGAATTGGCTGACTTTGGGAGCTGTCAGCAGTGTTGGAAGCAGAGGAAAAAAGAGCTGTTTTTGGAGGTGCTATCAGCGTGTGGTTTTGGAAGGTCTCTGTCGTGTCATAAAGGAACCAGCTGCGTCTGGTTGGGTTTACATAGAAATCTTCCAGCCACGCAGCAGCAAGTGTGGACTGTTTTCACCCCGCGACCCACACCGGAGGGTTGTCAAGACTTCAGCCACACTCACTGAACCTTTTCCATTTCTCCGGTGACGGGAATAGGCTTTGACACAAACGCATAGACAAACGCAAAGCCGCGAGCAGATTTTATTTACACTTCAGCCCAAACACTGCAGTATCTTTTTCCACATTTGCAAACTTCTGAACGGCAATTCCCAGACACGAAGCCCACAAATCAGTAATGCTCGACTGCGCCTGAGAGCTGCTCCTCAAGAATGCCGGCCCTCCTTATCGCAGCATCTCCTTTCACAAAAGGAGGCTGTCAGAGGCCAAGCTTTGATATATGTACGGGCCTGGTCACCAGGAATGTGGGAATAATACACATCTCACTGACGGGCTCTATGATGTATGTGTACAGTAGAGCGGGGCAGAGTGCACATGCTAATGAAGTCCCCCGGTCGCGAAAAAGGCCAACGATCTCGGTCCTCTGGGGGTGTGATGAAAGAGCAAGAGATAAGGTCAGGGACTGAGCCGACATCTGCCATATGGAGTCACTTGTCTCTGTGTTTGACATACTGTAAAGTATCTTATCTAGAAAGCAGTTCTGAATTCCTAATAAGCCTTGTTGGTTGAGATGTTATATAGCAAAAGCAGGCCCCTCACACTTGTGTGACTGAGTCAAAAGTGAGCCATTTTCCATAAGCGTTACGCCCCCGTTCCCAGGCTCAATTAAGGTAAGCAAACCTAATGTGACGCGCCACACAGCTCCAGCCATTGTTTTATTGCTAATCCTGTTTACGTCTGTTTCCACCCGTAGAGGGGACAGAGAAGCCCTCACTGCCAGAGAGAGACAGCCAGCAGCAGTTCTGCGTAACCAGCCAGGGAGACGTGCTGCTCGCCGGAGACTCGTGGAGGGCCAACGCCTGCACCAGTTGTACCTGCAACAACGGCACCATTCAGTGTTTCTCCCAGCGCTGTCCGGCGGCCAACTGCAGGGTTCCGGTTTTGCGCAAAGGCCAGTGCTGCCCACACTGTCTGGGTGAGTTTTTAGGTGCATCTCAAGAAAAATCAGCCTTTTTATTTATCGGGATTTGGCTTAAACAGGTTGAATAGGAAAAATGAAATGTAGTTCATGTTGCATTTCCCGTTGAAGTTGCAATCTTAAAGGAATGATATGTAATAATGTGTGGCAAAAAAAAGTAAAGGAGGGTATGCATGTGTATAGATTATGTGTGTGTGCGCGTGTGTGTGTGTGTCTGTGGGTGTTTGTCGGATATGGCCACTCTGGCGCTATGCAAGCAAACACCATCACTCACAAAATATTCCATGTGACACGCTCGGTCCTCTCATAGCGAAAACATTCCTCGAGCATCCGCACATTGACGTGTTTTTCCTGTCCCAGGCCGGCTCGGCCCGCCACGCTCTCGCATGCAGCAGCACAGGAAGGCAAAGCTCCATGTCAGCTTTTCCTATAGACCAAAAAACCTCCATTGTTTCCCCCTGGTATGCTGTCATGTCACCAAGTCTTTTGTTTTTGCCAGTTGCCCGGTGGAAAACACAGCTTTTTATGTAATGCCCCTACAGAGCCGCCCAGTAGATCCCATAGACACGCCTCATCAGCTGAGACACCAGGGAGCGTAAACACCAACTCGCTTTTAGAAATAACGGTGCACAGCAAGTGCTGCAAAACACCCGCCATACTGATACGTTCATATCTGGTGTCTGAACAGAACTGACCACGTCGGTGCCTGTGATGGTGTCTACCGTCGGCACCAAAGCAGTCGCCACGACAACAACAGAGGCTCCACTCTGGATCACCACCATCACAGTGCCACCCATCACTGCTGTTAAAGGTAACTTCTTATTTAGCCTCTGCTACCTGGTAGTGTCCCGCTCCTCTCCAGGTCTTGTTCTTCATTTGTCATCTAAATGTTTCATTCAGTGAACAACCAGTCCCTTCTAAATGGCAAATATGAACTGTATTCAATGGATGTCAAAACCCAGTGTTGCCTGTCTGTGTCCAGCAGATGAGCCAGGTTTGGGGGAGATCTATCCCAGCCAGACAGAGATGGCCCTCGTTTACCAATCTGCAGCCTGGATCCTGGCCGGCCTCCTCCTGGCCATCATCATTTTCCTCATTGTAGCGCTACTCATCAACAGGAAAAAGAAGTGGGTGCAGATGTCCTGCTACAGTGCACCAAAGAAGGTGAGCGATGATCTGCAAATCAAAAAACCTAATGAAAGATTAGGCCAAACGACATGCCCCCCCCCCCAAGCTGAACTGCTGACAGTTCCTGTTTTAACCAGCACTAAAGCTGTCAGGATACGTGTCGTTTCCCCTTTGCCTTTTTTAATAGAAGAAGGCAATGCCTTGCAAAAAGTTTCCATTTGAATTAGATGTCAATGTAATGTTTTTTAGAACAAACCAAAGTAAGCCATAAATTAGCAAGCTGCCACCACAGTAAAGCAATTAAATTAATTCTGGCCTCAATGTGTTTATTTTCCTTCTTGACCCCTCTGCAGACGGTGATCCTGAAGAAGCACATAAACAAGAATTCAGTGGTCTACATGGAGCCCTCCAAGGAGAACAAATTTCAGAATGTGAAGAATGACTGCGGCATCATCCACTTCTCCCCAGAAATGAGCTCCCCCTGCTCAGAAAAGCTGACCATCCCCAGGGCAAAGCTCAGCATGGGCAACGACTGGACGCCACGCTAAGAAAAACAAAACAATAAAACCTGAAAAAAAAAGACTCTGCAGGTCAGAGCTGTCCTGCATCTCTCCCTCTCTCCTGCTGTGGCCCCTGTGGTGTGTGTGTGACCCCACACTCACCTGAGGAGCTGCCCCCCCCCCCCTCCCCTTTACCTTTCTGTGACAGTTAGACTGAGGTTTCTCAACAAGAGACAAAACAAGTGGCCACTTTTTCATCACAGGACAGAGTGGCCTACTGGGAGGCTGATGGACAAGTGGACACTTACAGGACACGGTGACCCTGCTGTGAAAGGGAGAAAGTAACAGCCAGAGAGTCTCCTCTGTCGAAATCAGAATTTGACTGTGAACACTGTATCATTACCGTTTCTTATTGACTCCTTTGAAACTGGAACTTTGGGGCAATAAGAAGATCATAAAAAAGCTTTAGGACAGGGGCTCGGGCTATAAAAAGGACATCGAGGATGCCTCACCTTTAAAGTGCAGCGGGGCTTCATGGATGCCGACATCATCATCGTCAGTAGGGAGGTCAAAAGAACCATAAAAATCCATCACCCTGGGCAAAAACGTGTGAAGCCAGCAGGTTTTTATGAACCCTCCCAGATCTGAACCCCTGCTTTAGAATTTGTGGTTTCTTAGTTTCGTATATTTCTACAGTATTTATACTAGATGTCGTGTTGTATTTGGCCATGTCTTGTTTTTATCATGGCAGTCTTTGTAGGGCCATGCTGAAAGATTTTTTTGAAATGCCAGTCTAAACATTCCCCTGCCCCCTCCTGTATGGGAAGGACAAGCTTCCCAAAAATAGTTGTGCACCTTCAAACGGCCGGACTCATTCCATTCAGAAAACTCTCAGTCAATGGCACTTCCATTAAAAGAAATGTGAGAATTTGCTCTCTAAACTGTAAATAACAGTCATCAATTTCACCCATAATGGAATTTTTGTTTCTTCCAAACCAGCCAGAGAGACAAAACTCATCTCACATATAGCTAAAGAGGGATGATGTGCATTCAGGTGGTGTCATTTAATGAACAGTAGGTGTACAGCTAAAAGTCCAGGTGTTTTCTCTGGATCTTTGTGGAATGTCTTTGATATCATGCCTGACTTCATACAAAGCTGTGTGTGGGGGGATGCACTCCACACACACACACATACCCATCAGCAATGTTTTTAATGATTCTTTGGAAAGCCTTAATTCTTAAGCCTTAATACATTTCAATTGTGGACATCTTGTTTTTCTGATTGTACCATATCAAGAAAAAAAAAAGTAATTCACACTCCTGTAACTCAGAGTTAAGGGCATCATCAGCTCCTCATAAACATGAATAATGTGATGGAGCATGTGTAGATAGTGGTACACATTACAACACCACAGCATGTTTAAGAGAGTTAAACAGCACTTTTCCTTGGAGCCAGTGTTTGAAAAAGCACCCTACTGGATTCCTGGAGGGATAAAGTCCCTAATCAGGGATTTGATAGGCATGTGCACAGAGATGTTAAAGCACTCGAGCGGACACGCTGTTGCAGCTAGAGGCTCCGGACCAGTCTGATCTGTGCAAGGAAGGAAAGAATCTGAGAAGCATGGCAAACTATCTTTAAATCCTGTTTTCGGATTCTCAGTCCACGGTTAATATTTCAATACAAAGACCATTATGATGCCAAAATTGGTTAGAAACCAATTCATATTGAAGTGTTTTCAGTACATTTGTATGTGTTTGTGTGCTTTAAAAATGAAGAGGCAACTTTAAGAGCTTGTTCAATTCTTTGTTCTCTTTATGTGTTTAAAAAAGTAGTTTGAATAAATAGGACAGAAGAAAACCTTATTTATTTTTTACATAGCTTTATTTATTAATACTAAAGTTATAGTTTTAAGTTGTTGTTTTTTTTTCTTTTTCTAAATGGACTTTTAGTAGCCAAAGCTGCTGTACATTGTAGACCATTTACCATTTCTATCTGCTATACTCTGGACAAACTTATTTATTTCACTGTTGCAAATCTTGTAAATACGTTTCTTAGATTATAAACGGTAACATTTACACTCATTTTGAAAAATAAAAGTGTGAAACAAGGTGGCTCTTGCTGACGTTTGAACCTGAACTCCATGAAGTGCTCTGGTGCCATCTAAGATGCCGACACTTGGTGGGTCTAATTCACCTGCATGTCCATGCACACCTGGTGCTGGACTTCCACTCCAAATGAGAATTTGTCTTCTTTTAGTCCCTTTTTTAATCTGCAGCTTCTCCCTTTAGTATTATTTAATTAGCAGATGCAGACTTGTAAAGCAGAGGTGGGTCGTTTTTGAGGGAGAGAGGGAGGAAGAAGGCGAGTCCTCTGAGATTTAAGTAGTGGCGAAAAAGCAAGAGGGACTCTCATCTATCCAAAGGGATAATAAAATGCCGGAAGACAGGGGTATATGGGCCGGACCTGAAACCTGAACAATCCCTCGCTGTTGTTCGGACTTGTCCTGCAGAGCGAACGTATAAACTTCAAGATGAGAAGCTCCTTTGGAAAAATAAATAAAGCAAACACTGAGGTCAGTGTTCCATGACTTGAATCAAATTGCGTTACTTTGAATTATTTTAGTAGTTAGGAACTTCCCGACTAAACTTCTTTACATAAAGAGCAATTCACAAACTGATAATTAATTTGCTGTTAATTAGTGAGCGTATGTACTGGTGTTAGGGTTTGTGGATCCCTTTCAAACTTTACCGGTGTAACTGAGTTTTTATTGCCACGTTTCACATACAGGTTAAGGTTCTTTTAGTTAAAATAGCATTTCTGGTTTAGACTTAAGCTTTCTTGGCCTTGTTCTTTTTATAAAAGACTATGGATAGGCGGCAAGAGCAGGGGCTTCCTCCAGGAAGCCCTGGTATGCACACTGTTGTGGAGTGTTGCCCTCTTGGTGGACTCCTGCGCACTAACTCAAGATGAGAGGCCTGTAGTTACCCTGGGTTTCGTTTTGACCACTTAAGCTATTACACACCTGGTTCTCTGAACAGTCTTTTTGGTAAACCATTTGTGGGAAGAGCAGTCCTGAATTTACTCTAATTCCTTTTTGAAGGGTCTAAGAAATGTTAGTTGATATGATGACAAACTGTCAGACAGAAGCCATGAAGAGCATTTTAATCACCGTTCTTCACAATACATCAGTTTCACAAGTGTAATGCCATCAATTGAAAACACCAGAATCTTACTTCACTTTCATGTTAACAGATTCTCCTAAAAATGTACATGTCACTCACTGACATGTAAAAAATATTTGACCATTTTTCCTCATGAAATTCATGAACCCATTCTACTCTCATTGTGTTTTCTATGTTTATGATTGTTTTTCTTATAGCTGAAAATCTGATGTTCAAGGTTATCTTTTCGCAAATATAGAGAAATTCTTCAGAGTTTTTCAGGCACCACTGCTGAACGTGAGGTAATACTAAAAAAATCCAGAATAGCAATGTTCAACATACTTAAGGTGGAAATGTTTATTCATCACATAATACAGACAAACACCCAAAGCGTATTAGACTGCATTCCCAGCATCCACTCTGCTACCAGTTATAAATATAACATTTTTCTTCACATGACGTCATTTTCTTTAAAAAGCCCTTTCTCTAACAATGTCTTGAGTTCTATTAAGGCAGTGGAATCCAGCAAACCTCTTGTCTCTTCCAGGTAAGACCAAAAAGTTTTGGGAAAGGTGCTGAGTTGTAATAAGGCTCTAATAAGCTGAATAACCATTCAACACAGTAAAACAAAGCCATTTGCTGCTTTGGGGGGTGACATTTCCCAAATAGAAAAATGTCAACTCTGAGCAGATTGTGCAGGTCCCGGGATAAAAACACAGACTCGAGTGAACCTTTGGTAAAGCATATTTCCTTGGTTCTCACAGAAGGATCTTGTAGTAGTCGTCTTTATAGCTGTACAGGACCACCACAGCCACCCTGAGAGAGGATAACGTGTGTTTATTATGTAACAAAACAGAATAGTTAAAAATAATGTTTTTTTTTCCCCATAATGGAGCATCTCAAAATCAGGACAAAGTTTTTCCAGGACTTCTTCTGTGAGCTCTATTAAGAAGCCAATTCTATTTAACAATGGGAGAATCCAGCCAGGACCTGATACCCTGGGATTTGGAGCCTCGTAACTCAAAGTAAACATAAAAATAACGCCAATCCTTCAAATCTAAAACCCTTTACAGATGATGAAACACAACAGCAACATGATGTGCAACTCTGAATTATAACTGAATCTGGCGCACATTTGAGTTTGCCCTACACTCTCATTTATCACAAAATACCTCCAAAACCAATCCCCACAAGCATCATGTTCTTTTTTTAGTGCTACAGATGAAACTTCTTCAAATCTAATGCCAGCCAGTTTCCAGCCCTTTTGAAAGCCTAAGTCAAAGGCCCGTGCCTGAACAAACCAGCCTGTGTAAGTAGCTTTATCTGCAGCATAATGAGTGTAAACAATAAACATGAGGAAATAATACAAAAATGACTGTGTGGATGGCACCATGCTGGCATAATTAAAATGCCTGACTGAGTGTAAGCACTGGCTCGCAGATCCGTCAGAATGGCCGCAGAAAGTTTGAAACAGTGGTTTTTGTTGCTATTATAGGAAAAATAAGTGACAGTTTACGGTTCTGCTGCATGAGTCCTTTACCCCAGTCCTCTGGCGTCAGCTGCCTATGCCCCACGTTTGATGAAAAGGACTAAACAAAATTATAAAAACAGACGCTGAATGTAACCACTGTTGCCTCTGTGAGGTTCGTTTATCAGTCGAGAGTTTAACCCCCTAAATAGCAACTCAAACACGAAGCAGAGACAGGAAATTAGAACCAACTGCTCCGAAGACGCTGATTTTTCTGTTTGTCTTTTCATATAAACTTGGCCTTCGTCTGTCTTTTGCACCGAGATCTTACGAGCCAGACACCGGAGGACAAAACAAGGCAAAGCCTTCTCCAGATTTCACCTCAGGAAATGGGATCAGCTGAGGATTTAATGCTCCCCAAGGCAGTAGTTATCTGTCTAACAGCTCCCTTTGAAGGCCTGACTGTCACTGCTACACCTGGAGAGTTTGGGCTGTGCAGGAGTTTGGGAGTGGCTGCTACCTGCAAAAGGAAGTCTGTCCTTTTTAAACATAATCTTCAACATGTCTAACTGCCTGCTTTGGCCTTTATTTTCAGAGGAATAGCAACTTGAAAGATACCTATACAGATAAAAACAGAAAAACAAAAATCCAGTTAATTGTTTAACACTGTGATGGAAACTGAAATTTTCTAATTTGTCAAAATGTCAAAAATTTGCCAACGGATCTATGATGTGATATGTAGGATAAAAGCATAATTTCCAAATAAGACTGAAACCTCAGATCCACAAGACCCTTCTCCTCTTCTATGCAGAAATGACATATTTTTGTCTTTAAGTTTTTTTTTTGTCCCTACACCTCACATTTACAATAGCAGAGGGAGTATTAAATGGGGTAATGCTTTTAACTCAAGCATCTGGCGACATCATGCAGCTATCGCTTCCAAAAACTACGATGGGAAATGAAATTTGATACAAAAGCTTGTGATTTCCAGATGATGGACAGTACTAAGTTTGTCAAGTTTTAACCTTACTACGAGCAGGTTAATGTTTATTTCTCGCTGCCCTACACAACCTCTGGCTTACAGCCATGGTAACAACCTCAAAGAGACACTAGAGGGGCCACATAGTCCGACTTTATTGGGGGGCAAGTAGCAAAGCCCTGCAGGCACCCATAATGTGTCTGGCTTTTTATGTACTCCTCCTTCTTGCTTTGTCATGAAACTTTAGTTCTAAGGATCTGCCAAAAATGTGTGGAATAAGGTCTTAAAATATGAAATGTGCATTAACAACATAATTCTCTCTTTGAAGTTTCACAGATATGACTCAACAGCTGAGGAGCCACCAGTGAGATGAAGCCCACCGCTCATTTTTAGATGTAACCTTATTTGAACGACACGGTAGTTACGAGAAAAAGCTTAAAATGAGTAATAAACTAGCTAAAAATGAGTACTAATGTTGTTCAGCACAAGTGTCCATAGGTTAATATAATGATCCATCTTAATGATTATTTAAAACAAACAGCCATTAAAAAAAGCTATGCTCTCTGTGCACAGTAGGTAGTCTGTGTGATAAAAGTAAGAAACAGGAAGTCTTAAGATTTATCGAATTGGAGAGGCAAATGGGAAAAGAACAGTGATCAAGAATTCCGACCCCTTATGCTGAGTTTCTCGACTTCCTCATTATTTCTTGTAATAAATCATTTATAAGAATATCGTTTGCTTGACTGGCTTGTCAGCAAATATCACTTCTTTGTCCTTCGATATTAAGCCAGGTGAAACCTAAAAGCCAAGAGCAACTCAAACATCAGCATTCACCTTTTCATGATCTTAAAGTGGTGGATCTCATCGCAGATGGACTTCAAGTAGCGCTGCTTAGGCAGGCGGGACAGCAGAGTCTTGACGCTGCTGTTGAACTGCTCTTCGCTTTCAAACTGCAAAAGGGGACAAAAAGTGGATGTTAAAGCGAGCCGAGAAAATAAATGTGAGGAACACGCCAAACCGAGCTCGGAACAGCGTATGGAATATTATACTGTGAAATGTTTGTTGACAGACTCATGAATGGTAATGTAGACAACGTTCAAAGGAAAGGCCGAGCTTTTCATCTGCAGGACTGGGGTATAGTTTTGGATGTCACGTGTTACGACAGCAACAGTTTGACTTTGAGCAATTTGCCACATTAAAAGCAGCCCTTCCAAAGTTGAAGCGCTGCATTGTCCTGGGTTTCACACACTGAAACCTTTGTCTTTGACACATGTGCTGTGAGGGGCTGACTAAAGGTGGCCCAATCGTTTCTGGAGTGGAGGCTTTGGCTTATGTAACGGCAGTGTTCAGCTTTCTGTGTCTTTTCCCGGTTTTATAATGAGCGTTTGAGCAGGGGAAGCTGAGACTTTATTAGCAAAAAAAGCCCTTGTAAGAATTTTGGAACGAGAATAACCACACTCCCTGAGAGTGGGCCTTCTTTACTGCTCTGCGTGTCGGTCACATGTGTGAGCCTTGTGAAATGGGTGTGAAGCCTGACTCTTTCGGGTGTCCCTGGCTGTGTGCCGCTCCGCTTCCCCTCAGAGAGGCTTGAAAGGAAGGAGACGGGATTCCCTCTTCCTGTCTCGGACCCTGACCTTCACTGACTGAGTTGTGCTTTTGATGAAACGAGCAGGGAACCAACCTCCAGAGACAGGAAGTTGATCAGAGTTTCCTTCTGCAAGTCCACCTGCAAGATTAAAAAAAACGTCAGTCTTATCTCAAAGCGCAACTCCATGCAAATATACACAATATCTTGGATGTTTTCACAGGATGAACGGCCATCATTAGTGTGCTGTGGTTTACTGCCTGTTGGCCTCGTGGTCCAGCTTGGCTTGTTTGACTAACAGGCTGCTGACATGCAACACCAGAGACTTACATCCCTGTGTAGCTGCTCGCCGCCCCTTTTTATGTCAATAAACTCCTCTTTATGGCTGAATCGCAGAAGCAGTCCAGATCCAAAAAAGGGTTGAGAAATGTATTTGAAAAATGCAACATTGTAAACAGGACAAGCACTGAGGATTTACTTGAAAAGTATCTGGCCGTAAATCTACAACGCAGCCACAAATAAACTCAATATGGCAACCATTTACGTCCACCCAAAATGACACGGCAGCTGCCTTCCGTTTAGTGTTCATTGTTGTGTAGCAACTGGAACAGATTCACAGCCATCTCACCACCAGCAGGGGATTTGGGCTAAATGATTTTAGATAGGGGCTGCTCCCAGCGCTGTTTGTTGTTTTAGCTATCAGAAGCTCTTTCTTCGTTCAGTAATTTCACACATGAATTGTAAAGATAAGGTGGGAGAGGAGAGGGTGGAAAAAAGCGAGTTGGGAGAAATAAAATGGAGAAAAAACAAAGGAACTTACTGCAAGAACCTCAATGTCATTGCTCTTGTTCTGCAAATTGCTACCAAGATTCTGTAATCTTGTTTGGATCTGAAATGGAACAAAGAGAGTGTAACCAAAGAAAGAAAACAAAAAAGGGGGGGAAAGCATATTATAGTTCCCATGAAAATCAAAGAATCACTTTCACATGGAGTCTTACTATAAACAATCCACTGGCGTATTTTTCAGTAAGCAGCAGAATATTTGTCATAAGAAAAGCTCAAATGTTTAAAGCAGGCACACATAGTGACACAAAGACAATTCATATGACTTCCCTTATCAAAACTCAGTTCATACTGTTTTAGCATAATGGGTCTTCGGTGGCTGTGAAGAGTTTACAGCTTCAATCTCAGCCATAATTATGTGTTTTCCATGAAAAAGAGTGGTAAAACTGATCAGCCGATGTCGGCTCTACAGCATGTCATATAAGGAGAAAAGTAGCTGCTTCAAACTGACCCAACTCACTGCGGTTGAGCCGCTCACAGCCGGTGTCAACACAAAGGCCTTCGTAAGAGCCAAGAGGTCACAGCTGACTTTATTTAAGAGGGTCACAAGCCGTAAATTTAGCAGGCAATTGCTGTGGAGAGGTGTTATCATGGGCAGGTGTAGTTACAAATCAGGTAAAAAGCGTAAGCTGGGCCTTTCACTTTCACGCTCTCAGCAGGAAGTTTTCCACAATTTCACTGGCGGCATCAGTGGGAACCAGTAAAAAGAAGGGGAAAGCAAATCTTTGACTGATTGTGAGTTTGTGTGGGACAAAAAAAAAAGCTGAAAGGGTTAGACAGAGAAGAATTGGACCCTGAAGTAACAAATCATAACAGAAGCCGCACAGAATGGGAGCAAAGCTCCACCTTTGTGGATCACAAACCTGAGTCTCGTAGCGCCGTCTGGTGCTGGCCGAGACCTTCTCCGGGCTGATGACGTTCACATTCATGTTCGTGGTGCTGCTGCTCCCATGTTGCTCGGAAGAACCTGGAGACGACGTCCATATTTACTCAGCCGATAACGTCACAGGTCGGAGCTCTACCTCTCGGGTTTGAAACGCACACTTGTTCCGACTACCGTTCAGCTTAACTGGAACGGTTTCAAACTGAAAAACGCCGGGAAACCTAACAGTTGAGCTCCTTCTTCTTGCTGCCATGTTTGCGCATCAATCTGGGCGACTCGGCTAAAAGCCACATATTCATATAACACGGAGCACTCTAATGGAGCCACGGGCCAACCGTGCGGAGACAGGGGCGCGTTTGTTTTATGCTCCGGCGTGCACAACATCCAGCACATTGCCGCTGCCTGGCTCTCAGTACCTGTGTTGTTGAGCTGGGATCCTTTAGGGTTCTGAAGGGTCATGCTTTCAGAGATTTCTCTTCAGAGACACAAGGACAACATTCATGAGAACAACTCGGCACATCCATCACAGACATCTGAGCGGCACATTACCCTGAAATGTTTTTACCTGCTGCTTCTCTCGTCAAAGTATTTGGTCCGACATTTCTGAATGACATGGTCCACCAAGTCCGACTCTGGAATTCGTTTCTCCGACTGCCGATCCTTCTCAAAGGATTTTACCTGAGGAAGGAAAATCTATGTAACATGTGCTGACGGCCCACCGCTTCTTCTTAGTCAAACTGTCTGCATGCTTTCAATAATACAAGCAGTACAGTTCCAGTGACAGGAGCAGCTAGAAGAGACCCACTGTGTAGCTCACTGCAGCCAAATGCAGGCAGATAAACTCAAAAGTCAAACGGTGTCTCTGGATTAAAAAGGAAATGCTGCGTGCTGGTTCACCTTAAGGTAGTTTCCCTCTTTGTCAGAGACCAGGGCCATGCACGTGATGCCCGCCAGCCTGCACTGCTCCAACAGGGTCTCCTGAGACTGTACACACAAATTGGAAACTATTTACAAAACAGCTCACATCTGGAAAAACTGTTCAACAATACATCATGACGAAACAGCTCAAACCGTGGACTGCACATGGCTTTCCTTATGTAACTGGGCCTGAGCATGCTGGCCGATGTGGGGTCTGGATTTCAGAGAACTCCAATCCGCTAAAAGCTCACAGCTCTTCGCACATGTGTTTTCTTCTATGAGTGGAAATACACTGGAATTAATTAAGGATTCATAATTCCTTATTTTGGCTGCAAATGATGAAAGAATGAGACTAATCTGGGGCACAACGTGAAAGGAAGACAAGCTTAAGAAGGAGCTCATTCTTTACATAGAGTAATTGATTTTAAACCAAGTTTCGCTTGGAATCTCAAGAGTGGGCGGCAAGTTGGGATGGAGACCAAAACCAATGCGCATTCAGGTAACGCATTCAGCCGTGACGGCGAGGAAGTATGCCTGCATCTGCGTCGGAGCAATTTCTCCTCATTAACTTCAGCTCCGCACCTCTTTTGGACGAGCTAGTGATGGCTGAGGGCAGACTCTCCGGCACACCCCGCTGTGTTTGTGTATGTGTGCGTCACTTTGCTTTGTCATCAAGTCAGCTTTCACACTTCCTCTTTTCTTTAAACTTCCTCACTGCCAGCTCGAGTTAAGTCAAAGGTAAGCTTCTGCCCGGGGGCAGATGGGCAGCTCAGAGCCTCAGCTGACGGCACACGGAGGGGGTTTGCCATATTTGGCTAAAAACCGCTAAAAGACTGGACCCGTCTCTCAAAGATGAACTAAAGCTGCAGCAAAATTATGTTAAGATGACAGCGTGTGAACGGCGTTAACAAAAGTCAAGAGATGGGGAGTAATGGGTGAACACGGTGTCCTCACCAGATTAGCACTGGTCTGCACACACACATTTGGATTTGCTGCGTAATGCTTTTTTTCTTCTTTTTTTCTTAAGAGAGGCACAAGGGTTTGACACTTGAGTCCTGTGCCAGTAACAAAGGACAACGGGGACCATCCAAGCACTCACTGCAGAGGTGGAAAGTTAGGACATCAAAAAGCTTCTGATAAACAGCGGAGGAAAAAGAGAAGTGGGCTGTGGTGGGAGGGGGGTTTGCTCACACAAACAGGGCTGAGGTCAGTTTGTCACATTAACATGAAGAATGTGACAGAAGCACAGCATCAGAAGTTTGAGACCAGATGATAAATGACTTCACTTCAAAAGGGACTTGATCCAAGCTCGCCTATCTTATAGCACAATTACTATCAACAAGAAACCATCAAAGTTTTTTTTAATGAGTGTGCCTGGTCAACAACAGAGATGGAGTCAGTCAAAGGACCAGAATTTTTGCCATCTGTGGGAAGGAGAAGGATACTACCGGAGGTTTAAATGTGTCCTGGAGACAAACCAGCTTAATGCTGTATGTCTCTGCTGTCTAAAATCAGAGACGTGGTTAGCTTTAGGAAAAGATAGGAGATCAGCTGGAGGAAAAAACAGAAGCCAGTAAGCTCGCAACAGGTTCCCACCATGCGTATGAAAAAATGACAAGCATGTGAGTGGAGCACTTCCACTCCAACACAGGAGCCCTGAGAGATAATTGACCTAATCAACAGAAAGATAACAGCTAAAATGATTTGTCTGTCTTAATTTAGTGATACCTTTCACCAACCAGCAACACTAGGATGGAGCAGTTTTGAGCCCTTTCACCAATTTCGAAAACATTTTTGCCTTTATAAGGACAGAGAAACAGACAGGAAGTGTGGAGAAAGTGAGCAAGGGAATTATATCCTGCAAAGATCTGGCTGGCGGGGATGGCTTTTCACACCCACGCGGTATTCAGCTAAGCCACTTGGCCGTTAGGGTCGTCCTGCGATACGCGTCTCTGCCAACTGTATTTCACTGACTAACAAAGGACAAAAAACAAAAGCCTTAAAAACCACAAACCAGATTTCAACCAACATTTTAGTCCTCTAAGTGCTGCATGAGGAAGGAAAATAAAGTTTTGAAGGTGTTGCTTCCTGGAGAACACAACGCATTAAGGTGAGCAAAAGAAATGCAGTCAGTGATGTCTATCTGCACAGAATTCAGTGTATGAAACATTTATACAATGTTTCTCCTTATGGTATTCCAAGGTGCAGAGCAGAAATGCCATTTATAGGGTTTTTCAGCCAGCACTTGTACAATCAACATCTTGCAGCAGCGCTTTGATCATGTGACTAGTACAGAGACAACGGGGTCATTTTAAAACCAGTAAACAACTTAATTTTCCTAAATGGCGCAATGAGTCATCTAAATCAGCCCGTGTATTGTTTCCTCAATCAACTCGAGTCAAATACGTAAGCAACCCACATCGTCCTTCAGAACTGGCTTCCTTTGGTTGTTTGGGTGGGAGATAATTATGCTGCAAACCTGTGAGACATCATAGGTGATGTCTGCAGAAACGCCAAAGCTCCACAGCTTCTGGACGACGTTGATGGCTCTGGACATGGACGAGTGTCCCACCGGGACCACCAGAACATCGCAGGAGCTCACTGTGGGCTGATGCAAACGACAGCAGATGTCATACCACAGAGCAAGAGTGTGAATTCCTCCCACGCATAGTTTCATACGAGTGGGAGGAACAAATCAGTCATTTCAGACAAATTTCTGTCTGAATCCAAAAAATAGAAAAATGATGTGCCGCCAAAAATAATCCACGGAGTCAAGAGCAGCCGTGATCATAGTTATTACCATGTTTCTAAAAGTGGCTGTGTGCCGGTCGGCTGCTGTAAAAAGGCATCATTAAATATGAAACTGCCTGCTGCTCCTTCATTACAATAATTAGGAATGTCAGATCTGGGTGTGTGTGAGTGTGTGTCTCACTGGCTCCTCCATGCTGGCTATGGCAGCACAAACTTTATCCAGAGCAATGCTGGCTCCCACTGCACTGGGGACTGGCACTGTGGAAGCTGGCCCTCGAAATTCCAGGATCTGGACAGAATAAAGAACAAACCACAGAAAGACATCAGGATGTAGTTCATGATGTGGAATGAACACAGACAGACAGCACATGCATGCCTGTGATGAAGGAAAAATCATTTTGATGGATGTACAGCCCACCATGTGATCATAACGTCCTCCGGCAGCCAGTATATCCGGTACAGTCCGATTGCGTTTCCTGATGAAGGCCACAAACTGGAATATCACACCAGAATGATGCTGCACTTTATACACCAAACCCAAGTTGACCACCACCTATAAAGGAAGTACACCTTCTTTAAATACAAGGGGGGAAAAAAACAAAACAATGTGCCATCTTTTTTTCCCCCTTCGGTACCACGGAATTTTAAAATCACCCTCAGTTTAATGCCAAGTTTGCGCAGAAGCGCGGTGAGCTCTTCCAGATCCTTCAGACCCTGCTTGGCCAGCTGGGTGACGGCAGTCTTCTGCTTGGTGAGTGATGTCAGAAGCGGCGCCAGCTCCTGCAGATTCCCCTTCTGTTCTATGTATTTGTACAGGGTCTGCAACTGAAATCAAGAGACGAGTGGCGTCATCTGTCTGTGTGAGTGATCGGGCGCACGGCTGAGGAGCTGAGCACGCTGGCACCAGCTGAGCACCTACACTGCTGGTTGAGAGAGCGAAGTTGCAGAATTTTGCCTCCACCTCACGTCTGGTGAGTTTTTCACTCTGCAACAGAAAGAGACAGAAGGGAAATAAAAACGTGTCACGTGTTCTTTACCAGCAAAGAGCAAAGCATAGTATCAATCCCACTGAGGACATGTGAGCTATTCTGACCATGGAATCGCACAGAATGTTGGAGGCCTGGCTCAGTTTGTCCTCCGGGACGCCACTGTGGAGCAGGATGGCCTTCAGCAGGCTGGTGTGGTTCAGGTAGATATTATAGTTCCTTTCCTGCCGTCACAAACACACCTTTAACCCTCTCGGGTGCAATTACGGTCAATACCAACAGCACCAGCATGCAATGAGGACCTGAGTGAATAATGACTGTTGTGTCCGGCTGCCCTCTCATTCTGTCTGAATCACATATTGTTAAAAGCTTTCACACAAAGAGCAGGGCAGTGGAGAGGATCAGAAACAGGATCAGGGAGGGATGAACTACAGGCCAGACTTAAGGTTGACTGGGTTCATGAGGCATCCAAAGAGAGCTGTGAGAGGAGACTGACACAGCTCTGGGATGGATGTGTACAGGAAATGGATTTTACTGGAAGGGAGGGAAGGAACCGGACACAGCCATGCGTAGCAGATTTACTACATAAACAATAAATACAGTGTAAATCAGTTAGGCTTACGCATACTTTGGAATGTTAAGAATGCAAGTAGGAAGTAAAGGGGGAAAAAACAACAAAAGGTCAAGCTGAGCTAATGGCACTTGTTGGAAAAATAAGCGAATGATAAATCAGCCCATAAACAAATTGTTCTGTCAGAGTGTCACCTGCAGCATGGCAGCACAGCACGAACCTGAAGGGCCGGGAACTCCTGGACGATTTCAGAGATGGTGTAAATGGTCTCTGCGTCCGGGAGGAGAGTGTTGGTGACAGGGGTGATGATGTCAAAGGCACACTCCAGAAGCTCCCTGGGATGTGCACGGTCCAGCTTCCTGGGTCGGAAGACACGCTCAATGCTGTACCTTGATGCAAAAACAAGAAAATCACACTCACAGTTTAGCTGCTGCAGTGTTTTCACTTTCACAAAACATCATCTGAGAGACTCACTAAAACTCAAAGAATAAAAATAAGATCTATTTTACAAATAACTCATATTCTTTATCTTTTAAAACCTGGTTAAACCAGCTGCTGTCATTTGTTTAGCCACTCATGCAACAAGCAGCGTTTTAACAGATGTTCTTTCTGTGTTATATTTTCTATTTTACACACCAATATTGATGCAATATGTGCAGAATGTGGTTTGGCGTCATGTTGCTGAAATGGCAAATGTTGCGCCAAAATCTGCCAAAATCATTGAGCATTACTCCCTTACCGCATCACTGCTTCTCTTGTTTTTGACCCAGACAGAAGGACATTCAAGACTTAAAGCAGTATTTTTTAAATGAGATAAATCAGACCACAGAACAATTTAAAATCTGGAATGAGAACGAGTCGAGAGGAGGTTTAAGGCCCTCTGGATCTTGTTTTAAAGGTTTTCGGCGGCATTGTTGACAACAAGTGATAAACCTGTCTGTCACCAAGTGCTAAACCTCTCAAAAGACAATCATTCATGTAACAAATACATTTACTGTGGCCAAATAACCTCATTTGTCTGTTTGTAAGTTCTCAATGTTTTAAAGATGTCAATGGAATCAATTTAAGGACAGTTCATATCAGTTGAATTTTTGATATTTTCTTGGTGGTTCTATCAGTTAAAAAAAGGGTCTGAATAACTGCATTTTGTTTTAGCACAGTGTCAAAGCCCTTCTGGAAAAAGTGATGTAATTTGTACAAACATATTAAAAAGAAAGTTAATTGTAAATGAGGATTATTGAAAAGACAAAGAAATGTGTCAAATCATACAAAACCATCCACGTTACCTCTTCAGGTGTGTTATATTGTTGCGAGCGACAAGTCTTGCGAACGCCATCTAAAGTGAAAACAGGGTTGAGACAATGAAGTGCGCTCATAATGACAGTGTAGTCGCTGCGTACCGGGCTGAAATCAGTCACAGTGTGGAAACAGCCATTTAGTCCTCACGGTTTCCTGAGGTGGCAGGATCTTAGAGCGGCGGCTGATTGCAGTCTTATGCTGCGAGTGTTTGCCTTTACCCATGCTAAGAGCTCTATAAATGGTGCTTGTGCGGAGGCCTGGACGTGCATTCAACTCACCCGAAGGTCATAGGGCAGCGTAACCAGCATCCCGCTGTGGTCCATGAAGCAGGCGGGCTCGTTGCCATCATACAGCTTTCTGTTTCTAGGGAGAAGCAGAGGCGTCTGCAGGCGCACCGCCCCTGAAGACGAGAGTTACGCATTACTGTGACACCCCCAACCCAAAGGGAGCTTATAACATATGATTAGATATCGAAAAGTGCAGAGGGGTGTCATCAACAACATGCATAAGAGTAAAACTAACATGTTTGCAAAGATGTCAAGGGTCCTAAAATCCCTCAGCTGAGCCATTTTCATTTTGAAACAAACTCAGGATAATGACTGTGGACACGCACGTTAAATAAAGGTACAAGTTCTCACCGTGCTTCTTAAAGATCCTGGTGATGGTTTCATACACATGCTGCTGCAATTTGGCACTGCTGAAGCTGAAGCTTCCCTAAAAGAGAATGAAACAAACAGGGTGGAAGGGGCTGACGAAGGACACAAAGGCCCTTTGCTCGCCTGCTGAAACAAGAGTCATTTATGCGTCTCCAGTGACATCTACAGGCAGAGCGGAGCAGATCTGCTCTGTTGGTCAGCTCTGTCCTCTCTGTGCTGTCGCATTCTGCCTATTCTAACGCTGCATGGACTGTGTGCATGGCCATAGTACAGAGACAGAGGTGGTTTGCTGGGAAACATACTGCACAGCCGCCTCACCTTATGCATGTCTATGTCGTAGGTGTAATCCATGACGTGCGAGGTGCTCTGGGCAAACAGCTGGCCCACCATGGTGCGGTAGGCCTTCCCGTTGACATTGGCCATGGTGTGCTGCAACACCTCGTGGAGCTCAGACTCCTCCATCTGTGGCGGGGGCATTAGCTCGCTCTTCAGCAGCTCTTGAGCGGTGGGCCGAAGGGCTGGGTCGTGTTTCAGCAGCCACTCTATCACCTGCTTCTAAAGACCACAACGCGAGACCGTTGGCCTGGGATTTCAGAGTGGAAAGACACTTCCAACACACTGTGCTGCCGTTTGGGCACCTGTTTTGCTTGTGTAGCTGCATCGAAGTCCTCTGGGAAGGAAAGGGGCTCCTGCGGAGAGATGGCGTTTAAAAAGGGAGTTGGGCTGAGAATTCAAATTCAGCTCAAATGGCATCCTTGAACATACCATTCGCAGCTGGCTGAGGACAGAGATGCGCTCGGCTCCGGTGGTCATTGGCCGGTAGGACATCTCAAAGAGGATGATGCCCAGGCTAAACAAGTCAACTTTCTATGTGCAGAACAATAAAGAGCAAAAATGAGGGAGTAGTGAAAAATACAAAAAAATGTGTGCACTAAGCCACAAACGTAAATTTCTTACCTGGTTATAAGTAGCTTTGGTGTTTCCCTGAACTTCGGGACTGACATAGAGAGCCGTGCCAACCATGCCCGTCAAGTTTCCTGAGGACAGTGATGCGAAACATCAAGGTGTCAAATAAGTGGGAGGACACGCAGCTCAGTGTTGTGGTGGTGTTGTGTGTCTGAGGAGGCTGCACCTGTTGGCTCGGGTTTGGGCATCACCACGGAGCCGCTCTCTTCCAGCTCAAGTTTACCGGCAGCCTGAAAAAGAGACAATGCTTTTAAAAGGCTCAACCGTGGAAAGTTTCCACACTTCAAGGCCTCAAACTGCTTACCACATTAGCAGGATGGTCTGTTGCCAGGCCAAAGTCTCCAATTTTCACATGATCCTGTGAGTCCAGGAAGATGTTGACAGGCTTCAGGTCCCTGTGGATCATACCCTGAAAGAGACACATCCATAAAGCATCAGTGATTACATACACAGTCGTATTTAAGAATAATAAACATCTCTTTAATAACCCGGTTCCACACCTGCTCATGGATGTAGGCAAGCCCGTCCAGTATCTCTCTGAAAAGCCTCCATAACCTATGCTGGTCCTGGTACAGGCTCTGATCTATGGTGTCTCTTAAAGTGCTCTTTTCGCAGTATTCCATCTGTCAGAAACATAAAGTGTCTGTCTTACGTCAGGCGACCGTTTTAAGAGGTAAAGGCGGGAAATGAACGTGGGGCTCACTTGTATGTACAAGTAATGTGCTACGGTCAGATGTCGGTCAGAGTCCGAGCTCTCCGTGGTGTCGGTGGCCGGCCTCTTGCTGGACTCAACCTGCAGGCGAAACAGCCAGCTGCTTTTTTTAGCTCGCTGCCAAACAAAAACCGAGAGAACGATGGCACGGAAATGTTTCAGACCTGTGACATCTCGTCGTTGCTGTCGTCACCGTTATCAAAGATGATGTCACTCCTGGAGTCGCTGTCTGATGGCCTGAATAAAAATCAAAAAACAAAAAAAGAAACAAAGGAGCAGCAATTATTTTCTTAGTCAGATTTAAGTGAACGTATACACAAAAAAGGAGAAGAAAAACGCACAGAAAAGAGGCCCCGAAAACATCTTCGTCCTCGTCCTCATCATCATCGTCGTCCTCATCGCTGGACGGCTGACCGCTGCACTTGGCGCTGGACGACCTCTCGATGGAGGTGGACCACTCCACGGAGCTGGACAGGGCCGGAGGCGGCGCCACGTCCTCCACGTCGTCCGGCAGGCCGAGCTCGTTGAGGCGTGGCGGCAGGGCCCCGACCGGCCGCGGCAACGGTGGCGGACGGTCAGCTGTGCTGGCCGGCTCCGAGCTGTCGCTGTGGCTCAGCACCCCCGTGGAGGGCAGCTCGTGCCGCTCGATCCAGGCGTTGTAGTATCGGACTATGTTCTCGTGGTTGAGGCGGGAGAGCAGCGTCACCTCCCCCTTGATGCGTCTGAACTGCCGGCTGGCCGGATTGACCTGGATCCGCTTCACAGCATAGTAGCATCCGTCCAGCTTGTTCTGCACCTGCAGTCCGGAGAGAAGCCGGTTAAAACGCCCCCGGCGGCCGTGCGAGCCTGTGAGGAAATAAAACGTGTCCTTCACCTTGATGACGGCACCGAAGGCTCCTTTTCCCAGAAGCTGCAGCTCTTCGAACTCGTCGAAGTAGCGGGAAAACTGCCTCTGCATCCCCGAGCTGAGCGGAGCGCTGAGAATGTGGCTGTAAGGAATCACTGACGACGCAAAGTCCACAGCTAGATCTGGAATATTACAGATGGAAAATGCTTGTTTTTTTTAAAGAAAAGCTGCTAATTAGGGTTTCATAATTGTGTTTGCATGGTGCGTGGGTTTAAATTTCCAAAACGACACAAACTAATCAAAAAACATTCACAGTGATACTTAATTAAACACTTTAAAACAGCCTTAATCAAAACTCGTTTAAATGTGAGCTCCTCTTTTATCCTTTTTGTTTAGTAAGAGAATGTTTAGAGATTATACTCTATGTAAGTGTAGAGGGTGCTTTATCAATTTCAGGATGGCGTCGCCCTGGAGACATGCACAACCTCTGGACATCATGCGTCTTTAATTTTATATTGAAATTTTTTTCAGTGAAAACAGATTGAATGCTGAGATGCTGGAGGGACTGTTCAGATTCCCTCAACTGAAATAAAAGGTCCGATTACACATTCTTTGGACATTCACGGCTACTTTTGTTTTTACTGCTAACCTTGTTAACGCCATAATAGGAATGCTGTCTTAATTATTTCATTCTCTGTTTTTAAATTATGTAAAAAGAATTTCTTTGGAGTCTTTGGAATTGCTTCCTGCATGGTTGGATATTTAGCACCACTCAAGCATTCCCGGCAAAGATCTTAATAAAACGTTAACTGAATCAACAGATTTGATTGTGCTGACTTTTTTTCCTTTCGTGTTTGCTTTAAATTTGCCATCCATCTTTTTGAAAAAGGTATATTAAAGAAATGCAACCTTCCGGGCTGGTTTCCTGGTAATGCGGCAGGTTTTTGGGTGAAGGCGGCTTGAGGAACGAGTGCTCCAACAGCTGCTGAGTCGTCCAGCGGTCAGCATCATTCAGACACAAGCACCTACAGAACAGAGAGACATTATAACAGGCAACTCAGCTGCCGGCTCTCCATGACCCACATTATACCACCTCCACTGAGCTTTAAACCTGGATCACATACAAAATGACCTCATCCTAAAATCAGTTTGACTGCAAAAGCCGAAGTGTTAAAGAGGAAAGAAACACCACCGGATTCCTTTTTTTGTTCCGTTTATATCACATATTAGTAAATTAATTAATTAACTGAAAAGTCGTCTGAAAAAAATGTCCCCCTAATCTCTTTAAATGTGTATTTTCTGTCCCTCAGTGTTTGTTGGTGCCTCTGTCCCATCTTCTCACCCATAACCGGACATGGCTCAAGGCCGTCATTCCTGAGTCCGGTTTTTCTGGAGGTTTAACCCCAACCAAAGGGAGTTTCCACTCCATTATCATTTGCTGTACTAGTTTCCTTAACTCAGTCCCTTTCTCAAAAATCAGCATTACAAAAATACAATTTAAATTGATTTCAATGAACTTCATGAAGTTTACCTTTATTCGTTTTAAGTGACAATCAGGCTGTTTATTTAATCGCTTTACTTTGGATTCAGGGAAAACAAGTAAAATGGTAGGAAAGCCCCACTTGTGAAAATTGTTGCTGGGAAGAAAATGATTTATGTTCAATTGGCTAAAACGTTTGTGTCTGAAAATGCAGACGCTTCCATTTTCTACTTACTTGTGGAGGAAGTCCTGGAAGTCGGGAGGCAGGCTGGTCGGCACCGTCACTGGGTACTCCTTGACTTCTTTTCCCTGACTGAGCGCCAGCAGCATCAGGCCCAGGTTCCACACGTCGCCCTTCTTGCCCGTCTTTGTCGGCATCAGCGTGTCCTCGGAGAAGCGCACGTGGACCTGCTCAAAAATGTCCTCTTTGCAGATCTCAGCAAACCGTTTGGATAAGCTGTAGTCGCTCAGCCGAACGTTGCCCTCCGAGTCCACCACCACGCTGGAGGGCCCGAGCTGCTTGTGGACCACGGAGTTGGAGTGAAGGTAGTCGAGGGCGGCCAGCAGCTGGCCCGTGTAGTGGCAGAGTTTGTCCAGGGAGACTGGGCTGTTGGCGGCCAGGCTCTGGCCCAGGTTCACCCCGGCAACGTGCTCCACCAAAAGGTTCACCAGGATGCAGTCCTCCTTCTCGGTGGAGCTCAATGCCAGGTAGTGCACCAGGTTTGGGTGGTCCAGCCGCGAAAGGGAGTTGAACTCGTTCTCGGCCGCGTGGATCTGCACGCCAGTCGGCAAAAAAAAGGAAAGCGCTGACAAATCGGGCACAAAAACGGAGAAGAAGGGGGAAAAAACTGCTTTACGAGCTGTGTCTTGCCTGCTTTTTGCAGTTTTCGATCTTTCCTTTCTCCTGGCTGGTGAAGAACTTTCCCATCTTCTTGTTCCAGGTCAACGACCACTCATAGATGACAGAGAACTCCCCCGAATTGGCTTCGAATCCACAGTAGACGTGACGGCCGAGCCTCTGGCTTTCACCTGGCAGGAACATTCACACACACACGGGTTCTTGTGGCTTCCTAAAGCAGGCCGGGGCACTTGGCATCAGGCCAGTGAACCTGAGGGCTCTCACCTAAGCTCTTCCCCCGGTGGACTAGCAGTTCCCCGTAAACGCTGCTGTTGAAGTGAAGCAGCTCCTGCGGCCGATGGCTGTCCTCATTCGCCGTGTCCCGCCTGCAATGTGCATGTTCACAGGCATGGACGTCATGTTTTTGTTTTGTTTTTACTGGAGGAGTTGCCAGTGCTTACAGCTGGGCTGCGTGTTCACCGGGTACCTGTGGCGTGTATTGGAGGTCGTGCGCCGGCGATTGGTGGCAGCTTTCTTGACTTCAGCCAGTTCAGGGTGAATTCCGGCCGGGCTGGGCGGACTCCTCCCAGTCACAGACTGCTCCACGCTCTCAAGTCGTTCCTAGGAACAAAAAAGCAATCGGAGAGCACATTTCTACAAAATCCTACATGTTCGGCTTCTCTACGAGCGCGGATGCAAACGCTTCATAATGACACACACCTGTTTGGCCATTTCCTTTCTTCTCTTCTCTTCCCTTTTCTCCTCCTCCCTCCTTTGGATTACAGCTATGATCTCTTTTTCCTACAACAAGGGGGGGGAAAAGTCCATTCAAAAACATTAACAAAAGTCAAACTTTTCTTAAGTTAAAAAATGCTTTAAAGACAAAGGTTTGGGTATAAATGACTACAGTGTGAAAATGTTTCTGTGGATGTGGTTACACCAGCTTTACTGCATTGAATCCCACTATGTGCTGAGAGATAATGCTTTTAATCCCACTATAATACGTGAGCAGTTCCTGACAGATGTCCTTTCGTCTCCTGTCCTTACCATCTCCTCCTCCTTTCTGCGCTCCTGCTCCATCTTCCGCTGCTCCTCCAGGGCTCGTTTTTCCTCCTGCCTCCGCTGGTTCTTCAGCATCTCTTCGTGGAACGAGCGCGAGGGAGGCTTGTTGTGCTCGCTCAGGAACCCCTGGATGTGGTCCGCCAGCTCGTAAATCATCACCTGAGAGGGAAGGCGGCAAGTTAAGGGACAGCCGCGAGTGCTGCATGGTCACGTGACCGCCAGGCGTGCCGGCGCCGTCCCTCACCTCCCCGCACCGCACGGCCGCCAGTTTGTTGAGCTCACTCTGGAGGTTCTGCAGGTTTTCGTTGGACAGGCCTTTGGCATTCTTCAGCTCCAGCTCCGGAGGCCTGTCGGTGGCGTGTCAGTGAGAGAGAAGCGTTTGGGCTTAAACCACGAACAGAAATGTGGGACGGTAACTCCGAAGTCCCAAGAAGGCCGGGCTTCTTTCCTGTTTCTTCCCAACCATGTGAGCCCATGTGGTTCAAATCGAAGCAAATTGCTTTAAAGGCTCTAAGTAGATTAGAACATTAATTCATTCAGCCACGACAGAGGCTGTGCAGCTTTTTCCTACGAGCTACGGTGCATGCATTACATTTATCTATTTAGAACCAAACTGTGCTAACTGTTATGCAAAACAGCAATTCTTGGTTCAATAAAACATCACAATCTGCTTCTATTACTCTGATGATGATGATGAAGACGTTCAGTTTAACAGTTGTCTAGAAATGTTGTTTAATAATAAAACTTGCGCCAGCCCCTTAAAATGCCTGTTATCCTGGAAAAATGATCAACAATTTTCTTCCTGGTATCAACCTATTATCTTAAGGGGCATTTATAGATAACTGCAAATAGAATCTAAAGAAGTCTGTTGTGCAATCTTTAGACAGATAATGGTTTATGCTATTAAAGAAAATATAAAATAACTTTAATTTTAATAACATAAAAAATCTGATATAAGACTGTTTAAGAGAATTCATTTGAAATCTAATGTATGTCTAATTACAATTTAAATAATTAAAATTAGTTACATTTAGAATAATAGTTGGTATTTTGAATATTGAGTTTTTTTGCACAATACTGTAAATATGTTTTTGTTAAAAAAAAGGAAGTGGCTGGTAATGGTGCCATCAGAGGTGTTTCCTTCTGTTTTACATGTCTTGTTTTATGTACCTTTCGAAAACACCACCTTTTCCAAACTAAACTCAAAATACTGGAATACTGGACAGATTACCACTCATGTGAAAACAAGATTTTGTTTAAATAACAGACAGCCTGCTTTCTGTGATTAAACAGTATTCTGGCAACAGGCCTATTGGGGGGGGGGTACACACTGGAGTATGAGTATACAGATCAGTACTTACACGTCTGGGTATGTTGGGGTACATTTCACCAGCAGATCCACGGTCACGTAGCACTCCTGCCGACTGTTCAGCCCACTGGGCCTCAGGCAGAGGTGCACCTCCGGAGGCCTTTTGACCTGAACACACACACACACAAACACACACACTCACACGTATGCCACACTAGTCCTCAGAGGGGCTTATAACAGCTATCTGCCACAAGTTAGAGTGGGGGCGTGTAGTTTTAGCTACCATCTTTCTTCCCATCTCTAGGTACCTTCCAAGGGTCCTTGTTCCGGAGATCCTGGAAATCCTCCCCGAAGATAGACGCCAGGGCTTCCAGCTCGTTTTCCTGCTGCCCGGCGTGGTCGTCTGTCCCATCTGTCCGTGCGTGCTGACCACTCATTCTTCTGCCTCAGCTACATGGCACTGCCCCCCGTCCTGTCTCACTCCCAGCCGTCAGAGTGGACGAGGAAGAGGTGTCCTGCCCCCCCTCCACCCACCCACCGTCCGCCGCCGAACGGCTCCTCTCCGGTTCTTTTAAAAGTCCAACTTTACAGGTCCAGGTTCACAGCTCGCTGGGGCAAAGTTTCGTCATAGTGTGTGCATTTCGGCGACACTTCTGTCGACCACAACAACACCGAGACTGGCGCGTGGCTGTTGCGAGCTGCGTTTCTGCGTCGCAGGTGAAACGTCATCACGTTGCGTTGTTGAAGGCGGCCGCCAGGGGGCAGTAGTAATTCTGCCGGGCCTGGACGTGTCAGGCAGGAACTTTTCACTCTTCACCTCACTTCTTGTGAGAATGAGGTTGCTATTATGAGTAACATTTTATCACAAGCGGTTGCAGCATTTCATCTCGCTGTTTGGCAGCAGATCAACAGCTAAATGTTTTCAGACGGACTGGATATTGTTCGCCTGGATGCCTGACAGCATACAGGTTTCTATATGCAAGCATACGTACATTTGAAGGGTTTGCATCTTTTAAGTTTCTTTAGATTATATTTGCTATGAGTTGCATAATATTACTAAAAATATATATAACATAACATGATAATTATATAGAAATGTTTGCCCCCACATTTAGTGTGGGCTTTCTTTTATTTTCCACCTGCAAATGACAGGAGATGCAGGCTGCTCATTTAGAATGGTGGCACTGGAAAATATTTAAGCACATGAAGAAAACATTTAAAAAAGGCAGTAATCTGGAAAATACCCACAAACCACTCTTAAGGCTTGACTGAAGTAATTTATTATAAACTGTTAATCAATAATAACACAATATTTTATCATTAACTTTAAAAGTATTTTTGAGAAATTAATGTGATCTTTTATTAGCCTTTTTAGAGCTTTGCAGTTTGAGCTTGAGGACAGCTTGTCCTTTTCATTTGCTCATCTTGAACAACATTTATTCTGTGGCTCAAATATTATCTTAACAGAGCATTTGGAGTCAGATTTTATTGTGCAGATAACTATGAGGTACTTCAGCTCCTATCTGAGGATGCAGCTATAAATAGGAGGATGCAGAGGGCCGTGTGGAGCAAAAGAATGCTCCCACATTCTTTCAGCTATGAAACAATCTCACATTTTATTGTCTACACTTTCTTTTATCAACTTCTCATTCAATAATGTTCATGTTTTTAAGTTAAATTCGGAAAACCCATTCTGTGAGATTTAGCTATATATGACATTTACATGGAAACTGTGGTGTTTCAAAACGAATATTTCCTTCGGCAGTATTCCCTCTTAAGGTATAGTGCACATCAGGGAAGAGAGACAGCGAGTTGTGGTTGGCACAAATATGGAGCTCCTCTTTTCAAACTCACAGCTTGAGAACCTCAGTGGTTGCTCATAAATTACTCTGGTACTCCCCATAACCCTACAAGGAGATGACTAAGCCAATCAGGATGAAGCTCTGTCACAGACAACCCACTCAGATCGCCAGAGTAGACACCGAGCCCAGCCGGAATTCCCATCAGCTGTTCCACTATGACCAAGCTCAGTATGCATACCAGCAGGATGGTTTACAGACATTTACAACGTTCTCTTCCCCTTAACAAGACACCAGTGATGGTGCATTTACTGGGTCAGCTTATGATGCCTTCTAGGTGCTATGAGTGGGGTAATGATGTACCTCTAAGGGTTGACTCATGTGTTCCTGTCTGGTGCAGAGTCAACTTAGACAGTGGAGAAATTAAAGCATTTTAAAAAATATTACTGTTGCACAGCAATGTGTACAAGTTGCACAGAAGCATGAAGAAGTTCATATTCTTGTCTTTGTTGTTTAATGCAAATTAATGATATTCCACATATTAATAGAAACAAATGCTTTGGTTGATCACAAATCTTTCACCTCGCACTTTCAAAGACCACCAACAGCTTCAGAAGGTTTCATTCACAATAAATTCCTTTAAAAGGAAGAACTCCATTTATGTATATGAAACACTGGGTGTCCCTGGGTCTTATTGATTTGTGCTGGAAGCTCTTACATGGACTTTTGGGAACCCTTAGCCCCGCCCCCCAAACTCAAAGCGGGTTTTATTTAAGGGGCTCTCCTCACCGTGAGCCTTCGTCCCAGTGGAAGCATCTGTGTACCAGCGCACCTTGGTGAGTACATTGGCCAGCTTGCCTTTTTGAATCATTGAAGATAGTGCTGAGGTAGCTGTTTCCTATCAATAATATGCACTTGTACAGTATAGAAACTGGCACTGAATTTCCTCTTTGCGGGAAAATAAAGGCTGGTTTATGTTCTATACACTTTTCAATTCCTTACTTGACTTATGTGGTTGAGCTAAAGCTGTTCTTGTTAATCATGATGGAGTGATTCCAAACAGATAGCTAATGTGTGTCCTCTGTGAATGATGTGTTCTTGCATATTGACTGAGTAGTGGGGAAAGGATTACAATCTTCTTTTGTTGCATTATTTTGAGAGGTATAAGCCATATTGATGAATGGGAACATGATTAAGATCAAGAATCAGCTAAGACATGGAGTTAAGTAATGCATTAAAAGTGTCAGAGTGCAGACAGATGGGTCCTGGCATTCCACTTCCGACCTGAAATAGCTGGAGATCTGTGTGTCACTTCTTTCACCCTATTAAACGCAGTGGTGGTCCTGAGCTTAAAATAGATTTCAGATCTTTCTGTTATGCCCCTTTTTGGTGCTCCATCAGCAGCTCTGAGAAGTACCAGGAACAATCATGACTGTGGAGATACGGTATCAATGGTGGGACAAGTCTAGGACAGAAATAGCCCCTGATGGTGTATGAAGTTAGCACTCTGTAAATCTGTGTGTGGAGGTGTGTTGCATGAATGTTTGCAAGTGATAATACCTAAAGAGTAGTTAAATTATTGACTCTGACGGCATCTTGGATAACATGTGATATGCCTATTTTATATATCAATTACACATTTAAATAAAAAAGAGGAGACTGTTCACTATTATTCGCACTTTGTGTCACATTAGCTGCTTTTACAGCCCTAATGTTTGTCTCTTTGTGTGTCTGTTGGATTCCCCTGCTTACATTTTAGACCATCCCAGTAAAGCTAAATCATGTGTGACGATGATGAGACTACCGCACTTGTGTGCGACAATGGCTCTGGCTTGGTCAAGGCTGGGTTTGCTGGAGATGATGCTCCTCGTGCTGTCTTCCCATCCATTGTTGGAAGGCCCCGCCACCAGGTACACTGTTAGAAAACCTTCATCCATAAATAGAAATGAATAATCCTAACCAAGAGTGATGTTTTTCTTGTTGTCAGGGTGTGATGGTGGGTATGGGTCAGAAGGACAGCTACGTTGGTGATGAGGCTCAGAGCAAGAGGGGTATCCTGACTCTGAAGTACCCCATCGAGCATGGCATCATCACCAACTGGGATGACATGGAGAAGGTGTGTGTTGTCAGAGACTAATTGACAGTAGTAGAGGCAGCTGACCCTCAGCATTCTTTACAATTTACAGCTTGGCCAGTCATCTTCACTAGTGCTTTATTTATAGACTCAGTATTTAGCTGTCGAGACCTGGCTGTTGTTTATCCAGACAGCAGTTGTTCCGGACCTGACATCAGCTGTTCTTTTTGTCAGATTTGGCACCACACCTTTTACAATGAGCTGCGCGTGGCCCCCGAGGAGCACCCCACCCTCCTTACTGAAGCCCCATTGAACCCAAAAGCCAACAGGGAGAAGATGACTCAAGTATTTAAAGCATCTTGTGTTTGGTTTCTATCAAATTACCACTCAAACTGATGCAACTGATGGTTCTCATTCGTGGTTCTTGTTGCAGATTATGTTTGAAACCTTCAATGTTCCTGCCATGTACGTTGCCATCCAGGCTGTGCTGTCTCTGTATGCTTCTGGTCGTACCACTGGTTAGTAATACTTCTACATGTAGGCTTGATAAAACCCCAGTATCAATTGTGAGTATACTGCAAGAGCTTTTGGATAGATTCCTCCCATCATGAAGAGGGAGGTGTTAATCCTATATCTGCACTGTGGTGCACAGTGATGTCAAAAGCAACTTTTACTTTGTAATGTGGCTCGTATGGCAGAGATGACTGACATGTAGCTCCATCAACTCTGGAGCATGCATACTTGACTTGTCTCTTCTGTTTGCTGAAGGTATTGTGCTGGACTCTGGTGATGGTGTAACCCACAATGTCCCCATCTATGAGGGTTACGCTCTCCCACATGCCATCATGCGTCTGGATCTGGCCGGACGGGACTTGACTGATTATCTGATGAAGATCCTAACTGAGCGTGGATACTCTTTTGTCACAACTGGTAAGGTCAAATCATCATCTATTTCATGTGTATGTTGGAGGGATGGACTTGCTTATCCTAACTTTTTCCACCTCAGCTGAACGTGAGATTGTGCGTGACATCAAGGAGAAGCTGTGCTATGTGGCTCTTGACTTTGAGAATGAGATGGCCACTGCTGCCTCCTCTTCCTCCCTGGAAAAGAGCTATGAGCTGCCCGACGGTCAGGTCATCACCATTGGAAATGAGCGTTTCCGTTGCCCCGAGACCCTCTTCCAACCTTCTTTCATTGGTGGGTTCAGCAACCCCCCTAATTTGGTTCCATTTGTTAAAAAAATCATTAAATGTTTAATTTATTTTGTATTTTTTGCCTTCCTCCTATTAGGCATGGAGTCTGCAGGCATCCATGAGACTGCCTACAACAGTATCATGAAATGTGACATTGACATCCGTAAGGATCTCTATGCTAACAATGTGCTTTCTGGGGGTACCACTATGTACCCTGGTATTGCTGACCGAATGCAAAAGGAGATTACGGCCCTGGCCCCCAGCACCATGAAGATCAAGGTGAGAGAGAATGGCGAAGAATGTCAGTAATCTGACTCATAGGTGAAACATTAGGACTCAGTCAAATCTAAACATGTGCCTGTTTCTTCCTTAGATCATTGCTCCACCTGAGAGGAAGTACTCCGTCTGGATTGGTGGTTCCATCCTGGCTTCCCTTTCCACTTTCCAACAGATGTGGATTAGCAAGCAAGAGTATGATGAGGCGGGCCCCTCCATTGTCCACAGGAAATGCTTCTAAAATAGCCACCTCTCCACATCCGTGCAATCTGTACATCATTGCCAACTGTATATACTTGTCTGTCATCTGTCATAATAAAGATCAACAATTATGTGCCTATATCTGTTTTGAAACTTTCAATAAATATGGCACATGAGTATGAAAAGTGGAAAAGTTAACTATCAAATAGTAAATGTATGTGAAAAATAATACACTGGCGCTCCAGTGCTCTCTCAAATTTAAATGGTCTCGTTAGATTAGAAAAAATCAAACCTTTCAGTCATGTGTTAGCTCAATATCGGTTACAGTAAACAGGTCATGCTTTGTGCTTTGTGATCAAACATTGGCCATAAAAGAGGCGAATAGTTTATACTACAGAGTCAACCGGTTGACCTGGCTGGTCCACTCGAACATCAATACTGTAGAACGGAAACTGCACCGCCCGTTTAGGCTAACCTAAGGTATAAAACACGCACATTTAGAAAGTGGGTTCAAAACAGTCTCCATCCAATCAGCGCACTGAGCGCAGGGAGCGCCGCAGTTTGAATGTGCTCCGCCCGGAAACAGTCTGACAAGCCTGGCAACCGATTTGACGAGCGACTCGGGCACAATGCAGTTAGCTAGCAAGCTGTTCAAAAAGGTGTAATTCATAGTTTGGCAACTGAGAAAAGATACATGACGGTGCTATGTTGTGGAATAAGGAGAAGTATTTTAGTTTTTTTCAAATAGGACAAACAAGGCTAACAAGCCAATGTTACTTGCTAACATAACTGGCTAACGATTGCTAGCTTACTGCACAATAGCCTCTGCTGTATGTAGATAGACGGTTCATAACGTAACTTTGGACAGTTCTTGATTTTCTTTGGGGCCGTTACTCTTGGTTTCTTTTAGTGGTGAGATGATTGTCTGGCTTAAGCCTTGTGAGCAGCTATAATCGGTCACATGGGACGACGAGTTAGTGCCAGAAGTTTGAGTAAAGTGATTCGATTAGGCTGGGTACAAGGCTGAGCTGTTGTGAAAGTAAGAGCACATCTTATCCCAGCAGGAGAGGGTGAATCGAGACTGGCAGAGAGAAGCAAAGAGTGCGTTTGGGGAAGAAAAAAAACGTTATAGGCAGATAGATAAAATGAAAGTGGTGGAGAAAAACATAATGCGCCTGGTGGCTGTGCAGCAGCTCCGCACAGCTTACGGGATAAAGACAAAGAACTGGAACAAAAACAAAGCAGCCTCCTGCAAGTCAACAGCCAGCAACTCGGTAAGTTTCCTAACGAATCTGCTTCCGCCTTCCAGCAAAGTAATCACCAGCCTTTTATGGTGTCGTTTGTTATGCTAACAGTAAACCACAAAAAGCATCAGCTGTGAGCTGACTGTTGGAGGAAATGTTCTTACAACCAAAAGCCCCCTCCACCTCAGATGTGACCCATTTGTCCTCAGACTGTTGTCACATGTCAGTAACAGCATCTGCCTTTGTGCCTTCCTGGCTGTGGTTGTTCACACTATAAATCCCTTAAGCCTTGAAAAAAAAAAACTGATCAAAACAAACATAACAAAGTAGCTGCTCACCCATAAAGGTTTACAGTTTTTGGATATTACCTCAATATACCGGTAGATTGTCAGAAATACTCATGTGCATTTTGCTCTACGTCCGGTATGACCACTAAAGCATGCAATTGGCTCACAAGAGTCACAAGATTTGTTTGCAACAAATTTTGTAACTTTTGAAGTTGAACTTCTGCATTTTTATTTAGTCCTGAAGGGAGGGGTTAAAGAACAGCTAACTTTGGCCCAGAATCTGAAGAAATTAAGAATTGAGGGTTTTCTTGAGATTAGAGATAAACTTTACATTCTTCACACATGCATAGAAATGTTTGGTTTCCAAATGTCTGTGTAATCAACAGAAGTAATTGTGGTCTTATCAAAATTTAATCTAAATGTGGCGTTAAAAGCAATCCTAATACAGATCTATGCCTAAGGGTTCTGGCCCAATTGATTTATTTTTGTTTGAAATTCTTCCCCATGCTATGTTAATGTATTTTCTTCTACCTTTTCCTTAGACAAAAGTTTTTGGTGTACCCTTGGACGGCTTACCATATTATAACATGGAATGTGGGAGTGTGCCAAGGTGAGCAGACATGCTTAATGAAAATTTTCAGTGGGCAAGTTGTGTCTTGCAGTCTTTACATTTTGTACTAATATGTTGATGTGCTTTAAGCTTTCTGGTCGACGCGTGTATGAAGCTGCTTGCGCATGTTGACACGGAGGGCCTGTTCAGAAAATCCGGCTCCGTCGTTCGGCTGAAAGCTCTCAGGGTGAGGGACGCCTGAAAGCTGACCTTGTTTCCACCGAGAGCCCTCTGGGCCGGAGGGAACCCGATAACAGGGGAGTGTTTTGTGTTTTGTCTGCTCAGGCTAAACTGGACGCGGGAGAGGAGTGCCTGTCCACCGCCCTCCCCTGTGACGTGGCATGTCTGGTGAAGCAGTTCTTCCGGGAGCTTCCGGAGCCCGTGCTGCCCGCAGAGCTGCAGGACGCCTTCATCAAGGCCCAGCAGCTGCCCACTGAGGAGGACAAAACCTCAGCCACCATGTTGCTGACCTGCGTTCTGCCAGACAGAAACATTAGTCTCCTGCGTCACTTCTTTGAATTTCTTCAGAATGTGTCTCAGAGGTATTTCATTGCTTTTATATTTGGAATTTCATTTTCTGGATGACTTACAAACACACAATCTTTTCATTTCTTCTTGCAATTAATATAAAAAAAGGTTTTAAAAATCCCTTTGTTTGCTTGATCCCAGGAGTGCAGAAAACAAAATGGATAGCAGTAATTTGTCTTTGATTTTGGCGCCAAACCTCCTTCACTTTGGGGATGGTTCAGAGAAGATGAACGCCACCACAGAGAAACGCCTCAAGCTGCAGGCGGCCATAGTTCACTGCTTCATCGAAAACGCTCCCGGCTTTGGTATGACGAGACTCAGCCTGGCTGCTCTTCATCTGTGTGTCGGGCCTCATTCTTCATGTGTCACTGAGCACGTGGCTGTGTTTCTCTGTTTAAGGTGTGTTACCACAGTTTCTTCGAGAAAAGATTCCTACCATGATGGGCTGTGAGTCTGGGGTTCCGTCTCCCTCTCAGGATGAACTCGAAGAGTTGGAAATAAACTCAGGGATGAAAAGGAAAAACAGACGCAGCTTTGGAGGTAAGACTGTTATTATCTGCTTAAAATGTACAAAATGGGAATGCATGAGTCAAACCCTAATTTTTCCAGTTAGAACTGGAAAAACACTGGTGTTTTCCCAGTTTTAGCAATGGAAAGACACCACAGTGTAAAAATATCTGCTCTAAAATACACACATCTTGGATAAAGGGCTTAAATACACACGTCCACGATTATTTGCATAAATTAAAAATCTATTTATGAAATAATTTTTCAGTAAATGGTATGTTTTATGATCGGATTTGTGTCATTTTTCAGATATGGTCAATGGTGCACTGAATAAGATAAAAACTAATAGAACCCCCACAAATGCCTCCCAGGCAGACAGTGTTGGTAGGTACTGTAGTCACATGAGATGAGATTTCTTTCACGAAGCATGGAGATGCCACAGTAATCCATCTCATATGCATGAGAGAAGCCAAGCTTTCTGCCCTCCAAACAGAGGTCAAACTCTTTGTTTTACTTCATGTTAACTCTTTTGATTTGCTTTAGATGAACTCTCCAGATCTGCTTTAAAAATGAATAACTGCTCTTTGAAGAATGAAATGAGATTCATCTCTTTGCCTGTCTGCCAATCATTTGCATGGATGGCAACCCAAAAATCTCTTCACCTGTCATGTCTCAGCGCTTTGGTTCAAAATCCATTTTGGAATCTTTTTTTTTTTTTGCTATTTAGGGGCAAATCTACATGTGACAATGCTAATAAATTTTTTATTTTGCCAGTATTTACCTCCGCGACTCCTGTGATTGCCACGCCGTCTTCCAAGCGAAAGCTTCCTTTGGAATCTGGCCACTCTTTTGGATTTTCAAACAAGAAACTTAAATCTGTCAAAAAGAGCCTTGGGATAGAATTACTCCCCAACACTTTATTCAGCGGAGCCTCCACCCCTGGATCAGGTACTGTGGGGGGGTTTGGTCAAATATTTTTCCCACTTTTCAACTCGTGGATACTTGAACATGTTTTTCCTGTTTCTGACCCAGCCTGCAGTGCCTCGGGGGTCTTAGATTCCTCTCAGAATGCTCTGCTGTCAGCTGGGAGGTCTAGAAGGCAATCTGTTACCTCTGTGCGTAGGAAGAGCAAACGACTCAGTAGTAGACATGCTGTCAACAGGTAACAAATTATTTTCTTTCTGACTATCTTTCAATATTCAGTTTGACTGTCACCAGTAGAATCACAAGAAAAAAGATAAATAAAGTGGTACCATGAATTCTGCTGTAATACATTGAGCACATATAAAGTGTTATATATGTGTTTAAATGACAACATGACCAACTTGTTTTCCCTCTAATCCTTTGCAGAGTTGAATCCGGAAGAGCTGGCTGCTTCTCTCCTAAAGTGACCAAAAAAGAAGCTCCACGCAAGTCTCTCCGCCTGCGTTTCAGCCTGGGGAAGAGCAGCAAAGACTCCGTAAGTGTGGCGGGCCCAGAGAAGCCCGTCGCCTACCGGGTCCACTTCAAACAGTAAAAGATGCTGTGAATTGTACCCGTTTTACAATCTAATAATGTGTTTGCACACTCAGTGTAATGCACTGTGACACTTTTTATTGTCTGAGTTTACTCCCAGTAAAGGCAATATGTTTACACTAATGCGGGGGGAGGTTTAAAGATAATCTGTGGCCCTTTTCCATCTGAGATGTTTGAAAATAAAAGCACATATTGTTTATGGTACAAAGCCATCAGGATATTTTCTATACAGGGTTAGTGAACTACTTGGGTTTATAATAAAAAATGTTTTTGTGTCTTTGGGTAAATGGTGGGAGATGTTTGAGATGAATGACAGGTAGATGTGTATTATTGTCTTAATAAAAAGTCTATTCCAAACTGATGGCTTATCTTGTTTCTTCTGAGTGATTTTTATCATCCTCTGAAGAACTAACCCCCAAAACTGGCTATTAACATCTCAGGGTTACTTTGTGGGTCATTTCTGTCGGGCCTTTGTGTTTTTTTTTTCTAACAAATACTAGTTTAATCCTTCTTAAAGGTTCCTTCATTTTTCATTTCTCCTTTCATTCTGGTGGTAAAGGGATCAGAGTCCATCGGCTTGCGACTCGCCACACAGGAGAGCACCAACAGTTTCCATTTCACCAAAGAGTTCAGTCCGTCAGTTCTCCCCAGAAAAACCGAGCCCAAATGTGAGTAGCGAGTAAAATTGCAGACCTTTCTGGTATCGGTGTCCTCCCTTGAGCTCTAATGCGCCACTTGCTTTTTCTTTTTTTAAGGCTCCAAGTTCATCAGCAAATCCGAAGACAACCTGCTGACTCCCCAGTGCGACTCCACCCCCCACCTGGCCTCGTGGATTGCGGACACCCCCGTAGGAGCCCAGACTTTCAGAAGAGGGTCTGTAACAGACACCCCCATGGCCATGTGCCTCAAGAACAGCTACGCGTCCGAACCCGCCATCGTCCCGCACAAGCCCCCCGCCGCTGCCGGCCGGCCAATCAAGCTGTGCTGCACGTCCAGCGCCGAGAGCCTGGAGAGTGACCGCTCCATCTCCGGATCGCAAACACTTCTGAAAATCCACACGGACTCCACAGAGCTGCGGGGTGGCGCCCAGGCCGGAGGAGGACAGGTTATGAAGCCTTCAAATGGCACCCCTTTTACTCCAACGCTGACCGCTGCAGGTACAGGCCCAGAGACCTCCAGCTGCCCGGCTCAGCAGAGGTTCCTGGCCAATGAACAGAACGTCACCTTTGGCCAAATCGAAATGGCCGGGCTCACTCCTTTGCATATCGATAGTGTCATGTTAGAGTCCAGCACACACTCTAGTCCAGTGGTTAAGGAGGGCGTGTCCGCTCAGGTCAGTGACCGTCATGCTCTGATGATGGGGCACGATGAGGAGGAGGCAGAGCAGGTGAACAGTAGCCGGCTCATTGATGCTCTGGACATCCAGAGTCCCTCTCATTTCAGACTGGGCGTCTACTCTGGACTGCAGTCGACGCCGTACAAGCTCCAACCCGAGGATCAGGCTGATACACCGACCAAAACAACCAAAACCGGCAGCCAGACGCATGAGAAGACGGGGTTTTCTCCAGGACTCGGCCCCAAAGTCCAAAATCTCTCGCCGTCCAGTCAGGAGGCCGAAAAGCGGCGGGTGGCCGAGCACATCCAACACTTCAACCAGCTCACCATTTACTCTCCCCCGGGCCCCAAAAGCAAACGGATCAGGTCGCCGCTCAAGTTCCAGCGCACGCCCGTGAGGCAGACTGTCCGCAGGATCAACTCTCTCCTGGGAGAGAGCAGCAGGCCGGGCAGGAAGTCGGAGTTCTCCGCCTGCCCGAGCACTCACGTGGCCAAAGCCGTGAGTCTGGAGAGCGGCCTCTCTCCACACCCGGGACCCCCCAACAGGAGAGGCTCCATGAAGAAACCACCCCCGGTCCCACCAAAAAAGCCAAGCACCCTGGCCCGAAAGCCCGCTCTGGGGGATATGACCAACCGCGTCCAGGCTAAGGCCAAAACGGACCGCTCGGCCTCTGAGCCCACTCGAGCCCAGAAGCCTCTGGTGCAGGAGATAGCGGAGAAAGACATGAACCATTACAGAGGATCTCCCCGAAACCCTCTGAACCAGGCCAGACTCCTCTCGGCTACAAAACCCATTGATTTATAGTGGGTTCTCCCTCTTTTTTTTTTTCCTTTTTCCCCCTTTTTTACGCTATGCAGGTGTCTTTCTGGCGAAACTACACGAAAACAAACATGCCGATTTTGGGACATTTTCGCTGTCCTAATTTATTTTTGTGGCTGCCATAGAAGCTGTTTAAGGACCTTTTTTAGGAGATAATGAAATGCCTTACAGGTGAATATGAACACAACAGCTACAGGATGAATTGGAAGGATGCGCTTGGATTACAGCGCGCAGGCCAGATCACGGGAAATGTAACTTGGTGGTGTGACTGGAAATGTCTGATCGATTCTTTATTTATGCATTTTGCTGTGAACGCTGAGGTGACCAAGTGAAAATTGAACCTGTTTATTTTCTTTTTCTTTTTTTCAGCTACACAAAATGTTCTTGTTGTCTTACGATCTGGAAAAAAATGCACCTTTTTTTATTATTAAAAAAAGGCACAAGCCCAAACTGTTTGGAACCATTATTTTCCTCCTCATTCAGCCAGTCAAATGTTTGCCCCGTGAGCCACTGGGGGGCGCCGTACCACTACTGCTCACATGGCTGCCCACTCCCATGCTTCTTCATTAAGTTCACGTTGTGAAAAGGGTCAGGAATTCTTTCAGTCAACCTGAAACTAAGATGACAAGCTGCTTGTTAAACCTTTATCCAGTTCTAAAGTGTTTTCTGACAGTTGCTGCGAAACACATTAGAGTCCGCCGTGTGTCTTTTAACAAAGTCCTTGTGCACCCGTCTCCGGAGGTTCCTTTATGAAACAAATACCGTTCTGCTATTTGAAAAATCAACAATGTTAGCCAAAAAAGTGGAGAGTAAAAACTCCCAGTCGCTATTAAGCATGTGATCTGAATCTGATGAGTTTCTAGAGATTGATTTTTCTTCTGTCCAACAGAAACTTGGACGTTTTTCATGTATAACAGCATAGATTGTGCTTGGACAGAATGTCCTTTTAAGAAGGGCTGTTATTGCAGTGATGGGAGTCACTCATAAAGTGCTTTTTGGTGAGAATGGACCCTACATTTTCGCCGTCTTGCACATTCACCATTTTGAACAGCTTTTACTCCTGTCTGCTATCTGATTTACTGGTGTTTTACGCGTCCATTTAAAGCCACTGCAAGGATTTGATGTTTATACAACTTCAAGTCATTTAGTTATTCAATTAGAAATTGATGAAAATTTAACCCAACTGGACTGAAATCTGTCCATTCTGACTACCATTGAAAACATAAATCAGTGTGTTGGAGAGTACCAACGTTTACAGTCACAAAAATGACAAAACCATCACATTATTTCAAAATCTGGCAGTGACCAGTGGAGTCATTAACAACCAGCATAGTCCATAACTGGGTTCATGAATGGAGAGTTGAAGAAGGTGAAATTAAAATGGACCCATTTACACGGTTAAAAGTGCAACAGAACACGTCACCATACGCCAGAAATCCAAATTATTAGCCTGCTGGTTTCCAGTACCAGTTTGGTGTCTAATACAGTGCAACAAATAGATCACATTCAAACTGATTTCTCTCAGAAACACTGTTTAACAAGATACTCTTCATATTAATCAGATTTTTAAGATCACTCTCCATTCCAGAATAAAGGTTTTCTAACAGGTCTTAATTAGTATAATGTGTCATCAGTGGGAATCCTCTGGTATGAGTCTCTGTTATCAGCCTTTAGAATGTGTTCTTCAGGCACCAACATCTACTATCGCAACAATAACATTTTGAGTGATACTATCTCGACAAAAGAAAACAACTTTAAGCTTTTCCACGTGCGCATAAACTTCAGGCCTCCTCGTTCTCAGCTCCTCTCGCCTCCTCCTCCTCCTCCTCCTCCCTCTCCTCTTCCTCTTCCCTGCCTGCCTGGCCTGGCTGGTCCTCGGTTGTCTGCCTTTCTTGAAGTGGGTTCAGGGAAGTGTTGAGGGGGCGGATAGTCTTGATTTTCTCTATACTTGCTTAGCCAATAACTGTTGTGCACATCTCAGCTGGCAGACATTTAAAGGGAGACAGTCCGGCGCTGGAGCAATTTGTATTAAACCCCCCCTGGCCCCCTTCTATGGAGCGCTTAGTGTCCCACCCATCCACAGTCCCATCAGTGCGCAGTCGACTGTCGTAGGTGCCTCTCACATCCAAAGGGGCCGCGGAGGACCGACGGGATCACATCCTCTCTATCGCAGCGCCGCAGACTCAAAGGTAAGTCCACTTTCAAATCCCTCCTTTTCATCCCTACACGGCGTCACTTACACCCAGACCTCCCGATGAATTGTTTGATAGAAATGGTGAGCGTGCCTGGACATACTAATGTTGAATACTAAAGTTTATGTTTTTAGTTCGGAGGGTTCGTCTTTTACGCAGATGGATAAACATAACCACGTTTTTGTGTCGTCCAGCTGGCACACCGTGATTAGAATAATGGGGGGGAAATCTCTTGACTTTAATTTCCATGCCGTTTCCAAGAAAGACAAAGTTCACTCTGCGGTTTTTTACGCTGCGTAATAACTCTGACAGCTGTGCGTAACGCTTCCGAAGATGAAGGGGCTGAGGGGATTAATTCTTTTATCCTCTTCTTCTTTCCCAAGGATGGCCATCTCCGCGCGCACTCTGTGCAGTATGGTTTTCATCATTGGGTTGCTGTCCTCTCCCGTGGAATTAAAAAGAAACCGAGGTTCTCAGGGGGCCATTCCTCACCCGGACAAAAACAACCCGAACGAATCGGAGCAGCAGCCGCCGCCTCCGCAGGCGGGCTCTGGGTCCCGCCAGAGGCCGGGCTCGTCCTCGCCGGCCGACGAGGTGCTGGAGTCCAGCCAGGAAGCCTTACTGGTGACGGAGCGGCAGTATTTAAAACGGGACTGGTGCAAGACGCAGCCCCTCAAACAGACGATCCACGAGGAAGGATGCGAGAGCCGCACCATCATCAACCGCTTCTGCTACGGGCAGTGCAACTCCTTCTACATCCCCAGGCACATCCGCAGGGAGGAGGGCGCCTTCCAGTCCTGCTCGTTTTGCAAACCGAAGCGTTTCACCACCATGACTTTCACGTTGAACTGTCCGGATTTGCAGCCGCCCACGAAGAAGAAGCGCATCCAGCGCGTAAAGCAGTGCCGCTGCATCTCCATAGACCTGGACTAAAACGCGCACTAGAACGCGCGTTATTCCTCGAGGACAGGATTGTTGTTAAGTGTTCTGAGAACACCTGCCTGTCTCCGTCCGGAGATATGCGCCACATGCAAAACAAGCACGCGCGGTTCTCTTCTTGCACAACGTGTGAACAAAAAATGGACCTCCGAGTTATAACAGCAACATTTTTACTCCTCACGAGTTTCAAATCAAACACCACTGCACGGAAAGCCTGACTCCAAACGGGCACATTTACGCACGGCTTCCTCACTCCAAATAGAAGCAAAGAGAAACCGTTTCCTTTGCCCCCGTTTTTTTTTTGCTTCTAATAGCTCACTGCTTCAGACACTCGATGTTACAGGACAATTTTTCCATCCCTACCTGCATTTTACGCATACATTTTTAGAACTGGATGTTTCCACTGTGTGGAATTTGATATATAATATTTGTAAATGAAAATATGTGATTTTTATCTCGATATTTCAAAAAGAATCTTTCAAGGTTATCCTAATTGATTTCTATGAATTTCGAAAGCTCATTTGTCAATGTTTTTTTGTGTAAATTGGGAGCTTATACTCCAATAGCCTTTAGAAACGAGGCTCCTTAGTTAGTTTAACCGGACGATGTACAGTGTTGATTTAATATCGAGACTGAATAGTTGTAAAATGTAAAGCCATCTTTGATTTAGCCCTTTGGTTTATTCCCTTGATTAAATTATCCACGGAAACGTAATAAATTGATGCTGTAATATTGTGCATAACATTTGTAAGACACTGTGTAGAAAAATGTATTGAATAAAATGTGAGATTACCCATTATTGTGCGTGGAGGAACATCTCGTTTGGTCATCTCTAACTTTGGGGAAACTAAAAAAAACTGTAGGTGCGTTCCAATTGTCTCTTATAATAATTGCATTTAAGCATATCTTTATCTAATCCACATGAGTTGGGCCAATGTTTCCATCTAAAACTTTAGAAGGGCAAATAATATGTGAGCAAATTCTTCCCTTTCACAACCATATTTAGTATATTTGAAAAAAATAATCACATGACACATTCTTCCTGTTGAAACTATTGACTTTATTTCAGCAGATTTTCCCCAAAAGTTTTAAATGTCCAGAAACTAGGCCGGGCTGTATGACTCAGTTGTACTGAGCTGGCCAGATGCTTTACAACTGATCAAACCCCTTTGATGACTCAGGTTTCTTAAATAAAGATCAGATTTACGGGCCTGTTGTTTCATGTTGACAGCAGAAAAAAATTAGAGGAAGTGGTTCAACACATCTTCCAAAGTGCGAGTCCTCGTCCAAGTGGTTTATTAGGCATCCAGTTATTTATTCTTGAAATTTAAAACAATTCCATAAAATCCCGCAGCACCTATGTGAGCGCTACACACACCAGAAAAGCTTTAAGTCCTCCTTCAACATCAACCCACTTTTTTGTTATTCAACCCTTAAAAAGGAAAATATATCTGGTTAAAGTTTTAGACCTTCATACAAAATAAACAGCATCCACGAAATACTTTTGAGATTAAAAAAATAAATCAAGGTGCAGGTTTATGGATAGTCTCGTCTGTTTGAGGTATTACAGCTAACATGGCTTGAGGTGGAAATTTTTACTCCTATTATTTCTTAAAACTAAGCAAAACAAGGCATTTCTCTTCAGTTTCTCTGCAGATGTGCACGACATACAAATAACATCCATGTGAGCATACATGAATTAACTATCAAGCATCTTCTAAGTCAATTCACGTGCAACCGAGAACATCAAAAATGAACAAAGCTGATGTTTTTGGCATAAAATAAATTTCTATACACACAAACTGATTTTTTTTCAGGGACACGGGAACATGGTTACATCGCATGTTTGTACATAAAGTTCAACTTTAATAATGCACACGTCTTAAAAATAAAAATCTAAGAGCATATTATCATAAAGCATTACAATTTATACATCCTCTAGTAAATATAACCCACAGTTTTGCATAGGAAAAGAGGTGCAAAAATGCAAGACAATCTTTAAAAAATGCACGCGGTTAGTAGTAACTGGGATTGTGGTTTACAACGTGCAGCGACGTATAACTAACGCAAGCGGGAAAGTGCTCAACACTGTGCTGGACCATACACCATAACAGCACGTCTTTTCTTTCTTCCTTTTTTAAAAAACTGTTTATGAGTGCGTGGAGCCGTTGCGTTCTTCTGGTGATTTCTAGTGCACGTTTGTGTGTGTGAGGGGGCCCGGGGGTCCGCGTCAGACCCGCTGCCAGCTTCTGCTCTCCTCTGGCCGTCACCCAGGAGAGGTCAGTCTGGTGCAGAGCAGCACACAACAAAGCACAGCGTCCACGTACTGGCACACAACTTACGCACAACAATTCAAATTCAACATGTCTTCATCTGCACTTGAAGTGGAGTGGAGGCCATTCATCATTTTCCATGAAACTGCCAAGTCCCTGACGATCATTTAACATGATATATTTACAAGACTCCTAATGACATACTGAATGAAAAGCTGGGGCAGAGCTCTCTGGGAACTGCTAACTTCCGGCTTTAAGAGTGAGAGGGATGTTTTGTCAACAGTGATTTTCCTGTCGGCAGACATTACAAGGAGCCCGTAACTGTTCCTGCGAGCGCACCGGGGGCTGAAGATTTTGAACATTTGGGATACTTTTCGATACGGTCTGTGGGCTTTCTGATAAACATGGGAAAAGAAACTGTTCTTCACTTCCTACCGTCCAACAGGAACGCGGCTGAGGGCTCCGCTGAACCCTGAAGACCTTTAACAGGCTGGACACCCAGGTCGCGCTCCGCTGGCTGAACCAGGCCAACCTTTGGCCGTGTGCGTCCTCGCTGCGGGGATTAACGCTTAACGTGGAGGAGGAGCGGAGTGTAGCGCATAGTTTGGGAATTGGGAAGGGGGGGGGTCGGTGTTGTTGGGTGGGCAGAATTACGGCAGTAAGTCCAGTGAGGTTTTATTTCAGTATCGTGAGGCAGGTGCTGAACGCAGCAGGGACGGGGTCGGCCTGCTTTTACATTTTTCCTCCATTTTCACATTCATCAATTCATCCTTGGACTCAGCTGGAAGACACGCTGGCTTCCTTCTGACGCAGTCTCTCTTTCTGTTGGCAAAACCACATAAGGATTCATTACTCTGACTTCAGTGCACACACAACGGGGAGCTCTTAGGAAAACTGCTTCCTCGCTGAACGCGGCTCACTTCTTACCAAACTGTTGGCATTGATCTTCTTGGTTTCGACTCGCTTCTCTGCTGTGATCTTCTTGATGTTTTCTTGAGCTTCCTTTAACCTAAAGAAGAGGGGGAATAGCCACAAGGGGGTTTCATATTAGCAGAACATTTACAACTAAAAGCGCACACTAAAAATAAAGCAGACGGAGAGAGAAACCTCTCATCATGGTGTGCTTGGAAGACATTTAACTATCTCTCTGGGGACAAACTCAAACACACACACACACACTCACACACACACACACACACACACGGATCCTCTCTGGAGCTTGCGGTCAGTGAAAGCAGTAGAGAATGACAGTGGGCTGAGGAGATAATGAGGTAGCCTTTAAAAAAACACTTGGTTTTTATGAGTGTGCAAACAGTATTTAAAATAAAGTTAATTGTACATAAGCACAATCAGCTGTGAGGAACGCGAGACGCGATTACAATTAAAGGAGAGCGCACGGATCCACGGCAGGTCTGACAAAGGCAGCGTTCGTCTCGGTTCTCAAAGCAAAAATAGACGCTGGATCCAGCATGAAGGCAAAGAAATCAATGTCTGACTTCACCTTCTGGATGCGATGAGGGCCACAAAGGCACCACCTGAAACTTAGCGTGGTTACTGTGTTCATCCGCTCCTCCTTGATGCGCGGCCTTTTAATGGCCAAAGGCCCCTGTCCGCCCGCCAGTAAAGCCAGGCGGCCGCCAGGAGGGTCTGCAGTCCTTCAATGGAATAACACTACCCCCAACACGACGCCTCGGGTCAGAGAAACGGTCATAAATTCAGGCCCCAGTCCTTTAAAAACAGGACAGAGGCCTCAGCTACTCTCATCTGCCTCCTCTTTCATGGCCGGGCTCTTTGCTTTAATTACAACCCAGCATCTGCCCATCACCTTTGTACTCTCAGTGCTAATTTGACATGATGTTCAGAGGTGTTAAGCATCTATCCAAAGGTAACGCAGAAAAAGAGAAATAGTTTGAGGCCTTTCTTTCCCATAAAATGTGTTCCTTGAAACACTCAAGCGATTTCAGTTAAGTATTTGGAGGAATGACGAGAAAAACCTTTAAAAAGAAAAAGAGAACTATTACATTTTCACAGCCGAGGCCAAAATATCAACATTTTAAGGCTCCATTGTGGCCTCCAGCACCAATAGTACCGAATCCCTCATTCCCTGTTATGAAATTCAATCAGTCTTTTTTTGGTCTGAAGAATCTGGGATAGCCCCGTGCTACTAACTCCTCCTGACAAGTACACTAAATCTTGGAGACAGAGAAATGAATGGCATAACTCTTCAACAATCCAGCTCACCTCTCCTTGGAGATGTTCTTGCTTTGCCGTATCCAGGTGTTCTTGAAGTCGTTGCAGAACTCGTACCAGAGCATGAAGACGTAACTTGGAGTCACTTCTTTATCCCCGGACTTTGGCTTTACACCAAAGTAGCTCACCACATCCTGGAAACTGCAGGAGGAAGCATAGCAGAGGCTCAGTAAATGGACTTAAATGGGGATGAAAATGAGACGCTCGGGATTTTGAATAACATAAACAGGCTACAAGGGAGTTAAGGTATGTCCAAAAAAATGATGCAGAAACCATTGTGAACACATTTAAATGGAGAGGCCGCGCCACTGAAATTGATTAATGTGGTCAGAGTAAGAGGCGAGAAACAGAGTTGGAAGGAGAATGTCCACCCCGCTGGGGCACAGGGGAGAGCCAGTAGCAGCGGCTCCATTATCGCATTGACCTCCATAGCCTGCAGGGTAGAGTCTGCCAGAGGGGATGGCCACGAAAAGGCACATTATCTTCATGTCAAAACACACACAGAGCGCACAACGCCAAGAACAAACTGGCAGACAATCAACGATGGGACACACAAACGCACACAGACGGCATACAAATGTGATGTGTGTAAATATATGGACTCGCTGGAGCGCCGCTGTTAGCCAGTCCCTCTGCTAATTCAATTGTAACCAAATCCGAACTCTTCACGAGGCTCTCAGCAGCACACATAAGACATGAAAAACAGCCTGCTGCTCCAGATTCCCTCAGCTTACACAAACATGAAAGACCTCTTCTAGCTGTGCCTGTCAGAGGGTTGATAAAAGAGGGCCATGATTCAGGGGACGCTCTCTGTCCCATTGACACCCGGATAAGCTCTGACCTCCTGATGCTCGGTAGCTTTTTGTAACACTAATGTAAGACATGCTCATGTGGAGTGGAAGTGCCCAGAAAGAAGCCGAGATGCTCAGAATAGGGAGAGCCGAGGATCCCACGTGGAGTCAGACGAGGAGGGCTCGGAGATGTTCTGACCCACCAAACAGATGTGTCGTCACCGGCAGGCTGCCTGCAGCTGGAACGGGAACCTTCAGCTCCTCCGCTGACCCAGGGTCAGAATGTCAAAGCTTGCACAAATCAAGAAAAAAAAAAGAAAAGCTGCTCCTTTTAGCCACCTGTGCATGTGAAACGAGCAAATACCGGTACACGAAGCGGCACTCGAAACGGATGCAACAAACTCACACAGGCTTACAAGACACCAGCAAACTCAAACAGTCTTCTGTTTATTTGAGAGTGGAGAGCGATTGCACTTGCACACAAACACAGAGGCTTCTTTAATCTATGCTATGATGCCATTGCCGTGAGAGGGTTTACTGCAGCACCCACAGCCAGAATTCTTTACTGACAGCTATAAAAAACAAAAAAAAAGCCCATTACCAAACCATGAGCAGCCGTGAGAATCAGAGGAATATTTGGACAGGCAACTCTGCATTCCTTTGTTTCAGCAGTAAAAAGATTGCAGAAGTAAACTGCGTGTTGTTGGCTGATTCAGCAGAGGCACAAATCAGACGCCGTAATACGCCCACTTACAGCAACAAAACCAAACCTTTACAGTCACTTTAGAGGCGGCACTTGGGCCAAATGAAATTGAGCGTGATGAGGCAGAAGGAAACTTAATGAGACAGAACTGAGGACAGAACCGGGAAACCTCAGTGGAGCCCAAACATGAAACAGACAAATTAAGTCTGCATGTTGAGGAAAAGGCCAAGTAATGATTAAACAGGAAACGAACTTTGTGTCGAGGTAACCCTCAAAAGGTAGACGCTTGACAATTAAGCTGGAAATTGCTTAGAGCAGTTTCATGAATGCCTTTTTGGTTATTTTACATAATGTGTTTCTTGGCAGTGAAATACATTTCTATGTCTCAATGACAGCGAAGCAACAATGAATTAATTCAAGCATCCAAGATTTGCTGTTTGCTGTACGATATAAGACTATTTTTTTAATCTAATCTTAGGAAAGTTTAATGTTAAAATCCATCCATGCATCCAGTAAATTCTATTGATCCTATTCAGGGTTATGGGAATGATTTCAACCCAAAACTTTATTGAAAACGGTACAAAGGAACATAAATGATATTAAAACAGATTAACCCATTAATTATTTCCCAAAAATAGCATCGAGGCCGTTTCCAGACCAATGATCTCAGTTTTGAAAGTTAAATCTTATGCTTTACAGGGAAGATCTGTTCTGGACTAAATGTTTTATTTAGGGGCAGGTCAGTTTAGTATCCAAATTATTTTATTATGCAACCAGGCTGCTGTTTTACCAGCAAAAAGGTGTTTGGCATTTTTATGGTTAATAATGTCTTTGAAATCTTCCACTGAAAAACAGGGAAATGTTTTAGGGAAAGGCAAACCTTTTCTGCTTTTTATTCTTAAATGATTGTGATCATCCAAAACTTAAAAAAAAAAATTTCAACTAGGACTTATCTTCGTTTCTTTGTTGTTGCAGCTGTTTCTGCCCTCTTTTCAAGATTGAGAAAATATTAAAGACAACATAAAAAATATATATTTGCAGTTCAATTTAACATCAGTTTAACATGTTGTCTTAATACTATTTTAAATGCAGTTTAAATTACAAAAATCAACTTCTGTATTTTATTTGGCAATGATTTAATAGTATTTTGTATTTTATCACTGATCAGTGAAATCCTGCATAGTAAGTGTTATCTAGGATAAAACCAAACAAAACATGCAAACAAAAAACATCCCATTCATAAAAACAAAACGGGTGGTGTGGCAAGAAGGTTCTGGGTTCTTTCTGTGTGGAGTTTGCATGTTCTCCCTGTGTCCAGGTTCTCCATCTTTATCTCCATCTTCCTACCACTGTCCAAAAACCTGCATATTAGGTTGATTGGACATTCCAAATTGCCCTTAGGAGTGATTGTGTGTCTCTGTGTGGCCCTGCCTTTTGCCCATTGACAACTGGGATAGGCTCCAGTCCCCATTAAGGAATAAATGGTTATGAAAATGGATGGATGGATAAAAACTAAACAAATGATGGCCATAATTATGGATCAAATAAATCTGTGACCTAATGATAAAGTTTTTCTTATGACCACGAATTAAAAACATTTCAATGTTTGACACTTCCTGCCGGGACTCTGATTCATGCTGCTCTGCCCTGCTCCCCGATTCGGACTAAAGGGCAGAGGCTTGGCCATTTTGTCACACGGTGGATTTGCCGTCTTTTTCTCTTGGCAGTAATTTAGCCACTGCTGCCGTTTGTGTGACGATCGCTCATCCAGCACAGATGTGAGAGCCCACCCAGGGCCCGGAGAGCCCGCTGACGCCCATATTCATCAACAGCGTGTCACTTTTACGAGGTGGCTCTGTGGGAACCTGCGAGCCGGAGCGAGACCCCCGCCTCCCCCCTGCTCTACCTAGCACCAGGCACCCAGCTCCTTCTTTGGTGAAATTAAAGGAAAACTTCATTAAACACAAAGGTGCCGTCAGTTGTGGGGTCCTTTTGATCAATATTCCCCCTCCAAGCTCAACACCTTCATTACGGTGGTGTCACTCATGCACAAAAAGGTGCAGACATGTGCGCGCAAACACACACAGGTTCCAGTGTGCTTCAGAGGATAGAAAGATCACTTTATAGCGAGAGAGGCACCGAGAATGGGAGACGCAGACTGCTTTAAATGATTCTCTTGGCTCTGAACTGGCAACATGAAGCAGAGCGGTTTGGAGCCATTTGCTGAGTTATGATGCTGTCCAACGCAATCAGCTTTCTAATTGTTTATAGGTTCCATTTTCTTGCGTCCGGTGTCTTCGCTGTCTTCTTTATGTGCTCTGGTGATTCATTTTGGAAGCTGGAGCGTTACGATATAAAGCAAACAACTCTGCTCTCAATCCAAACACGGCAAAAATAATCTATTTGCTTTGTTTGTCTGCTCCACCATCTTTTTCCAATATGAAACGTTCCAGATATGATTCTGCTTGGACAGCACGCTCAGCTGCTGCCAGTGTGTCTTATGCCTATAAATCAGGATGCCTCTCAGAAAACTCTTGGGAGTGTTCTGCACAAAACATGGCAGATAAGAACGATAGGAACTGCAGTGGAGGAGGTTCAGGGCGTCCAGGTTTATACGTGCATGTGAACTCAAACTGCTGCCGCTGGTGAGCGTAGGGCACTTTTATCACGGTAAATGTCAAAACCATTTTACGGTAAATGTCAAAACGCCTAGACGTGCGCACAGGTAAATATCTGATGAAATGTGCAATCAAATCGCACGGAAGCCTCCCTGTTATTGGCCGACTCAACAAAGCAGATAAATACTAAGAAACGCTTTTTATCATTCTGGAAACCTTATCAGCTGCTGCTAATATTGTTTACACAAATAGAAAGCATCAGAATGACGTGATATGGTTATGTTATAAAGCACGCTGTGTAGAGAGCTATGCTAAGCATCTAGTCCACAGTACTGGTTTCCTTTGGTTCCTTACCTCTTCTGAGCTGCATTAAGGCGCTCTTCTTCGGCAGAATGCTCCTTTTGAGCTGCAACACAGATAGAAAACATTTGTGAGTTTGTGTTGACACAGGTAACCAAAGATTTTGTACTGACAGCCTCAAACACCAAAGGGGGTGGGGGGCTCTGTTTATTAGCCACCTTTGGCATTATCAGTGAGGAGGCGAAGAAGAGGAGCTCGGGGTTGAGATGTCATGAACACAGTGAGCATGTTACTCCTGACTATTAAGCACATTGTAAAGTTTGACATGCCTCTATGTGTTGACGCTCCAGAGTGTGAGCGAGTGACGCCTGGGCTCGGAGGCAGGGAGCGGCGTTCGGTTTGTGTGTGTGTGTGAGTGTGTGAGTGTGTTGACATACATGTGTATGTTGTAGCTTAAACAGCGAGGCTTGGGAACTGGAGGCTCCTGTGGACTCTTGCCATGTAAAAGTGTCTAAATGCAAGGCAGATGTGTGCGGCGGGCCAGGCCGAGGTGCAAGAATTTATCTAGGGCCAGAGAGTGCCTGTGATCTCAGATTTATTGCATTTTTCCAGATTCATCCTTTTTACAATGATGGGGGACCTTTTCTACTCAAAGATTTAAGAGGGGGAAGTCTCCAAAAAATTGTTCAAAGGCAGGTTTGGGGGTCTTTTGGGAGAAGGTGAGCTTCAGTCTGTGATCAACATCCTATTTTATTTTTACTTCTTTTCTTTTTAAAATGTTGTTGGGTAAACCTAATGAAGGGGTGGGGGGAAGAGGGGGGGGCATGTCTGGAATAAAAGGAGGATGGGGAAAAGGAGAGGGGCCGTGACCAATGGCGTTAGTCTCAGTGGGGGTCAGGCTGGCGCCTGAGGTACCCCCTCTGCTGCGACTGTGCAGAGGTGGCACAGGAGCCGAGAGGCTGAGGGAACCAGAGCAGCCCGGCGAGGGGATGTGTGAAGTCTCTCTTCCTCCGCTCTGTATGTAAACATGAAACCACTAGTCGCTAACTAGAAAGTTATGAGACATGCATGCTGAGAAGGACAATAAATTAGGGCTTTAAAACTCTGACACACTTTTCCAAACTGCCCCTTTACCCCGCAGCCTGATAACAAAGAGATGAAGAGCAGTCAAAAAGGGATGCTTAGGATTTCCATAAATCATCTTTCTTCATCTTCACACTCATCTCGGAGCACAGATGGGTCTCAAAGGCTTCATCAAAAGCAGCTTCCGCAGACAGCTATTATCGGCAAATTCGTCAGCATAATTCACACTCAAACTAACAAGTGGGAGGTTTGATTGCTTCTTTGACAACAAAGAAAGTCCAAATATGTGGTGAGACCTTGTTTTCCCCATGGACAGCCAGTTAAATGAGATGTATACAAGCTGAGATTAAAAGCAGGAATTTCTTTTCTGTTAGTCACGGAGTGTATTTAACGTGAAAAATATGCCACTCAGAGGGTCCCCAGATGTTCTAAAGAGTTCTTCTTGAAAGATTAGACAGAAAAATTAATAATAGACCTGAAAATAAAAACAAATGTGAGATCTAGTAATTTGTTTAGTCATACATTTAAGTAATAAATAATGGTAAATTCTGTTGAAAGTTAAAGTCTGATCAAAGGGGATATATACATTTAAAAAATCAAATGTAAGACTGAAGGAGGAGCAAAAGTAGCCACACAAGCTGATGGATACCTGGAATAAAATTTGGAAGAGATTTAACAGGTTTACCAGTAGGATCTGCTCAGAATGAACTCTGTGGAAAGCTAAGTCTTGATTTGTTCAGTCTCTCCATTAAGGCAGAGTGCATGCTATCCAGTAAGACCTCCACCTCTGGATCATTTTTACATGTTTGTTTCAAGATGTTAAATCATGTGTACAACACATGTATCTGAGTGCAAGCGGCAGGAGCTTTTACCTGAGAAGGAAATTCACTGATGAGTCAGAATTTTACAGCCTCGGCCCCGCTTTGATGTGAATGCCATCGTGTTGTGATTGCTTTCTGAAGTCATGGAATTATTGCAAGGGCAGATTACGCATCGCTGCTCCCAAAGAAATGTTAATGGATTGAGAAATTTTCCTTATTAAAAAATGTTTTTAAGGACTCTAGCGGAGGGTTTATGTGCTGGATGGTTTGAAAAGCTGTAGGGAAGAGATGAATTTGAACAATGTGTAGGTTCCTACTTGGAAGGCAGCGACATCTTTACACAAATCATACTGAGAATTTTCACCCTGCACCACAAACATCAAAGAAGTGTGCTGTCATTTTAATGCTTTATCAGAGTCCAAAAGTCAACTGGATCCCTTTGCTGAAAATGGGACTCACAATGAGATGAGTGCTTAATACCAAAGGCTACCTACAATTTTTAAGCCAACCAACCAACCATCAACCCTAAACAATCCATTGTCTCGAATGCCATAAAAGTAATCTACACTGGTTATTCAGGCTCACATGGAAATATTCTAACAAGTTTAGAAATGTTACTTTTAAATCTTTTGAGATCTACAGGTCTAAGGGTTTCAAAGTCCCAAGCTTAGACAATCAGTTTCTTCCACTATACCCCAAATAAAAATCCCATAATGTAAATATTATATGAGAAATGGATGCATATGACTTCCCATTTCACAGGAGAGGTGATGATCTCTCAAACACAATCCGGTTGGGCAGATTGGCTTTTCATCAAGCTCCATGAGGTTGGGATCATCCATGCAATAGGGCTTCTGTCACCGTCCTTTTCAGGCTTATTTCAGACTTATCATCTCAAAGAAAACGCTTGATGGGACCTCATCAGGTAGAGTGACAAATTCTAAAAATAAAGAGCCACAAACTGCAGAGCACATGGCATCGGTTCACCAGTGCCTGGTCAGAAAGAGTTCAAAGAGCGAGATGCTCAGAGTTTCAGGGAAGCTCTACTCCTGTCCTGGTGGTCCCCAGTAGTGATCCACTGAGGCCAGCCGGGCTTTACAAGGCCAAAGTCAGAGATGTCCTGCCAGCTTTATGGAAGCTTAGAGTACATGAGAACCATGTTAGAGGCAACGTGATCCCTTCTACAGGCCTGTAGACTCCAGTCCTCATGCTGTCTTACAGTGCACAGAGACGCCCTCTCTCAGCAAGAACAAAAACTCACACATGCAGGGGGAGACTGTCTGACATAGCTAAAAAACATAATTATAACTCCTTTTCTTTTTAAACACCCCATGCTGTGTGCCTGGGTGAAAAAGGGCCTTTTTTTACCCCTGTATCCTCAGTTTCATGACCATCTCCTCAGCCGTAAATATCACTCTGTCCAAATGAATGTTTCATCTTTGAAGACACTAAAAATGTTTCTTAACAACGTCACATGAGACAGACCAGCTTATGAGTGGGACCAAAGGCGAACATTCATTATCCCTACCTAACGGCGAGGACGTGAGAGTGTCACTGTGCATGATTTGGAGGGAGTCGGGGAGATTTAGGCTGCTTATCCCTCATCTCAACTGACATTCCTCCAATGTTCTCAGTGGCAGAAATTATTTAGTTCTGACAATCAGTAAAAGGAGAGCCAGAGATTACGCAAACTTATTTAAACAAGGTGACAAGTCCCTATTGCTGTTTTGGCAGCACGAGGCTACATCAGTGATTTAATACACTGAGTTTCAGTGGTACTGTCTGACTTTTTATTTCTGTTTGGTTTTTTTGGCATTCATTTTGTGCGATGGCCTCACATCAACTCTTTCTTTCTGATTCTATTTTTCTGTGCGTCTGACGGAGTTTTAAAGTACACAAACCCCAATTGATATTAAATGTGTTTGGGTGAAAATGCAGAATTTTTGTTTGTTCTACGCCATTTCAGTAAGTTGAATAAAAATCTGAATAAACTATGAGATGTTAAATTTTAGATGAGGGAACTGAGGTTTTGAACCTAAAAAGATGTAGAAACAAGCAGGAACACTTGGCTTTACAGCAAAGAAAAAAGAATCTAAACTGGACTTACCAGCAGATATGAATGTTTCCATCTTCTCCTTAAAAGGCTGCAGGTGCTCTTCTGATGAGTTACCACACACTTTCTGCACATCCTTCTCACAAGCTGGCAAAAAATGGGGAATAAGGGGAGACATTTGATTATCAAATTGAAGTGGCATTGAATGAAATATGTAAAAATGGTTCACTGAAAGGGGTCAGTTCAATTCTGAATCCTATCATTTCTCTCTGTATTTGACTATTTTCCGACACACATTTAACTTCCATTGCAGATCAGAATTTCCCGCTTTAAGCTTTCCATAACTAATAAATTTCAAATAGGAACTTCATGTTTCATGTAAAAAAAATTAAAGGATTTTTCCCCCCCTCTCAAAACTCTCCTTCCACTCTAAAGCAATGCTGAACTCGTCCTATTTCTCACATCCTACTCATCTTAAATAGTCTGGGGAATAAAAAAAAAAAGAATGGTACAATGCATAACTGCTCACGTCAAGGGGACAAAAAACATATTATCAGTAAATTACAATGAGCCCCACTGGAGAAAAAACTACTGCTACTCCATTTTTTTTGTTCCCAAACTTGATGTTGGAATACAAATACTCACATCCTAAATAGATTTATATTTACCCGCCTATTTCCACTTTTTTTTCTTTTTCTTTTTGACTGTCAAAAGACAGACTGCAGATTGGTTACCCGTCATGAATGAGAAAAGAGAGGGAAACACCATTTCAGGGCATGTGCTGGCACCTGTGCCCTAAAAATACATTTTACTTTATGACAATACAGTGGTAACGCTCTGATTGCATTGTGCCTTAACCCAAACTACTCCACAGCATGTGAGCGCGGCAGATGTGTTTGCGGTTTGCAGATGGTTTTTCGTTGTCGTGCCAATTGATCCAACTCACACGAGCTCAGAGGAAACAGCCGTGACTGAGCACGTTCCAGCCGAACCGTACCCCATTTCCTCTCAACTGTAAGCCTAGGTTACTATGCACACAGGCGCCTGGTGAAAGAACTTTGGCACAATCCTCCAACCTGTAAGTCATTAATGGCTGCAATAAATACCTTTACTTGCTTATGACTGCATAGCTAAATCGTTTTGCAACAGAACAAGACTATTAAGTGGTCTGGCTGCCTTCTAACTTTGCTGTGTTGTAGCTTTTAGGTCTTTGCAGGCAGAGATGCTGCACCTGCACCGCAGTATAGTCCTGCTATGACATCTTTAATTTATTAGCTGTCTTGATAATATTAGGAAGGAAACATGATGTGTGAGCATCATAATTAAGTCGTAACACAGTCACACCGTCTGCATGCCAAGATACCTTTTAAGTATAAGGAGAGCCAGCAGTCATAAAAAACAGAAATCAATGACTATACAACTATGACAATCAAAACGATATGTTTGGATCAACCATGATTCCTTACCAGAAATCCCCCAACTCGAAAGAACCCATTAAAACCGTGTTCAAAACAGCAAGTCTACAATTTTGAGGCGGCTCACTTCCAAATGTGGTCCAGACAGCAAAAGCCACAAGGAGGAAGCCCACAAAAACACAACAGCTGTAAAGAATAAAAACTAAAAGCTTGAGTATGAGACATTGTCTTGGAGTGATAATACATTTTTGGGAAAAGTGGATTCTCCTCTAAGTTCATGAGTGATACCACCAGGCTAGTCTAAAGAACCTCAAATAATAACTGCTTTGCTGAGGATTTTTCTTTTTGCAAATACATGCAAGTCGAGAGTGGGTTTTATTGTCAGAAGTAAAAAAAATACCCTAAAAAACAAAAAAAGAAAGAAATATATTTTTCTATTCAAATTTTCAGACATGTTATTTTTCTTAGAAAGGCTACGTGCAGTCACATGGAAAAACATGGCCCAAACACTAATAGGTATTATGTACATATTATTCCCTTAATGTTTAGGTTACTTATTTCTTTTTTTTAGGTATTTCTCTTAATTTGTGATTTCATGTAAATAGGTAGAGAAATGTTTAATGCATAAAAATAAAATAAAAAAGTTTGAAAGTGCTTTAAAACAATTAAAAGCAAAAATATATATGTGTGTGTGTGTGCACACAGATACATACATATACACACACATGCCTATATATGTATGTATAGTTAGAAGAGGTGCAGTTAAAGCAATGGCTTTCAAATGTGATTTCATATTGAGAAGCCTATTGGGCTCTTTGTCCACTCATAGAGCTACAGAGAACTAATTCACCACCACCGCCGGCACATTGATAGGAGCCACAGCTCCGATCCACAGCCACAGCTCCACCGTTGGCCCAGAGGGAAACGGAGTCACTCAGCACTCAATAAATAAATTAAATCGTTAAATCTGTGAAAATTGGGGGTTTGTGCTTTACTCCAAGTCAATAATAAAACAAGCTTAAAGATAAATCACATGAACCTAACAGTTATTATAGACTTTATCATTTGATTTTGTAGTTTTTTACAAGTCAAACCACTGGTACTAAGCTCATTAAAACCAATGTATGCAGCCACTCAACACTTAGAAATGTGCGTCTCTATGGGACCACTCCTAAATCTGCGTCAGTCAATTAGATGTTCTACTACATGAGGAAATAGCTGTGTGTAACGAATGAAACTATAGATTGGAACGAATGGGAAAAAAAGTAATAGAAAAGACAAGCTTCTGCTCCAGATGTGACCCCATGTGGTTTGTAAAATGTCTGATTTTGATATCAATATGTACCTGTCAGATAAAAAAAATTATATGCAGTGAGTAAACCCCCCCTTTTCAGCTACCAGGATATCTCCTCAGCCCCAGACCACAATTCACAATTATAATGTGTGGATTTAAAGCAAATTATCAACAGTGGATGGAAAGTCTGCGGAACACCACAATATCCCCTCTCTGGCTGTTTGATGAATGCTTCCAGCTCTGAAATGTGGCAGTAACACCCCGCCACTCCTCCAATCTAAGGCAGTGGATCATGATAAAGCATAAAGAGTTAACAAACAAGAGCACCCACACATTTTACACATGTGTTTCTTGTTGCTGCACATAAGATAATGCAGCAGCCGAACAACAGCTCCAATTCATGTGATAATTCTCCTAAGACAGTCAAATTCAGTTGTACAAATACATACACGCAGGAACAGATAATGACACACATAAAACCTGGCACAACAATATATTTTCTTTTGAGGTTAAACCAGTTCAGTGCTCCAGCTCTGGCATATTCTTATTATTTATACCTGGAAAGTGAATTCTCTCACTGATCCCCAATTATCTTCAGTTCCAGGAGACTGTCAGGCTTCCAGTTCTCCTTTCTATGGGATGAAAAATACTACAGCCTCTCAGCAAAGCCAGCCAAAAGACTGCCTCTGCAGGGAAAAGGTAAGACCTTCTCTCCCCTCTCCATCCCCCATAAATCAACCCTTATACAACTTACTCCAACTCTTCTCCCACATTTTAGCTGGAGACCACAGCACTGACAGGTAAAAGATTCTGACCAGAACTTAGAATACGAAGTGAGACATTAACCCTGGTGAAAATATAGTTCCAAAAGTGTTAACTTAAAAAAAAAGGATAAAACTTTTCCTTTGTGAGTACTGTAATAAAAGATCAAAATAAATGTACAGGTTCTCTACATATTAAGATGCAGCCTCTTCTAGTATGCTTATATGAAACAGGTCATTTTCAAAAATCCCCTGAATTTCATATCATTCCCGTCTGGTTAAGGCAGAGGAGGTGTGACAGTACCTCCGCACGCTGACTTCACACACGTTGCTCTGAGTGGAGCCTCTGTTGTAAAACAGACCTCAGGCTAAAGGGGCTGCCTGAACCTGACATTAAAGGCCATTTAAAATCAGGACACTGTCTGATTTGCCACAGTGATGAATGCCTAACCTGGGCCAGGCCTTCTGTGAAACACTAAACTCCTCTGAGTAGCAAATGAGCTCTGACTGTTTCTTTTTATTTGATCCTATTTCATTCGGTTGCATCCTTGCCTGTCTGTCTAGTTCAATTATGCGGCAGTTAGAGGAATCTTTTTGTACGTAGTCACTGGTCTGAAAGTGGTAATTGGAAAAGATAACTTAGAGAGGATTTGTAGCATCTTGTGAGGAAGTCCACGGTGAACAGTATATAGTAGTATTTAGTTCTTAGACAGTTGAATGCACATATTAATAGTGGCATTAAACTAAATGGAAGACATTTGTCTCAGTGCTCGCTCAGAGTTCTACAGTAGGTACTCGTGGCCTCTCACTCATCCCTCTCCCCTGAGTGGAGCCCAAAGAGAGGTCATCACCTTCTCCCCAAACAGGAAACCCCATCAAAAGAGGATCATGTTTCTGCAAAAGCCAGTGAAGAAGAGGGCAGCCAAGTGGATGGTGACCCGTCCCTGAGCGTCGCTGATGACATGCAAAGCAAAGAAAGTGCTAACGCCTGCTTGGAGGCTCACGTGCAGATTTATCTGCCAGACGATTTGCTCGGGATGAACACGTGGAAACTGTCAGCGGCAATATGAAGGCAAGAATCGAGGAATCAATTCCTCACCATTGGTATCAGGACTCTTGACCTTTGGCCTAGGTCTTGAGGGCGAGACATTGCCGATCTGTGCAGTCGCCACCTCAGGATCAGGTGAGGGGCAGGTCGCTTCACTCGCCAGAGTCAAACAGTGTGTGTAAACCAAGGCGTGACTCAGTGCTAGCTTCTAAGAGTCAGACATCGTTCACTTTGTGGATGGAAGTGATCTGTGTTAGCTTTATAATTAAGACCAGTTGCGTTCTTTAGGCTGGTTTATAATAGCCAGGCATAAATATTTATTCCTGGCGGCTGGAGAGGATAAAAATGGTGGGAGTCATAGGTGGAGCTCACCAAACATCCAGAATCCAATGCCCGCCCTGTGATGCTAATACCCCCGAGGACTACTGTGCCAGACTCGGCTGCAGCACAGATCAAATACGAGGGCCCTTATGTTGCATTTATTGTCTTCAGGTCTTCCATTTTTCCTAATAAATGAGTGACAGCTTGAGGTGGGTCTGGGTACTTTGGTAGAGTCTTTGTATTTTTCCCTCAGGTCAGAGAGGAGCAGGGTTTAACAGCAATGTGGAGCATATCTAATTGCTTTCATATGCCATATTATTGCTTGATTTAAATAACCACAGACACCAGGGGACTAGGGGCAAAGCCTTTAACCTTTGCATGGCCCTGGCCAAGACTAACTGGATGCCTGGCTGGCTTACTGAGTGTCTTAACGGCCAGGATGAAACAAGAACAGAACAAAAAAAAGTATGTTTGTTTATTTATCCACCAGCTGTTGCTGCGATGCGGTCTAATTAAAGTTGAACTCTGTTGATTTCTTGTGATTACTTTTGCTTTAAAAAATGACCTGGGGAAAAAAACACAAGGATGCTTCTAAATGCTCTGCAATGGTGCCAAAACAGGAGAGCCTGAAGTTTTTTGATGACAGTGGCATTTTACATACATCTCTCGGTAATTGGAAAAAGCCGCAGTAGGCCTTCCTAGATCCCCAAACGTTTGCAAAATTTCACTGAGTGGAGGTAATGACACGACTGGGCGTCCTACCAGTTAGATCTCTCTTCAGTTTTCTCATGTCTTTGGTGAGGTCGTCAAACTTGACTTGACCGGCCTGGAAGAAGTCTTGAGACTCTGGCAAAGGGAACACACTCTTTTCTGTACCAGCATGCTGAAAACAAACATAACGGTTGATTAATGTGGAGTTACAGATGACGGATTATTTTTCCCTTTTGATTCAAAAGATTTGACATACCTTGTCAAAATTCCGCAGGTAGTATGAAACCACATAGTCGATGAGGTTGATGCGATTGTCCTAAAGAAAAAACAGAGGACAATCAAAACTCTGCAAATGTCTCAGCTCGTTACTTTAATGCCTTTAAGCGGCAGTTACCCTGCTTTTGACATCCTTTAGCTTAGGAAGAATCTCCAGCCCGAAGCCATCAGCCTGACCTCTTGTCCTGTTCCCTCCATTCATATAGTTCCCAAAGGCCAAAACAAGGCCCATCACATCCCGCAAGCTATCACACTCAAGCAGATCCTGAAATAGAAAAGCACACAGAGATTTCTGGGTAAGCTAACCCTGCCTGGGGCGTATCGTTACTTCTGTGTGTGTTGAGGAGATGCCCTTACTTTGGAGACATTGGAAACAATGTCCACCTTGCGACGTATAGACGAGATGGTGTCGAGGAATACTGACTGGAAGATGATGCAGTGTGCTCGGCCTTCAAAGTCAGGAATCTGGGAGAGCTCATAGAGAAACCTGGAAAACAAAAGGGGGAGGTGGAGCGGAGGGGGAGGGAGGAGGAATGGGGTGTGATGTGTTATGACAGAATTAAACAAAATGTCTAACAGGAAGAACTATTTTGGGGCTTGGCAGGCCGCGCTTCCCCACACAGGCAGGCTTAGTCAATGTTGCTGTTCTCGGGCAGGCAGCTGATAGTCATGAGTGGCGCTGCTCGGCTGGGTTTGAAAGGTCCATGGGGTCGGGTGGAGGGAAAGCAGCGAGCGGCGCACAGAGACTGATCAAAGACAGCTCTGGCCTGATGCGGGACGACTTATGTAAACAGTGCCGTGTCGGAGGGGAGCAGAGAAGTAACATCCTGTGTGATTAGGCTCTGCTGATGGAGGCAGACACTGAGTAAGGATGACTAAGGCTGCGATAGTGACAGGTCTGGTCAAACATGGAAATAGGAAGACCAGGCGGAGCGGCACCACTGGGTCCAAGCCTCGTTAGCTGCCCTGTACTACTTAACCCCGACAGGAACTACTGAACTACTGAAGCATGCTAGTTGTAGAAAAATACTTCAAAACATAGAAAAAAGACTTTGCGTGAATAAATATGCAAATTACTCCCCTTTTCAGTCAACTTTTTCCCCCCCCAACACCACATGATTAGGGTAACACTAATTTGAGTAATTAAAAATAAAACGTGCCTCTTTAGTTTTTAACAAAAACTACTAATATTGTTGTATCAGCGAGCCTCAGAGCATTTATAAGTGCATCATATTTATCTGAGTTAACACAAAAATTATAAATATGGGAAAAAAATAAATTGTGCCACCCTTCATACGTTTTATCATAAAGCTCCATATTTTCCAATCAAGGCTGATTTACCATGATTGATGACAGCCCAATTTCCAACCTCACAGACTAATAATTTTAGATAAACTGAAAGAAATCCTACTGTTCAGGTTTGTCCAGCAGCTTGACTTCATCTTCTTTTGAAGTTTGATAATGTTTTCTTATCCTGTCCATCTCGTCACTGGTGGCCCTCTGAGGACACAACATACCGTCCATAACCAGACATTAGATTGTTTTACCATGCAAAAAGACAGGCGTTGTAATTATTTAGGAGAGAGAACATTGATTGTACAGATACAACATTAAAGCCATGTGATACAGCAGCCTTAGCCTCCTTAGTCTCTTGCTTTGTCATGTCAAATATACTTACATTTTCATATAAAGCCTCAATGGTCTCCAGATCCACCACAGAATGGTCCACAGTCAGAACAGCTGGTAAAGATATATGAAGACATGTTCATTAAAAGTAGGTCTCATAAATGCACAAAATGTTGGCCAAAGATTGACCCTACAAAACAGTAAAAAAAAAAAAAAAACTGCCTATAAACACAAAATGATTACAGCTCACTTAGATTAAAATTCATATTTGTGGCATTTTGAGAAATGATCTATTTTATAGGCAGATATCGTCACACCAACTGAAGAAATGGTGCCCCTTGTATACTCCACCGCATCCACCCCAATATTAAAATGCAAAATTTGAAAACCATGTAACTGAATTATACAAGCACAATTGTAGTTTTATGTGGTGAAGTTGGAAGTTACGCAGTGGGTGCAGAGACCACAGACGCCGGGCCTACACTGGGGATTCTCTGCTCTTTTTGGCTCAGAGGGAGAAAGCCTGAAACTGCTTAACCTCTGAGCCCACAGACAGAACCACCACAGCCAGCAGTCAACTAATGATTATAGAGGGGGTGGCAAAAGGTGAGATGGGTGAGAAACAGAGGGAGCAGTGGGAGCAGAGTGTGACTTTTTACTATAAAGTTCAAAAAGCAAAAGTATGCATGGAGAACAGAATAAGGATTTATGAAGATCTGCCCCAAAAGGAAGAGTAACTCCTGTTGACTGTCTCTGCGGTGTCAGGGGTTTATGACTTAGAGACGGAGGGGGAGTAGGGCGTCATGATGGGAAGGATGGCCCTGCTGCTTCTGAATCAGCTGACAGATGCCTGGTTGTCGTCAGCGAAGGATGGTGGCGCGTCAAAGTCTCCTCTTAAATCAGTCGCTAAGTGCGAGGGGAAAATCTTTCGAATGAATCAAACTACAGCGATCCAAGAGCAGGAAAAAAGAAACCCACACTACAGATATGTTTACATCTATCGCCAAGCTTGTCTGTTAAGTCTACAAAACAGGAACCATGACATTAATTTCTTACCAAATCCCTTTTCATTTATGGTAACACAATATCCACATGGTTAGGGTGCACTCAGTTTTGTGAAGCATTGATGGCTAAACTCTCAGTTAGCTGATGTTCTGCAATGGCCCAAAAAAGATTTAAAAAATCTTGTCAAATGTGGAAGATTTTTGAAATTAAACTAAATGAAATTTCAATAAGGCAAATCACTTTTGCTAAATTGAACAGCTTCAGCAAGTTGGCCTTTCTCTGCCCAAACACACGCTGACTTCCATTATGGTTCACAGCTGTTCTGTAGCAGGAAAGCTGTCAATGTGGTCCCAGAGTCTGGATCCCAGAAAACCCTGGAGGTCCATTTCCTACATCTTATTAGAGTGGATTATTCAGTCCCTCAGCCATGCAGCCGTCAATCACACACCAAAGGGGGGCTAGCCCCAGCCTGCACAGGAGCACTCTGATCTGAGGGGAGCCGGATATCTCTCCACACAGACAGATCAAAGCCTGCCTGCCAACAGCCTCACACCCTCTCCTTCCACTTTTCACTCCTGTGTGAGTGTGTCTGTGCGCGCGGTGAGGTGGCATGTGGGGGGGGAGCCTCTCCCCTTGCCCTTGAACCACGGTGGCCCTTGAGGTCCCTCAGTCACTGCGACGGGTGTTTTTGACCCCGTCTCTAACCCAGAGTGCTGCCTTGCCCTCGTTCCCCCTCCCTTATAGCTGTAATTACATTACATGTACCATGTCCTTTTAATTTGGCAACAAAGGGGAGGCAAGCAGGCGAGGCCGGTCTTTAGAAGTGCTTTTTAAAGTTCTGTCCTTTATAGTCAAATTCAAATTGTCCATTTCACATACACCTCCCATTAAGGTGAAAGGAGGCAGCCTCACGCTGGGTGGGAACTCGCTGTTTCACCAAAGCACCAGAGAGAAAGACATTGAGGGGAAAGGAAAAAAAAATCTAAACAAGATGGTTGCACTGGTGTATGTGTTCTTTGGCTTGCGTTTTAGATGGTTTTATGTGGTAGCACCGTGTCTGCTAACTGTGGAAGGTGGTTTTGTACATGTTTAGATCATTAGTGGGGTGTCAGTCCCATTAGGCTTTTGGAAACCTTCACTGGCTACAATAAACAGATCCGCTGGCCGCATGCTCAGACTAGCAGGCGGCAGGCACTTCTCCGCCACAGTCCCAGGACAGGACTAATTCCTTGCCCATCTACTATGTCCCCAACACACATTCTAGGCCTTTACACACCCAATGCAGCCACACAGCCCTTCCTTTTTCCACAGAGCAACCAAGTGTGCAATCAATCTGCATGGCTTTTTAAAAGAAGGGGATAGCAATTTGATTTTAAACAGCGCAGAAAGCCTGACAGAAAAAGAGAAAGGTTGCTTTTATTTCACTCTTGCCATCTGAACGTTTTGACAAATTAAGGCATTTTCTTTCCCACTGTGGTAAGTGGAAAAATCATCCACAGGGTTCCACTTGAGCCAGAGATTAATCCAAAAAAACAACTCAAGTTACAAATTAGTTGCTGTCAAGAGGTAGGAATTCATCCTCCACTGCAGAGTTGGCTATCTCATCTCTAAAAATAACTCCATCTGCATTTCATCACGAGTCATCCTCAGTTTATTGTTAAATGAGAAAGTATATTTAAGTTGTTCCTGCTGAAACCTTTGCTGAAAGACACACAGATGACCAAGCGTTCAAAAGCTACCAGGATGTTGATCAGTCTGAGGGAATATTACTCACCTTGCTGAATGTCCTTCATCTCCAGATGCAGGCTTGAAATGAGAATGCCGACCGCCTGTGAACGCTTGCCATCCAGCAGCTTGATAATCTTTAAGAAAAAACAAAACAAACACAGGATGTAATTAATGTCATAAAGCTTTAGTTTTCCATTAGATTCAGCGAAATTGCAGCTTAATTGCTCATTGTTTGAGGGAAACTAATTATTTTTAGTTTTTATGCCCAATAGGTTTCTTCCTTAAAATACCTTTTATCCTGTTAGTCATGCAAAAGCATAATATGGGCAAAAGCATAAAATTAGTTTATATTACACAATATATAAACAGCTAATTAAAGTAATAAGAGGATAGGTAAAATTCGTTTTGTCCCGTTAGGGGCTGTGAAAACACAACGTACACAGTGATCCACACCTGAAGCTCAATTTAAGTCTGAGCAACTTGCGAACCATCTGGATTGACCCTAAAGACCAAACTTATCAACGCTCTTGTTATAACCTGCCACGGTGATGCAAATGCTTGGAAAGTGTGGAACACACACACACACAAATGGCTGCGGCTCACTTTTGTCGGCAACGAAGCTGTACAACAAAGCGCCTCCTCCAGTTTACCCCAGAACACGTGTGAGATATAATCGAAAAATATCAAGTCGTACTGAAAGTACAAAGGCAAAAGGCGTACCATAAAAGGACAGTCTAGAAGAGCAAGGCGAAGAAAAGCAGGGTTTTTATAACAAACTATAAATTCACAGGATTTTTATTTGTGCCTACACATGGTCACAATTACTTATGACTGAATTAGCCATAAAGCCAGAGAAAGTTTTGGCAAGGTAAAGCCCTGCTCTAAAAGTTAATGTGTCAGGCTTCTTCATTAGGTATTATGGCGTTGTCGGCTACTGGACCGTCCACTGGGAGCTGGAGAACAGAAGCCTTAGAAGTGGGTATTGCATTACAGGGCGTTAGTGGGTGCCATGCTGCTTCCAGCTCTATTACCTGGATCTCGGGGGATCTCCCACTCTGGGGACTTGGGACCGCTGAGTACCAGGCTTTCCCAACACCTCTAATTAACCACTTTGGACGGGCCACACTAAAAGCTGCCCGGGAACCTTTCCCGCTCACCGTGGCTGTGGAACTCGCCAATTAGCCCGAACCATTAAGTTAATGAGAAAAGACAACTGATGCTGGATGCTTTCTTTCAGACACGCACACGGCTTGAGGATGTGGAGGGAGCTGGCCGATGCTGATGCTGAGATAGGCAGACAGCAAGAGCTAATGGCTCCCTCCTGTGGATAACGATAGAAGTGAAGGCAGGCTTTCGCTTGGAATTGACGGACAGTTGAGTGGCAAAGATTTGGGAGGAAAATGAAAATAAACAAGATGATGGAGGGAGACACTGGGAGCTCTGAGCCAAAGCAGGTGGCTGGCGTTTGGCAATATGGGATGCAGATTTAGACCAGAGCGGATAGTTTACACTGGCTGAGGAGTCAGCCTGCTCATCACTGACAATCTGTCTCATTATCTGTCTGGAATCACCCAGGCATATGTTAGCAGCTGGAACAAGACTTCCCATCAATACCCATCCCACTCTCACCCAGCAGTGTTAACCTCACACCCACACTCTCGCGTCATAGCCAGGACCTCAAATATGCCTTTAATAAACCTACGATGATTGCTCGTAAATTATAAACTGTTAAATACACAAGATCAACAGTGTATAAACTTGATACAGCTTTGATTTATGTCTGTATAGGGAACTGTGTTTACTGATGCGCATATTTGCACACAAACTTAACAGAACATTTAGTTGGAATAATTTCTTCATCTTCATCCATATCTCCCTCCCTCCATGATCTCACAAGAATGCCTACCCCCCCCACACCCCCCACCCCTTTCACTGCTATAGGTGCTCCGTTTTCATTGCTTCCCCCCACCACTGGAGTGAAGCCACATGCATGCAATTATACCCCCGGTCCAGTCCGGTCGGGTCCAGTCTTCTGTGGTGGGAGAGCTCTCTTCCATGTCATCTTCCCAGCTTTGATATGTTAATCAGAACAGAGCGAGGGGATCCAGAGTAAACAAGAGCTTTGATTTTTCTATGGCACACCTGATAAAGATTAACTCGCTCACGTAGGCATCGGCTGGATCGCGCAACTTTTTTAACGTTTGGCGTTTGCAGTTGTTGGGAAGTGGGGAAGTGGATCATATGCATAATGCAGACGTGCATTCCATTCCCACCCACTCATCTCCTCTCCTCTTGCCATGCAGAGCCCCGGGCTGTGGCGTTAGCATGATCTGGTAACACTTTCTCAGCAAGTGCATAATGACTTGTGAGGATGTGCTGTCATCATACATACAACACACACACAAGGACGCACTAGAAACATACAGATGCTGGTCCATATGCAAACAACATTTCACAAACAAGCTCACGAACAGTGACAAAAGCAAGCTCTCCTCACACATTCCCAGAGTGTGTTGACGGAGAAAGTGTGTGCGCACTGGAACCAAACACTACAGTCTGCTCAAATTCTGAGAGTAAATCCTCTGTCCTAGGCACACATTTATAAAACCACTGAGTTACACAACGAGTGCTTAAAAGAACTCAGCAGAACAAACAGTTTTTATTGGAACTACTTTAAAAGATTTGTAAGTAACCAACTGCAGTTTTGAAGAAATAAAAGGGAAACCACTCAAAGTTGCCTGAAGTGGAATAGAATCCCAATGAGTGATCTCTCCTCTGTGAAGCCAGCCTCAACCTTTCTACATTTATTCTGCTGAAAGAAAAACTTAAAAAAACTATTTAAAATGATGGAAAATGTGTGCAGTGACAGTGGATTCGCTTAAAAAAAAAAAGTTTTTTTGTTTTAATGTTTTAAAATGATGTAATTGTTGCTAGTGTTATGGCAAGAAATTCCTTATTATATTTCTAAACTTTACTTTAGATGTAAGGAAAATTATAGAATAGCATGGAAAGATGTGACAAACTAAAGGTGCACGTCTGCTGAACAAAAGAATGAACTGTGGAATAATAAAAGTGCCTAAAACAACTGCATGGAAGAGCAGCAGCTGCATCTAATCGCTTTATATAATGTATTTTAATTTCGGCTCAGGACAGTGATTGCCAGGCCCTGATTTGTAGCATAATGTAAAAAACATTTATTCTGACTAACTTCTGCTCAAGCCCTAGCATTTCCATTTTTATAGATCTGCTGCTGAGAGTCTCCATCTTCCCCTAATACATCATCGGCTTTGTCCTTATTTGCTCTCTTCCCAGTAGTGCTTATCTCTGTAATCCAGTTGTCTTTGACTCAGTAGCACCTAGTTCTCAGCCTCAGTCTCATCCTTCCCCTCCGCCCCTCCTGTTCTTTCCCCTCTTTTCTTTCCCATGTTGAACTTCTTGGAAGCCATCAGTTGGTGATTCAGATGATTTCTCTCTTAAATGATTTCTTTCCCTTCCAATCTGAATATAAACGTTCAAGGATAAAAAATGATCAAGTAAACAAGTCTCTATTATTGTGTCGTGGATTTCGGGAAACTGAACTTATAAGGTTTTCTTTTCCTTTAATCCTTGAATTTCACTCCCAACACTGACCTTTATAACAAATGTAAAAATACACAATAATCTCAGAGCTAAGAATAAAATGTCCAAACATAGATAACAGGCCTGAACAGTGAGTCTAAAAGGCCTTTCTTTTAAACACCTTTTATAAAACTTCTTGACTGATATCAATTAGTATGCACAAAGTTTCCATTCCAAGTGGTCAAGCTTTCTCGCAGCTGATGTAAGCAAAGACGGGAGACAGTTGTCTGAGTTTGATCAAATGTTGGACAGTTAGAATGACCAGACAGAGCAGAGAGATGTAGGGATGGAGACCAAGGACAGAAAACACACACACACACACTGTGGCCCTGTGGAGCAGAGTGGAGCCTTTACAAATTGATCAGAGTAGGGGATGTGTATGGATTTAGCGGAGAAAGTCTGGGGCAGTGGCCGATTTTTAACCGCTTGGACGCCTTGGTGAAGACCATGAGGCTGCCAGGCTGCTGACACAGCACTTTCTGTAGAAGTGCAGAGCTGTAACATTTGACAGGACATCAACAAAAAAGCTTTTGGAGGGTAAACGGGAACAGTGCATCAAACTGGACCAGAAATCACGTTTTGCTGAGTTTTTTTACTTTTCCATTACCTTAACAAAAATCAATGCAATGGAAAAATCTAAAGCCTTGTTTGTCATGTCATTTTACAGAGTGAATTAACCAAAGGAGATAAAACACACGCACACAGGGGAGTGAACTCGATAGCCCGGTTTGGCCCAGAGACAGACCTGGCAACTACAAGCAGGAGTCTGGAGGAGGATCTGATTAGACTCACAATCCATTTCTTCCTGATTCACCGTTTTCTAAATCTTCGTGGGGTCCATGATTGATAACGACAGCACAAAGAAGCATCTTTTAAGCAAAACTAAACAAAAGAACATGGCTGCAGGTAGGAGGATGTGCAAAGGAACCACTGTCAGAAGAGTTTAAAAGTGAATGACAGCTCCCAAATCCCAAGAGAAACTCAATCTGCTATAAAAGGCAGAGACTCTACCTTCTTTGTTTTGGCTTTCTTCTCGTAAGTGTCAGACAAGGGCTTCTTCTTCTGCTGTAGTGTGGCCTTGGAGAAAAGATCCTCAAACTCATTGGTGTTGACGATGTCAGGTTCCTTCAGAGAACCCCATAGTGTGTTGTTGCTACGAGAGAAGAAAAAAGAGAGAAACTAAGGATTTTAGTGTTGCTTAATGCATCCAGACCTAGGTTAAAAGGTGTAAAACATTCGATTACAGTGGCCGAGAGAGAAAGCAAGCAACAAAGAGGCTTCATGAGCTCACCAAACAAAGTCCTTTTTGTGGAGGCTTATATGTTTATTTGAGCTGGTTTCCATTTTCCATTTTGTAGTCCGACAAATACTTGGCAGGAACACCTGCGATCTAGCCTTTCTAAAGCAATGTTTATGAGCTATGTGATAAAAATAACAAAAGATTCTGACATGCTTGTTTCTGTATTGTAGAGCCATTTCCCACAAAGACGAAAATCAGACAGGCAAATATTGTGTTTCAGGAGTTGCTGAGTAACATGGAAAAAAACAGAGGCAGAGATGAGAACAAGAGGTGGCTAAAGTCAAGAGGATGTTCAGCATTTTGCTGTTACAAAACCGTCTTCTGACTCCCCTTTTCCTGCACAAGCATGTTCATCAAACAGACATTAATAACCTATTCAAAGAGCTTGGAATCAAGTACTCTAAACAAAGACTTAACAATAATGACGCTCATGATTTCCAATGATCTTTTCACACACTGAAGTTTCATTTGAAAGTCAGTGTTTAATGATATTACAGCTCATCTGTCAAGGCCCACTTATGGTGAGAAAAAGAACCTGGTGATCGGGACTTTAGCACAAGAGTTGCCGAGCTTATCATGCTTTAAGTACCAGAAGAATCAACTGCAAGACCACACCGATTGGCTACAGGAGTGGGAAGAATCCTGTGGGGCAGCCAAGGGTTTTTATGCTTGGAGCACAATAGTGTCAATTTAAAAACTCTTTATTTTCTATCCTCTTTGAGGTCTTACGAACATACTGGAACCCAGTTTGTGACAATGCATCAAACTAGCATGGGAAAGAAACCTACATCAAAGTCCTCCAAAAGATTTTCCTGCTAGACAGCTTTGTCTGACTGGACTCTGACTATAATCGAATTCCCCACAATGTCTGTCTGCAAAGACTAAACTCTACTTTGCCTTTCAGCTTACATTATAACTCTGGGCATCATATCAAACCTTCTAGTTCTCCCCCCTCATAACTCTGAAAATACACCCCATTAACAAAGATCAAGCAGCTGATCATAACCACAGTTAAATATGTGACCCATTTAATGCCCTTTAACATGCCCCTTTACAGTTTAATTTATAACCTGACAAGAAACCACTGCTATGCAGCCAGTAAGTCCTTCAAGGCTGGCTGAGACCTGTGAGAGAGCAACAGCTCAGCTCCCCTCGCTGTTACAGGCATGGAAATACAAGGCCATAAAGCCGGAACTCTGAGGCAACAGGCTCTCATTGCAAATGGTCTGGATAATTCACATATTATTACAGACCATCTCAGTAGGACCACGAAATGAGCAAGTATCGTGCACCAACTACATTTCTTATATCCCTATGGATAGCAGTGCTCGGGCCCCATCAGGACCCCATTAAACCACAGCCAAACACACTGTAGGCCTCCCCAGACAACAGTAAGCTCTTATAGCTTTGACTGTTATTCAACTCCTTTGGCAGTTTAGTGAAGTTCTGAGGGAGCTCTGCAGAACATAAGCTTTATATACTTCCAATGGTTAGAGTTAAAACAATAAAACTTAAATAGTCCAAACAAATTAAAACAAGCTGCATGCTGTGTGCTTTCTAAGGGTTTGTGCTGTGTGTGTTATCCTAAATATTACTTGTTTAAAACTGGATTTTTTTGAGATGGCACCAACTGATATTCAGCTGTTTAAAAAAATAAAATGTAGCAAAGTGAAAAAATAAAATAGATTTTTGTTTTCACATGGCTAATAGCTGGCCAGCACTGAGTTAAATTAACCACATCATTGGGAGCTACTTGGGTCAAAGCTGAGTGAAGGAAATATATTATCAACCGGACCTGAGAGAATGTCCAACCTGAAGATTTGTTCAACAACTGGAATTTTAACATAATATATTCAAAGCTATAAAAAAATAAAGTGTATACACACTTGTTGTCCTGTATCTGTATCCTGGTCCAGTACAGGGGCTTCATGGGACAGGCTGGCTCAATGGCAGGTTTCCGCAGAGCCGCTTCTACATTATGACTGAACCCCCCCATAGGGGGTGGGGGTGGAGGGCCACAGCCTGGAGGAGGGGGCGGAGGAGGTGGACCACTTCCTGGTAGGCCAGGAGGAGGAGGTGGAGGTGGTGGGCCCCATCCTGGTGGAGGAGGTGGTGGTGGTGGTGGGCCGCATCCTGGTGGAGGAGGTGGTGGTGGTGGTGGTGGGGGCATTCCGTGATGACCTGGCAAAGGAGGAGGGGGGGGTGGTGGAGGCAATACCGTAGGGCCTGGCAAAGGGGGGGGGGGGGGTGGTGGTGGTGGTGGCCCTGAGAGGCTTGGTGGGAGAGGAGGAGGCGGTGGGGGCGGACAAGAAGGACCGGGGGGCGTTTCAGCTTTTAGATTCAGTTCAATTGAGTCCAAGTTGAGTTTTTTAGGAACATTCTGGCTGGGGCTCAGAGCGAGGCCGCTTCCATCCGCCTCAGGGGTTTTGATGAACGTCTCCCTGTCCGTCTGGATCCCCACGGTCCGGCAGGTCTTGGGAGCCAGCTCATCAGCGGTGGACACGGCGGCATCACAGAGCTCCCTGTGCTCCTGACCCGTCATGTAGAGCCTGTCCTTTTGCAGTTTAGCAATTAATCCCTCCAGGTTTGATAACGACACAGCATGCTCCCCTCTCAGTTGGAAGATTTTAAGCTCAAAGTCAGACTGTGAAGAGCAGAATATCAGATAGAACACAAACATTCAGTATAACATCGTAAAACTGTACCAGGTAGTTCACAGTCATTTTCTTGGAGTGAACTATATTTACAGTGTTTCTTTACTGAACATAATAATTATATAGTTATTCAAATTTTTTGCTGAATTTTTAGCTAAGGTAAATTTGACTCATAGAAGAGAAACCCTTAACTTGAGTTTTCATTTTTTACAAAACAAACAATGAAAAACAATCCATGCAGAGCGAGGTCCTGATTTGAGACAGAGAGGAAATTGTTTTGCAATAAATCTTCCACATGTTCCTTATTAACTCATGTCAGTTTAGAATTAGAAATAAGCACGTTCCCAGTCTTTGTTGTGGGCCAACTGTGGTACACGTTTCTCCGTGTAAACATAAACTCTTTTAAAAGGTTGACATCAAATTAAAGGTTTCCAGCAGAGCAGCTCGGCTGAGAAACCAAGACTGAGGTCAGACTTTTCAAGGCAGTGGTCCATAAAGCAATTTATCAGTGGTACAAATTATGTACCGCAGCCAAACCTGTATTATTTTTCTTTTTACTTTTCCAAAGACAAGTTTGGTTCTTGTTTAGGTTGGCGGAGGGGAGACACCTGTGTAGGAAAGCTCCAGAACGTTTGCTTTTGATCAGTGGAATACTGACACCTTTAAGAGGGATTTGGAAAGAGCTGTCAAGATGGAGATGAGAGAGATATCCATCAACAGTCTGCCTCTGTGTGTGTGGTAAGAGCTGAACATTAGCAGCCAAATTTTGAATCAATGCTTCAGCTGGGGTCAGTCGAGACAATCCATTTGTTCTTTTCTACTTTTTTTTCTTCACTCACCGTTAACATTTGAAAGTTATAAGTCACAACTTATTTTAAAGGATTATAACACTGAGATGCCGTAAAAAGGCTAAAAACGTTTCAAATCAGGACACTGACAAACAGAACTTTGATCCATTTTTTTTTATTCTAAACACATGGGCTGTGGGATGAACTGTTTCTCTTAGTACGTAAGAAGGCCTTTTCTAGATGCCATGTAGCAATATCACACACTGACATCTGCATGGTTTCTGTGAAAGAAAAAACGCTCACACTTTGCCTTTCTGTGGCTTCTGTAAGTGAATATTCCATGCTTACTTAGTGCCATCTTGTGGCCATACTTATGCACTGCAAAGGCAGACTCCAGCATATTCTTTTCAGACATACTGTATCTCCAACATGTAACTAATTATAAAAGTGAACTTGGAACGTTTTGTTGTTCTATAAATCATGCTAAGTGTTTCTCTTCAGTGAACCAGCCTGAAGAGGCAACAATATCACAGAAAGAGACATTTGGGGAATTATTTCTAAATGCATTACTCGTTACTCTTTTGTCAGAGCTAACTTACGTGCATCCTCTCCAGATCTTCTTTACACTCTCTTTTTAACTGCAAAAGGGCAGCCTGGTGCTCTGAAATCAGGGAAAAAACAAGTGAAATCGTAAAGGTTCTCAGACATTCGCTACTTAAATCAGAGAGACTAAATGAAGTGTGTGAATTCATTTAACTTTTTAAAGTGCTTGATATATATTTTCAACACAAACGTTCCTGTTAATAGTTTCTTTGAATAACTGAGTAATCTGAATTTGAATAATTAAAATGTTGAAACACTGTGAAGTTGCTCTGCGAGGTGCAGCAACCTGGCTTTAATGGTTTAATGCCAGAGAGGGGTGTGTCACTAAAAATTTAACTCAACCAACTGGTTTTAATTCAACAGCCAGCTAAATGAAATCAAAACATCAAAAGACTGATTCTGGGTTTAAATAGATCTTAAATAATACCTGAAGCAATTGGTTAAATTCAGATTCTCAACCCAAACGGCTTAAGTAAATTCTTCTTGGATCTTGAGGATGTTTCCCCTCTCATCCCAAAAGACCTCTTCAGTTCAAAACTACATGGTGTGAAGTATCAAATAATAAAATTTATAACATGTAGTTTAGATCTGAGAAAGTATTTCCCTTCAGAGGTGAATCATCCTTAAGGACAGTGCAGTCCAGTTGCCTTTGCTCTCGACCTCTCGGTGTGGCCTGTCATTGTTCAGCAGCCCTGGGAACCGATTGTCTTCTGCGCTCTTTGCAGCATAATTCTGTATTTGCCTGTGTTTTGTTATGCTGCAGAAGAGCTTGTCAATATGACTAATGGTTACTTTCATTTTCTTTCTCTGCAGGTCTTTGAGTTGCAGTATGGCTCCCGGCTACTGCGGCTCAGTGTTTTTAAGGGGGTCTGAAAGTGTAGATTTCTCTCTTTTTTTATTCATATATTTACTTCATATCAAGTTTTCCAAACAGGACAATACTCTGCATGTAATCCGATCAGTCAGTAATGGAACAGCACAGCTCTAAGAAGCAGTTTGGCGTGCTGATTAAGGTTGTTTTGAGGTAATGATTAATCTGTGTCAGCCAGGTTTATCTTACAGGTTGATCTTTCAATTAACTTAACAAATGATTCTTAATATACCGCATGCAAAGACACCATTCAAGGTATTCTATAGCCCTAAATCATTAATGTGTGTGTGTAAAAAGACAACTATTTCAGAAGTTCATGTATGAAAACTCATACATGCTGCTTTTATCTATATGGGACACCATCTGGACTTTAGCTCTAGTTCTCAAATTCCAAACTCCATCCTCCTTAAGAAGAACAGAGCTGGAACATGGGGCACAAATTACTGGAATAAACCACATCAGCTCTTCTAATCTATTCCTCTGATAGATTCACCGAACCTTGAGCCTGAAAGAAAGCTTTTGAATCCGTAATTTAATCAGCCTTGTGGGCTTTTAGCCTATTTGTGTGTCATTTTACCTTTACAGCACAAGATGGGCCAAAGAAACCAATCCCATTAAAAGGTTTAACCCACTAATGGAGGCACAGTTGTGTGACAACCACATAAAAGTCATAATGGATTTTAAGGATGCTTAAAGCATGAAACTCTTACTTAGCCATCTCAGACATTTAAAATGACTGAGTGGCTGCACTTTCTTTTCTGTGGATTAATGGTGACGTTTATCCCAATCAAGGTATTCTTTAAAATGGTCGTATTGTAGCTGTACTGGCTGCTATCCACTAAGTCAATCAGTGTGAGGTGAGTCCATGTTACTCTACAGCAGTGATCCTCTGACAGCATTCCGGGTCTTAAAAGTCTACAAAAACAACAATGTTTACAGCTACCATCTTAAAGTTCTTACCTGCTTCGGTGTACTTGAGCCCCACCTTCTCCTCCTTATCCTTGGGTTTGGGTGGTGGCCACACAGCCTGAAGACGTCCTGGAGTCCGGTCCTCACTGTCTGTGGGAGAAGTGACCTCCGTCTGTAGAGAGAAAAAACATGAGCAAATACTAACCGAGAAGGTCATCCCAGACCAGTTACCCTCAGATAGATTTTAAATGTTGTGGTTGCATACACTAGCCTCTGTGGGACTTGTCAAGTCCTTGCTTGGAGATTTGGAGGTTCTCTCAAAAATGGACCGCAGGCATTCCTTGTCTGTCTTGATTTTCTTCTTCACTGCCTCTATGTCAACATCTTCTGTCTTCTCCTTTTTTACACTCTTGGGGCCAAAAATGTTTCTGAACGTTTCATAGGCTACATCAGATGTTTTCCTTCTCTCAGGAGGGCATGTGGGAGTTTCAGAGAGGGAAGCTTTTTCTCCCCCAACCATTTCTCCATTCTCAGGTTCCCTTTCGCCATGAACAGTGTCACCCTCCTGATCCGTTGACCTTTTGTTGTCATCACAGCTGTCTTGTTTGAGCTCTCTGAGCAGTCCCCCAGCAGTTCTTTTCGAATCTGAGGCTGATTTGAGCTCAGTGTGCTTTTTGATAGGAGGGGTTGTCTCCTGCTCAGGTAAGAGTCTGGCTTTGTTTACCGTCCTCTTAAGGCTGAGCAGGGCCAGATCGGCATCCTTCTCCCGCTGCTTGATTTCTGAAACCAGCTCCCTGTCTTCCCCCACCACCCCTTTCTTCAGCACCCGCAAACCACTGAACAGAGCCGGCATCTGGAAGGATGGAGGTGAAGAAACTGGTGTTATGCCCTTTGATGGAGATGTGTTGGAGGATGAGGCAGCAGACAAAACCGGTGATGCTGCACTTGTATCTGGTGTGTTTGGAGCCATTGTGCACTGTGCAGCTGGGCTAGAAGATGCTTTCCGGTCACTTGTGGACTCTTCAGGTGCAGACAACAGAGGTGCGAGTGTCTCATGAGTTTGTTTCTCTGAATGAGATGATGACTGGTTTGACATTTCAGAAGTCCTTTGGCTCGAAGAAGAAGGGGATGGCAACTGGATGGAGTTAGGATCCTCGGACCCGTTCCCAGCTCTTTGCTCATATCTTGCCTCATTAAGAGTCTGTTTTAATGGAGAAACCAGGTCACTTTTAGGAGACTGCCCAGAGATGACTGAGGGTAATGGCTGAGAACAATCTATGCCAGTGTACTCTTCATTCTCATCTGCTGCCATGTCCAGCCCATCACTTTTCTCAGCAAGTGAGGTTTCTGTAACCACACACACTGTGGGATTACTTTCCTTTGAGTCATCAAGATGTTCCTCTTTGGACACTGAAGAGACCAGAGCTGGCTTACTTCTACTGACAAATCTACTAAAATTTACAATGGACTCTACGCGTGATTTTTCCTGAAATTTGTGTGTTCTAAAGACAGGCACTTTAGGCTCATCTCTATTCCCCAGTTCCACTGCATTGTTGTCCACAGAAGATGGAGCGGAACTTCTGGAGCTTTCGGCCTTCTCAGACGAACCACCGGCCTCCTCGTCATCCTCGACTTCCGTGTCGCTGTATGTATCCACCATCGTGACATGTACCAGATCGGGCTCAACTGCAGCTCCGAAATCTACCATAACTTTTTCACCAGAATTCTTTACGGCTGATTCAACTTTTTCCGCTGAATCACAGGTAGCAGTCATACCATCCTGAAGCTTTCCATGAAAGGTTTCCTCACTCTTGATTTGACTACTTTCATACACATGAGTCTCCCCATCGGACAGCTCCTTGAAAGATGTCAACACAGCTGGATTCTCATCTGAGAGGGTGCCCCGATCACGCGAGAAGATATTGCTGAAGACATTCAGGATGGAACTCTGGGGCTGCCTCCACTGTTCATCTGAGTTATTACTTGAACTGTCCATTTTTACTCACAGTATTAGTCCAGCTCAGAGCGAACAGAGGCAAACCAGAAAAGGCGGCAAATCCAGTGTCTATTAAAATGTCATAGAAAGTGAATCTCCTCGCATCCAGTTATCCGAGCTCCTCCTTTCCACTATTAGAGCTGTGAACAAAAGGCCTTTGTGTTGGTAAAGCTCCCCCGCTTCTCTTACCTTCTCCTGAAGGCCTCTGTTTGTAACTAAACTACCCTGCAATCCAGTGTAATGACACAAATCATATATGGTGGACCGTTGTTATATCACAGAAAGACTACTCTTTACTGTATTCTGTCAGTGGTAGAGTTTAGCCTCCTCCCTGCGAGCAAGACTTCCATGACACAGCAAATAAAACCAATCTGCTGACTGGATGGAAGACTGTTCTGTTGAAATCTCTCTCGTATAGCAGTAGAACCAATTCATCCACTATTCACAAAAATATCTCCAACTCTTCTGACAGTTTGTGGGGTAGTCTCCGTAAAGTTGCTGGCTGTCCCTCTATGTGCCGGTGTGCAGTCTGGAATCCATGACTGAACGGAGCTTCGAGGCTGAGTCTGTGTTCTTCTGCGTGTGTCGGTCTCAGTTTACAGGATCACTTGTGTGCTGGTGTGTGAGAAAATCCTCTCAGGTTGGAGTGAAAGAAAAAAGGAAAAAAAAAAGTTTCACTGGTCTACCCAGTCTGGTGACGCCTTGCTTCAGGTCCCTCCCTTCCTGGGAGGGAACCTGCAGAGCCATGCACTACAGGTGTCCTATTACCTCTGCTCACCGCCAATATAAAAGAATGCGTACAGGGGAGTCAGCCTGCGGTCAGGTAGAGAGGCGTGGCGGTCCTGTAAGGCAGCGTTGCACCATAAAGTGGTGAGCTGCTGCAACACCGGGCTTAAGGCGGGGTGATTAGGCAGCCTGGTGATAGCCTGCTTGAGCTATTGTGCTAATATGGTAAAATGGGATTAGTAGCCTTTTAACACACAAGAGAACAGGGCCGGATAAGTGTAGGGGCGGAAAAAAACTACGTTCTGATTCCCTTACCTAACCCATTCTCTGTGCATATAATTGCAAGTAAAACAAAGTTTAGCACTTAGGAGTCTGTTTCCAGGAGCTGTTGAAAAGTTATGCTAATGCAAGCTTTCATATGCATGCTTGCAACAGTAAATGTGGTGGTCTGAAAAAGACAAACACCTTTCCTTGATTACGTCTACTGTATTTTTTTATTAAGGTTAAGACAGCACGCCTGAGAAAAAGCATTCAAACCGAGGTTGCCCATAGCAACTAAAGGTCACCCTAGCTGAAAGCATTCCTTTAGAAAGTCTTAGCTAAGCCAACCAGTGCTCTAAATCATGCAAGAGTTTCTTTTCCTTTTAGTTTGACTTATAAGAACTTAAGCATAAATTGGAAAATAGGAAAAAAGACTTTAAAACTTCAATAAATAGAATTAAGTTATTCTTCTGAAGGTATAAATGTTGTAAATGTTATTGACAATCATGTGCAGTTTCCCGAAAGAGCCCCAACCGGCTTCTGTTGCTCAGGAATTACACAGCCGCTGAGCTTTTTCATTTGTGCTAAATCCCACTGTAAGCTTCTGCTAAAAGGAGGCACAATGATAGCAGTGAAATAATATGTGACATACATCATCTCTGAAGTGACATTATTCATTTAGAAGTTATAGATAAACGTGGCTGGTGACACGCTACCCTCCCATTCCCTCTGTGTATTCAGTGAGAATAGTTTCTGTTCATCTGTTGTGAAAAAAAAGCGACAGTGACAAAGCGCTGTCACGGCCAAGTATGTGAGAAAGCTGTAATTTACATGACAATCCAGAGCATCTAATTCTGTACAGCATGGCCTTTAAACAGGTATGTTAGGGGATTAAGATAATAATCAGAGTGGTTTGCGGTGATTCTGAAGACAATACACGCACACCCAAATACCTTCTTAAATCCACACCCTGGTAATCTGCCTGATCTACTACAGGAATGAAAGTCCCAGACAGACAGCATGGTGAGATCTAGACAGCCTTTAAACTTTTTTTTTTTAATTTACAGACCATAGTAGTCTGTCAGGTGTTACAGTCTGAAGTACCTGATAATTGTTTTCAGATGAAGCAGAAGAAAGACTTCTGGTTCCATCTTATTTGATCCTGAGGTGCGTGCAAACTTAATGAGCGGAAGCACTACTTGTGATACATCTACTTTTAGCGCTTTAGCGGAATAACAACAGAATAATAGGATTACCTATTCCAAAACCATACCCACTATATACTTTTTTGTTCTGAATGTTAGGGCCTTGAGTGAAATAACCGCAGTCAGTTTGGCTAGAAGCCCTCGTCTCCAGTTTAAAATCCATGACCCGCTAATCCATTTCTAAGAATTCATGATCAGGTGATTAAATACCCCAGTGGAGAGAAATCCACATGAGTTTCACATGGGGAGATAAAACCTGAGAGCCCTGGGTACTCTGTTCTAGGAGTGAAAATAATGATTTCTGCCATTTTGGTCAGTGTTTCTGTTGCTAATATTGATGGGCTCTCACCGTGCATTCCAGTTTGGGATAGTAAGGAGTGTCTCCAATAATGTCATCCTCAGGTGGAGTGATGCGCAGGAAGTCCAGGTGATCAGGGCGTGGAACACGGGAAAGAGGCTCCTGGGACTCATCACCATCCAGCAGCCAAATGTCCTCTTGACGCAAGAGGGAGTCCTCTACACAATCAGAAACAAACACAAGGCCTCAGGCGTGCAACACAGGCTGCCATGAACTAACTGCAAAACAGGAGAAAACATGACAGTGGTGTACAACTTGTTTGAGTGCCATTTACAGGGGCAACAACATCAACAGTGGTAAAAAGGTAGAGTAATAACGCATTTGTCAGAATCCCCTGACATCAAATAGACAATAAAACAGACCTCTGTTTTGTGGCAGGCTCCAGGGCATACGGCTATTTTTATCTGCACTTGGCCGGCCTTGTTCCCATCACCATCATCATCATACTGATCCAATAAGAAAATAAAGCTGGACAACAGTGGTTTAGAAGAAAGCCGCTGCTATATCAGGTTGATTTGTATTCATGACATCTTTACTATGACATGTATATGACAAAGAATTGCTCACACTACTAGTGTGCAGTGTAGGTGTTAGTCATTTCATCCTAAGGCCCTGATGAAGAGAGAAATATAAAACATGAATTCACATTCAGAGACGCTGCCCTTATTTGACTGACAGGCTGATTGCACTTTAATCCTGAAGCTTTCGTGGTAAGCAAAGCTAAAACAGGCACAAAAAAACTGTAGATTTAACGCATCCCTACACGAACTCAGCCTCCCCGAGCTATTCTTGTTGCAGCATGCTGTGAAGGTTGAATTCAGAACTCTGGGCCTTTATTATGTACTGTTCACTGCAGACACTGTACCATCCTGCCAACCACATGCACAAAAGTATGCCGAGATGTCCGCATTCATTGTCTTAAGAGAGTCAGTGATGCAAGGGGGAGGAAAGGTTTATGGCAGCATTGAGGGGAGAGAATAAAAAGGGAGGTGGAGAGTTTGTACTGAGGAGGGAGAGTACAGATTTCCCCCAGCTGTAAGACAACACCTTGACCTGCTTATTATTACAAATACAGCTTACTTCCTGTTCAATAAAATGCTAACATATCCCATAGCATCAGTATGTAATGAAGATCCTTGAAGAGGACAAACAGTATTACATGACTCCTCCAGACAAGGAGGTTCCCTTAAACAGATTCTCAGTCTTGTGTCAGCCAAATGCTTTCAATTGAGTTATAAGAGCCAACACACCCAAACCAAGTGGAGATAGAAATAAGAAAGGATTGAATTTCATATTCATTGTTCTAGCACAATCGCTTATTATGCGAAACCAGCAATGCCTTCAGTCGCCGCAATTACTCTGGACTTTGACAAGAGGAAAAAAAAGCTAAATAAACAAAAAACAGTAGGATTAGATTAATAACTCCTCATTATGATAATGCAGCGCTGCATGGCCCTGCAGTCAGAACTGCTGACTGTAGGCTGGGATGGTTCCAAATGCAGAGTTAAATCCAATGTTGGCCATGGTAAAGAAACTACTGATCAGAAACAGCCATCTCCTCAGTCACTGGTTTTTGTAAAGGGCTTATGGCCACATTGCTCCACACCTACAGACACAAAAATAGTGCTTATCCTTTAGGCCTTTACAATAATAACAAGAAGATGTTACACATCTGAAATGCTCATTTGTTCATGTGTGCCTGTGCTTCACCTAGTTGTAGCTTAACAGTCTAATTATCCATAAGGTGGTTCACACTGCCCCCACCTGGACAGGAAGAGAACAGAATGTCAGACGCTTACCTTCAGGCTCACTGCATTCCTGCAGAGGGAGGCAGCTACCAATACCGAATGTCAACGTAACATCCATGTGAATGCTAAGATGACGTGTGTGTGCTCTACACATATTCCAAAGGGATTTTTTGCACCTTTTTGTAACTCTCCCCCCCAAAAATACCTAAACATTTCCAGATTGACAATATTCTGATTTTAAACAAATGATTTCAGTGAAACAGTGAAAGTTTAAAAAGGGCAAAAAGTCTTAAAATGTTTCTCATGCACTGATTAATGGCTTAATCGCCCTCCTGACTGTCTAAATCTGTCAGGTTGGAATCTGGATAATTGTTGGCCAATCATCCTTCATTCAGTGGTCAGACATACAGATATATTGGGTCCTGTTAATTGAGTAGAGTACGATAAAAAAAGACATGAAACCACTAAAAGCCTTGAAAAGCAGACTTGTTCTCGTTTAAATGGCAATCACTAGTTCGTGATTGTGACTTCAATAATGTAAAAGTGACAAATGCAAACCTAACCTAACAAAAACCATCCATATGTAATGAATATACACAATTAACTCATTCGCTGCCAAAGACGTCTATAGACGTCTTTTATGTTTTTCAATGCGAGTGGCTTGGGGGACGATCGGCGAAAGTTTTTCCGTAAATATCGGTTTCTAGACAGAGTATGGACTAACAAATTGACCCTCTAGGTAGCTGTGCCACTTTTGATGGGAGATGAGCATAGATTGTAAGCAAATAAAAACAAACGCAATAGTTCGCTATGAGAGAAATGGCGCCGGTGAGACGCACGTCGAAGAAGAACGGAATAAGGTAGAAACAAAATCTTTTTTCCTGATGAAAGAAGAGAGTCTACTCTTTCTTTTGGTGTGTTCGGTGTTTACATAGTCATAGCACAAACTATTCTGTGGCTCTTGAAAAATCAGTCAAAATTCTCAAAAAACTCTGGCAGTGAGCGACTCTCTGTTCTGAAAATGGCTGGCAGTCAATGAGTTAAGAGCAGAAAACCAACCAAACATGCTATTGATAAAACAAGACAGCTTCACATTCTCATAAAAAACAACCAAACAGCATTGATTGTCCAGTCTGTCCCATTTCATCCCCTAAATTCTACAACCTCATCAGTCAAAGTAAAAGTACTGGGTCATGAAATATGCCGACTACATCTGACAGCCTCCACCTCCTTCCATCACGTTTAACCAAAGATGAAATCGACTTTTTAATATATAAATCAGGAAAAATAAAGTTTCTGTAAATCACCCTGCTTCTTTTCCACAGTCTGGTTTCTCTGCAGAGGCCTGTTGGCCTGCATGGCTGTCAGGTTAGATGATTAACTAACTGGTTTGGCTGCCAGGGCTGAGGTTTACAGAAATGCAGCGGAGAAGTGGAACCTAAGAGAATAATGTTGTGGTGCCAGGCTTGTGGGCCACAGCAGAAAAACAGCACGACTCAATGCTCGCAGAGATGTCCCACTCTACCCGAGCTGCACTTTTGGAGGCTGATGGGATGCACAGAGCGGAGGTAAAGAGAAGAGTGCCTTTATTGCACCTGGCAGTCCATGAATTACAAGGCAGGGAATCTGGTTAACTTCATCTGATGGGGTTTGGAAAAGCTAGAATATTTAGTTCAGCCAATAACACAACTTCAGAAAGCATGAGATGCAACCTAGCTGAAAATTTCCAAGGAGAGTTATTTATTAAAAAACAGGTTACGCATTATAACAAAACAACCTTTGTGCCTTGTTTTCTTGTGTGCAGAGCAGCGCTACAGTGAGACTAACTGAGAAAACCTCGCAGCCTGATTTGGCAGAATAGACTTCATTATCCAAATAGAGCCGATCATTGTCTTCGCTGGGTGGAACAATGCAGCACGGCGGTGCACGCCGGGTTTAATGACAGCAGCTGGGGAGAGCAGAGTGATACACTTTTCTCAGCACTGATCAGTTGCATATGACCTTGCTGGATCATATTAAGTAATCCGATTATGACATTGGCTGCCATTTGTCAGCCTATAATGAGCAGGGAGGTGAGTGAGGGGTTAACGGAGAATGTGAGGTGAGTTATGCTGCATTCCTTGGGCATTGGAAATTCTGAATTTTTTAGCTCTGATGACTAAAAATGAACTCCACTTTATTTTCTATATTTCTTTTGTTATTTTTCACTTGTAAATAGGAATTAGGGTTAACCTGCAGGTTTACTGAAACTTTTAATACACAATTTAAACACTTTCCATCCTACTCGCCACTCAAATAGAATTCAAACAAGGGCTAGCAAAGGTTAGCTTTGCCACTTTCGCTTCATTCATTAAATCAGACGCAGCGAAGAGGCTTCTAATTCCAAAGGTTTAACACCAGCTGGTGAGCATTATTGGAGCAAATCAGAGTGTTTATAGTCTTTTATAAGGCTGCAAAATAGAGCAAGATAACACCAATGCAATATGCAGAGATTCTGACAAACATGAATCTGACAAGAAGCATCCAAACCCATTTTTAAATGCATGAGGTTTTCTATTATTCAGAGGGCGGCTAAAAAGTATTAGCACATGAGGTAGATAAGAGAATTTGTTTCTTTAGAAACACCATTAGCACCTGCATGATCACACTCATTAATAAGCACTGAGCTTCAATTACAGAGCCCAGATTAAAGAGCCTGGACCATAATTAATTCAACCTTTGCAAATCATGAAGCGAGGCGGTTCACACTGACCCACTTAGCCCTTTTGGATGGGCCCTGCTATGTTAATTTATCTGAGTTAACATCTAAAATGTATTCAATTATCAAGCAACACCGGAGCAGCCTACCAAACAGCTAAACAAAATTGAGATGGAATTTGTTAAAGATTAAAGGATTTAAGCCTGCACTCTGATGATTGTGCAGCAGGTAGTATGAGGACAGCATGGTGTGAGAGGCATCTCTGGGTCTGTGCAGACTCATACTTAAGAGACAAAGGACACAAGTTGACCCTAATTTCACAGAATGTGGAAAATGTGTGTGTTATCTGTGGGTGTCTGTCTGGATAAGGACACACAGTGACTGAGTCTCTTCAGGGGAAACTTATCCCAGTCTTCTCCTCAAGAGTAAATCTCGACCATATTATCCCAAACCCACCAATTAGCTTTGGTCCCCAGAGCTCAGCACTCTTCTGTCGGCCAAGCTGAGGATTCCCGGATGTATCATCGTGGCGAGTACATGTCGGTCGATGGTGTGACAACTGAAATACCCCAGCCTCCAAAGCAAATTCAATACTGATCCACAAATAGGAGTGCTGTTGTTTAAACAGACAAGATAAATGTCCTGTTGTCATTATCATTATTACATTAATATTTTCTAACCACCAAGTAATAGTTTGATTATAATATGTAATTTAATGGAATGATGTGTGTGTCTGTTGCAAATTGAGGAAGCTATTGTGTAAGAGTTATAAGATGACCATCTGCTTTATGAAGGGTGCTTTAGTGGTCAGATTTATGAGCAACTTTGAATTGTATGGCCAGAATGTTGTATATTTTTTAAACATGTGAGAGCAACTTGTTAAGTTATTGAAAATAAAAATACAAGACTTAATATATTCAAATACTATATATGAGCACAAGATGTAGGCATGATTCTCTAAACGGGTCTTAAGAGTCTAAATTAAAAACCGTTAAGCCTCACATGTTTTGATTTTCAGTGTTCACATGACCTGAGATAACCGAAGAATGAAAAGATGTCAGGCTGTTTCCACTCTCTTTCCCACAGAGATTAATCTAAGAATGCCGTTTAAAATGAAATAAACTCTAATAAGAAAACATAAATTTAGTGACACCACTGCTGAAAAGAAATAAGATAATAATGATAAGATAAAAATTGTTGCAATGAAAGCACAGCCTTTTTTAGTCCAGCTCAGTCCAGAGATAACGAACAGCCTTATAGCAATATATTCTTTGAGGTTTCATCCTGTGGTGGATGTGCGGTAGAACACCTGTGAATGGATCCATGGAACAATTAAACCAGCATATTATTTAATTCTTTGTTTCAAAGAATATGAGGTTTGAGGTGGATGTTTTGAATCAGTGAGGAGCTAAATGATCTCAAACACATGTTCAAATTCACAGTTGCATTGTTGCAGAAAAGATTAACCATTTTTAAGGGGCCAGCAAGATGAAAAAGATGACTAAAAGAAGCATTTGGAGGTTTAAAATGTAGTAAGAGGGTCCTAAGTCATTTTTCAAAATCTGTTTTAAAAACTCCCGATCTTTGATAAGGCTTTGATGTGGCATGACCATGACATCATGGTCATGCCACATCAAAGCCTTATTAGCTTGAATTCTTAGCTCATAATGATTCAAGCAAAGGTGGAGTGACTCCAAACTGACACTAATAAACCTCCTTTACTGTTCCAGAAGGCAAAGGTCACAGAGGGGCATGACCAAGTGTGCTAAATACAGGCTGGGAAAGAAAACAGATCTCAGAGTTTAAACTGGCGATGCTTCAGTTCACCTCTTTGTTCATGAGAACTCTAGTCAGGTTGAACCCTGTGTCAACTTCATGGCTTTGATCTGGGACACCCGCACTAATCTGTGCTTTCCCTGCAGCGCTGAGGGAGTTAAAACGGACGGCCAGCGGAACCCTCTCAGACTCTGCCCGCCTCTTGCTCAACTCTGTTGGGGAGTTTTTAATTTGTGGTCTCGTGTATTATCGAAAACCACAGGAGTGACAAACTAACAACCAGTTATTGGCCAACCCGTTTATTTGGAGATCAGCTAGATTTAAAGCCTTTAGTCCACTTGTGGAACATTTCTGCCGGTCACAGTGCCTAAAACTATTTGTTAGAAAAGAAAATATTCCAGCACTCGGTCTGAAACAACTAAAAACACACTTGCATCCCTTTCAAATCATCTCTTTTCTTGTTCTGTTCTTTGAAATCATGCATCAGTGATCAGATGAAGGGCATATTCTGACAGCTCATGCTGAGAGTAAAAATTCACATCAAAGCATACCTTTTTAAGTGTGATTTTTCTTAGGCTCACCTGTTGTTGTGGAGTTACTTGAGGAGTTCCACTTGGAGCTGCTGGGTCGCCTGCTGAGGCTCACATCCAGATGTGTGACGGTCCGCTTGTTGCCGTTTTTGTCGATGACCTCGGTAAAGATTTTTGGCTCGTCAGAGTTACTGGAGCTGTCTCGGTCGGGGTCTTCGTCCTTATCTGACAGCAGCACGATGCGGTGGTTGAGTTGCGGGCTCACTTGTTTGGAAGACAGAGGGGACAGCACGGGGGACATGCTCTGCAGGCTGTTTGAAGCTGGGAAAGACATGTTGAAGACCCCGGCGAGGGACGGTGAGGAGGGACTTTTTGCGTGGAATCTGGCTGGTGCTGAAGGCTCTGCGGTTTGGGACAGGGGGAGCCACAGTCCCTCAGAGAGTTTGTTAAATGTTTTTTCCTTATTGATTCCCGGCAGGGGGTCTCTGTTCGACCCTGCATGCTCTCCATTCTCTTGCCGACAGCCGTTATTCTCTGGATATGGCCCAGTACTGTCGGGCCTTGTGTGGCTGACGCGCTGCACTTTTCCGTCCACGTCCTGCACTCTGGCGACGACCCTGACCCCCGCGTTCCTTCGGTTGACCTCACTGTAAAGCTGTTGAGCAGACTTTCTCGTGGATGCGTCTCCGGCTGCGGGCTCCCTCGGGGGGTCAGACCGTTTTACCGGGCGGAGGTTGCTCCCGCTTTCCCGTCTGCTCAGACCTTCGAACAGGCTGCAGGAGCTGGAGCCGTAACCCAGCTCCCCGTCGCACTCCGAGAAGTCGTCGCAGAAATCCATGTCCGGGTCGAGGGGGCGATTGTTCTCCGTGAAGTCCCAGCTCTCCCGGGCAATCTGGAAGGCCTCGTCCGGCGGGAGGACGCCGTCGCTGACGGCGCTGACGTAGGAGCCGGTGGCCGGGCTGTCACACACACGGTCGGCCGCCCTGACCCCTGGGATCTGGTTCCCGTTAGAAGCTGCAGATGCGCGGATCTCGCTCTCCGTGGGAAGCTCTGCGTGCGCCTGTCCTTTGTTAAATTTCTTTTTCATCTTACCGTGAAGTAAATCCTCAGCACTGTCGAGCTTCCTACCTCCCAGTTTCTTCAACTTTTTGCTCTTGGAGGCCCCCTTCTTCTGCTCAGCATGGGAGGATTTACAAGAGCTGCTCAGCAGAGGACCTTTTGGAAGAGCTTGTTGACCCTCCACATCGTCCTGGAGCTTCCCATCCTGGTTCCCCATGCTGACTTTGTGAGCGCAGTCCCGACACAGTGACAACAAATCCACCAGCAGCTGGTGGTGCTCGGTGGCCAGCCAGCACAGCTCAGCCACCGCTTCCTCCGTCGCCTGCCGGGAGTTAAAGAGTTTGACCGAGGAGTCGGAAGACTGGCCTCTTTGTCTGGAAGCTGCAAGATCCTCCTTCCCCCGGTCATGGTCACTACCGCTCCTTTCTGAACGAGAGGTGCGGCTCTTGTATTTGAAGCTCGGGGCCCGCCTCTTGGGGAAGTAGAGGCTGATGTGGCTCAGCTCGCGAATGGGCGCATACAGAAGCAAGACGCTGTGTGTGCCCTGCATGATGGGAACCATGTTAATCCCTCAGCCAGTAAAGTGGTCAGGCTGCAGAGAGGGCGAGAGGGCTCGGGCAATTCATTACCTGTCCCAGTTCTGTCAGAGGAGAAAGGAGCACACAGACAAATCTGAATTTAGAAATAAATCCAGTCGAGTATCTTTGAAAATGAAAGACTTGCTCATGGTGCTATAAAAGTGAAAAGTCTAATTTAGTGATGGACAGGGATGTCTCTGTCCTCTGACCACACAGGGCCCTTTTCCCTGCTCAATACATCGATAATAGAGGAAACAGATCAAACCAACTTGCATTTCTGATTGCAAATCTAACCGGTTTACCTTCCAGGCCCCGTTTAATCCTCCTCCTCGTCTGCACAGACACTCATCTACGACGAGGAGGAAACATTTCTAGAGCGCATTTCATCCAGCTTTCCCCAGCTGCCGCAGCCGGCGTCCCGCACGGTGACGCCAGCTGCGGAGCTGCACGCGCGGCTCCACGCGGGGCCCGCCGTCAGACGTGTTTACAGGACAACAGCCACATTCCTCCTGCGTGCTTAGCGCGAGCTCGAACGTCACTCAGTTGTTTGAATCATAACATAATCCAGGAGGCTCCTGTCACCTTGCAACAACAACCAGCAGTGTATATTTAGCTGTGTTAAGATGGCAGCTGAGTTACGTTATCTTCAAAGCTTTCGGGGTTCCGACTTTGCTAACTTAGAGACGAATATCTTGCTAAATTTTGTAATATTTTTTAAAAAAAATGTCATATATGAAAACTGTAAATATGTCAGTTGTGTGCTCAGAGTTAATTCACTGCTGGCAGTGAGTTGTGGTCAGTTACACCGGCGGCAGTTAGCAAAAGACAGATACTTACGGTCCCGGTTTGGCGGCAGAGCGAAATATTTCTCCTCATCAGTACTGCGGGCAGCCTGGGCACACCGCTGCTAAGCCGAGCTCCTCCGGCCCGAGCGACGGGAGTTTGGTCCAATGGGGGACCCCGCTGCTCACACCCTGCTCTCTGATTGGTAGTTAATCATTCAAACCCCGCCCACAGTTTGAGTCAGTGCAGCTGGTGCTGGCAGGTAAGAGGTGATGGGTTCCAGTCGGACCTGGTTTACACTGGAAAAGATTCTTTAAACTTTTAGCAATTGTCAGTTTGTAACAATATCATAGGCGAACTTTTAAAACACTTTTTTTTTAATCGCGTGTGTATATTTATCCAGACACCTACAAAAGAGCATATTTGTTATAGGCAGTTTTAATAAATAAGTTGGGAAACAGAAACACCTAGTGGCTAGAGTGTGAATCACTTCATGCCTCTGGGAACCCAACCAGCATTAAAAGAGACTGTAAAGTTCCACCTTAACAATGTATTCTGTCAGTGGAGATTTTATGTTGAACCCAGTTCTCCTCCAGCCATAAATATCAAATAATGAAAAGCTATATAAAACGTTTAAAGTATCATTTTAATTTGAAAACATTATAGAGTGAGAGTGCAGATCAAAAATTATTTCTTCCGAAAAAGGCACAAAGCAATAAGGAATAAAACATGCCGGAAAGTTGCAGCATTATGCAAAGGGATTAAATAGCTCATTTTGTCTTTACAGTTTCTGCAGGCGCTGGATACAGTCTACCATGGATCACTGAGATTAATCACAAACCTTTAAATCTGTGCACACCACTGCATAATGTACTCTGGATCTACTTTGTCCTACTGCAGACTTCAATATAAGCATATTCTGATAGATACACGCCCCAACTTTAATTTTCTAACTAATTCATTGACCTATGTCTTTCAAATATGAACAGTTATTGATCATATTCACTTATGCATGTTTAAAAAAAATCTTTCTCTGTTAATAGTGAATGGAAAAAGTGCACTTACTGTGAAAAAGCTGTTCCTTCTGTTTAAAAGCAGCAGTAATGACACCTGAATTTAAAGGGCTCCGCAAATTCAAGCCAATTTTTAACATCATTGATGGAAATGTGGTTTTATTTGGTTTCTTAAGCTTTTAATTGTAAACACTGATTTGAGGGGGGGATAAAAGTTCATATGACCTCCACATTTATATTAGTTTAAAGCGTGTGTTTTCAATGTGTCATTTGATTTCTTATGACATGAGCTGCTGCCTATCTTGGCAAAATCATTTTGGAAATTCAATTCACAAGTTGGTGTTTCTTGGTTAAGTGTTGACTGAAAAAAACAGCTGCATAAAAAAAATAATTTCACAAATATAATAAACAAACGAGACATTTAAAAGGAAATACAGATAACAGAACATTAAATTAGAAGCCTGAGGATGGGAGGTAGAAAGACTGCATCCACGGATCTGTCAGCAGTACACAGTTCTAACGTTAGAGGGGAGCATTGGATCAAGATAAGGGAGCTGTCAGGTGAATGTTTGTTTACTCTGGCTGTGGAAATGGGAGAGCTTTCTCGTGCTTGGAGGATGAGAGCAACCTCTACAAGCCTGGGTTAGAGCAGTGTGATCTTGGCTGTCAAAGAGGAAGAAAGCTTCACTTGCATTCATTAAAGTTTAACTGAGTTTAATCTAATCGTATTAATAATTTAATGCTGACCCATTCAGTCAAAATGTTTTAAATAGTTAACTACATGAACAATAACCTGTCAGTTTCTCGGGATGGCTTTTCTGACTGCTTCTTTTTAAGAGGCAGGTAGACACTCAGCCTAAATCAGTCACTGGGATTCAAAAAAGGGGGAACTTTGGCATTTTCTTGCTGCATTGCTTCAGTGTTGCGTTTCTCGGGGACACGATTTTTGAAAACGATGCCGTTTGAGATGATGTACAGGGTGGACATTTAACTCGGCCAAAATGTCACGGTGCTGGCCTTCATTAAAGGTAAAAACAAACAAACAAACAAACACGCCGTGCCCGTCCGTATACTGTAGTTCACCCAGCAGGAGCTGACCGTGGTGCTGAAGCTGGACCTCCGGGATCACCCCCGTGGAAACACCCCGCAGCAGCGTGGAGCATCCTCCCCCGGCTCTGCGGGAGCGTTTGAATGTTGGCGCTTTTTGCGTCTGTGTGTGAATAAACTCTGTGGGTTACGTCGCACACAAACAGCCCCTTGCTGCCGTGTCTGTGGCTGAGCTCATCGCAGCATCCCCCCCCCCAGTCGCTCCAGCCCACACTCCTCCTCCGGGCGGCGAGCGGGGCGTGAGCACAGGGGCTTGACTGACACATGCTGCGGTATTCTCCTCGCTGTACGGCCGTGGATTAGCTCTATGCTAATATCGACAGGAGAGAGGAGCCAGCGGAGTCTGAACGGGCTCCTTTGCAGCCATGGCTGAAGGTGGAGAAGGAGAGGATGAGATCCAGTTCCTCAGGACTGTGAGTACATTTCTGGCCGCTCGCACTTGGAAGCGATGCTTTGTTGGTTGGGAAAAAAAACGTGTGTTGATCTTTATTTCACGAATGTGGGATTCAGTCTGTCGATTGTCTGCCACTTTCTTAAATTGAGTCCCTGCTTTACCGGGTAGTCTTTGATAAGCCTTTGCCTTCATCTCGATCTGACACGCGGTGATAGTGCTCTATTGTTTTGCGCATCGCTCACTGACAGCTATTGTCTTTTCTGCAGTCCCAGTCTCCAGAAGTTAACAGCAGCAATATCCGTGCCGGTTCGTATGTGAAAAACTTCCCCTTATAGTGCACCCACCGCTTCCTCCTTATCATCATGTGTTCCCCTTATTTCAGCAAGTCTGGCGGTCTGATTTATATCGGAGTAACTCGCAGAATCAAACGACTTCAGTGCTCTTTACGCATCACTTTTGCCACCGAAGGAAAAAGGGGTTTCGGGCCAGATGTGAGATAAGGAGAAGCCTTGGTAACCTTGCAGTGTGAGCTGCCTGTCCAGACAGGGTTCACGTGCACCAGCAGTAGGTGCATGCCAATGATGTTCTGACAGGGTTTGGTGATAAATGCAGTGAGGCTCAACACAAGGCTGATTACTCCTGTTGTTTCACTTGTTGGCTGCAAAGCCCATGTAGACACGCTGTAATGCATGCTAGTTTAAAGAGGCAATGACAGAGGGTGTACAGTGTTTGCTCTGCTTGGCCCCTCAGCTGAAACAGTTTCTTTAGCTGACGACGAGCGCTTAAGCTAGAAAATATTTGACACTTTCCCCTGTTGAAAGAAATGGATGATAACATGATTGGGCCATCCATGGTCAAACGCATTTAGAGGCACGTCGAGTCTGAAAATGCTCCTCCAGGATGGATGAAGCAGCGTGCTGGAGGTCTTCCAGTGAGCCCCTGAGGGCAGCAGGAGGTTTTTGGTTGCACATATCGCCGGCACTGCTTCTTGTGGTCTCCCTGTACTGACCTGCTCACAGATGCGCAACCTGCTGTACACCAAGGCGGCCACTGTGCTGATACTCTCATTTTATTGTGGTTTGGTATCTTCATAATTAGAGGAACATGTGCAGAGAAGGTTAGCACAAATAATCCTTCTAAGGATTCTTGGACTGCAGTTTTAAAAGAAGCATGATGAAAACATTAACAGCCCTGTTTTCTGGCATGGTGATCTTTAAAGTGTCCCCTCTTTTTACTTTAAGAAGAAAAAACAGATGATACCTTCGACTTATTTGTCCTGCAGCCTTGCCAACCTTTTAACCGCAGTACAAAGAGGTCACCAGATCAGCATGCCTTCCACTTCAAAATCCAGCTGACATTTCAGCACCATTTCCTCTCTTTTCTGGCCTTGAACTTAAATGCCACCATAGTCTTCAGTCCACATTGTCACACACAGCCTTTTTTCTGACAGCGGCAGTTTAGTAGATTTAGATTGCTCTCCTGTGTCTCGTCCAGTTTGTAAGCTGTGCGGTGGTCCTTTCACTGTACACGTTACACTAACAGAGCATAGTTGTTGTTTTTGGAGCAAGCTAAACAGCTTGTTGCATCACTCCATGCCGAAGCAGCTGATGCTGGTGATGTTGGGAAAGGGCTGCTTTGAGCGAGATTGGTTATCATGAGTGTAAATGTGTGTGTGTGTGGGTGTGTGTGCACGCTGAATGCAAATGCAGGGCTTTAGCTGTGTGGTGCAGTCAGGCTGCACCAGACATGCCACAGCAGAGCACAGTGCAGAAATTATTCATCAGCCAAGCAAGACACACAGCTGAACCACTCAGCCAGGATGAGCAGAACAGATACGAGCACGAGTGTGCGAGAGCTCACGCGTACGTACAAAGACGTACATATTTCCACATCTCCAGTCAGTCCCGCTGAAACGGACGCTCAGCCACGCACACGAACACAACACACAGACGCTCCTCGTCCGTGCCTTTACATTGATGTCACTTACTCTGTGTGGAAAAGTGAAGGCTGCTTTTCTCGCCCGCATTCAAATGTTGACTGTTATTGGAGTCATGGAGCTTGATAAAGCAGTTTGTAAACTGCCTTTTCTTCCACAACACAAAGTAATTTCCCTGGAGTGGTGGCAGAAATTACCCCTGCCGGACCGCTGCCTATAAACCCAACTCAGTGGGAGGAGAGCAGAGGAGGAGAGGGAAACAGCAAGGATATCTCTCAGCCATGGGTAATTTGATGTCGCAGGAAGAGGAACGGTGCTGATTGTGAGGCAGGAGATGCAGAGAAAGGCTTCTCCCACCAACCGCTGTTTAATGTCGTACAGCTGCACAGAGAGTTCAGCGAGCCTGCTTTTCTATTTGTCCTGTTTAAGCATCCTCAGATGCACCATCTCCGTCACAAGCAGCATAGTGAATAAGATCTAAACTGATGGTTCTATTGCTCAGGGTGCTTGTTATGTAAACTTAGTTATCTAAATGAATTGCTTTTGTTGAGTGTTGTTTTGTTGAGCAGAAGGAGACAGAACCACCACAAACTTTTGCTCGTGGCACATTCTGCTCTTCCTTTTGTTTCATTTGAAACCATCCCGACAAAAGGCCGCTTATTAGCGAAATGCATAGTGCGGCATCCTACACACACACACAGACACACACACAGACACACGCAGCTTCTCTGTTTTGAGGATCCCTGCTAGGCAAATATCAAATTCTGGGGATCTATTAGCAGTTTGAGTGGGTGTAGCGACTTTGAAAAGGCCACACTAAGGCTGTGACTAATGCATTGTGGCAGCACATGGCTTGTTTATGTGGAGGCACAAACCTCACTTTGCAGCTAGGCGATGACTGTCGATGCAGAAACACAGAGGAATAATGCAACGAGCCAAAGAAAACCGTTTCAGAAGAAACACTATGAGTTGAAGAGCAAAAAAAACAAAAATGAATTAATTTTGGTCATGCCAGAGCCATCAGTCTGATGTGTACACCATGCTGGTTGTCTCTTTTCTGGTCCTCTGCTAATGTCGGGCTTTTCTGTTCTTTCCTGTCTTCCTCTTATGTCCCTTTTTTGCCATCATTTGCACTCACTTGGCTCGCTTGTCCTGGTTTCCTTTTTTATCTCATGAACGACTTTAGATTTACGTGTGATGAACATTTATAAGTAATGTACCTGATATATCTGAACACTCTGCAAAATTTTAGATAGTGGTGAGAGTGGACCTATGAAGGGGATCCAGGGGCAAACAAAGTCACTTTTAGCGAGTCAGAATTAATTGGATCGCATATTGCAGTTGCACAAATAAACAAAGCTGTAAAAACAAACAAAACGTGCAGGCGAGATTTCAGTTACCCCACGGGGGTGTGTGGAAACAAATCCGACCTTATTATATCAAAAGAAGGAAATACAAAGGTAATGAAGTAAGACAAAAAATACCACAGATATCATAAAAGGGAGATGAAACAACTCAGTGGTGGATGATTAGAAACATCTGCAGACATAAAGAACATCCTTTCAGTAGAAACAGCTCCTCATTGATAAAACATTTCAGAAAAGTGATTAACTTTGGCTAAGCAGACATATTTCTGGCCATTATTTTATTATTCTTCAGCAAAATTATGACACAAAACAAAGAAGAAAAAAAAACCATTGGGTCTAAAATAAAGCTACCATTTCTCGGATGCCTTTCTTGTACCTGTCTCCCACTTTGGATGAGTTTTTTAGTCAAATGATTACATAATATTGTGTTATTGTTCAGCTGAGGTTATGTTTATTGAACATGAACCGGGGGATTCATTCATTTCTTTTTAAGTATATATATATTACGCCTCGTTCCAGAAAATCTGTTAACTTAAGACACTGTGCCGTCTTTTCCCACATGACTGTAAGTTTAAACTTGTTTGCATGGTGATTCATTTTGGGCCCCTCCTGTAGCTCTGTCACTTGGCCTGTCTATAATTATTTGAGATTACCATGAAATTATTCTCCCGGATGGGAATTCAGTGCAGCACATAGCCTACCGGACGCTAAGGACGGGAACTTTAATGTTATCATGATGAGGTCTGCTGTCATTTCATGCTTGAGTTATAAGATGTAATAGCAAAATTATTTTAATGTCCAAAGGCATTTGGGGCCTTGTTGTGCAGATTTGAAACTTAAGAAACCTGCTTGATGCAAACTGCAACTACTCGTCACGTCTCGCCTGGTGTTATTTTCATATGTTTCCACCAACAAACAGATGTATAAACAGATGCTGTGTTCCAAAATGTGAATTCTTGAATGTCAGCTTGCAATCTAACGGCTCAAAACGCCAAAGTGTAAAGAGCATCGCATTGATCAAATACTGTAAATAAACTTATACGCAGTATACATGAAGTGCATTCATTACTACCTTACCGCAGTATTGATTGTCTCATTTTGCTTATCAGCTTGGGCTTAAACTCACAGTTCTCAAAACTGCACTTTCAAAAACTCTTGCAGATGTTTATATTTATGTTTATGCATTTGGCAGACGCTTTTATCCAAAGCGACTTACAGAGTAGACACAATATTACATTTAGCATCACTATGACAATAAGCTGATCAGAGTCAGTGGTGACAGCAAGAGATAGAGGTAGAGGGGACTAAAGAAGGAGTTGTGGGGGGGATAGAGGTACGGGTTAGGATTAGGATAGGAGATGCTCTTTGAAAAGGTAACCCCGTGCCCCGGAAGCCCGGTAGCCCCCGGTAGCCTCCGGTAGCCGCCGGTAGCCCCCGGTAGCCCCCGGTAGCCCCCGGTAGCCCCCGGTAGCCCCGGTAGCCCGGCTCCGGTAGGAGGGCTCCGGCCCCGGTGGAGGCTCGGTACTCACTAAAGATTACATACTTGTTATCTGCACATCCCCATCTAAACATCTTCAAGCTAAGAAAGCAAAGTTTCTCATTGGACCAATAATGAATAAATAGCTCCCATGTGACCACGGCCAAGTCCTGTTTCGCTCCAACCTGTTTGTTTTCCCCACCATTGTAATTACCATACCCCCCGAAAAAGCCCCCTTC